TAACACTGTGAATAATTTGTAATTAATTTTAAAGCCAAGTATTCTTATGTATTATTGCTATCTGAATCTGTAAGAGTCAAATCCATCTTATGCAGTATTTATCTGTGAGAGCCAAATCCATTTTAGTCTTAGGCACTATTTATCTTTTAGAGCCAAATCCATCATAGGCAGTATTTATCTGTATGACTAGTAAGAGCCAAATCCGGTTTAGGCAGTATTAACCTGTAAGAACCAAATCCATCTTAGGCAGGATTCATCGGTAAGAACCAAATCCATCTTAGTATCTTAGGCAGTATTTATCTGTAAGAGCAAAATCCATCTTAGGCAGTATTTATCTGTAAGAGCCAAATCCATCTGAGGCAGTATTTATCTGTAAGAGCCAAATCCATCTTAGGCAGTATTTTAGTTGTCGCATAATTAAGTGTCCATGGTTTTACAATTACTGGTGCAATAGTTTTTTTCCTGGCAATATTGATATTGGAATAAATAACCTGGTGTTTTCAATAGTCACTCTACTGCTGTCATTCTTATATGTTTATCATGAACCTTGTCATACTTACATTATTAACACTACTGATATATACATTGTATTATATGTAATATGGTTGAGTCATAGGATCTACCTTGTAGCCTGTTTGAGTCATGGAATCAAAAAGCATTTTTTTTTTTTATATATTTCTGTGTCATCATTAGCAGATTGATTAAATACCATAATCAAATTTATATAATATTAACTTCTCTATTTAAGTTGTTAGTGTAAAAATAGAAGAAAAAATGGATTTTAAAAATTTAATTTAATTATTTTTGTTACTCATGTCAACAATTATACAGTCATATTAATAACAGATGGCTGTTTAGAGTTAAGTGAATTATCAATCTTTTGAATTAGAAATTTGTAGACAACAGATCTCTTCAGTTGCAGTGCTGATGAAACTTGATTTTGTTTTAAGACATTTAGCTTATTCAGTTTTAATACCATTTTTCTTGTAGCTATGTTGAAGTTGTATACAAAGTTCAGATTTATTCTGGCAGCGCTGTAACATAACTGGTAGTTGTAGGAAATGGTTCAATCTTATTTAATTGATCCATACTTAATTTGAACATGTTGAATCATAAATGCCATTTAGCAAATTGTGAGAATCCAAACAAATTAATTTTAAAGATGAAACGCTGTAAATCAATGATTTTTGCCCCAAAGTGTAGTTCTACTAATTTAAAATAGTTTTTAAATAAACTTGAGAACTAAATAGGTAAGGCTACTGATTAAACTTATTAACGTTGATATAAAACTTTGTAAAAATTTAACTTGTATTTACCTGTATTATTGCAAGTTTGGACCGAATAATTCTAATGGTGACTATTCCAAAGACACATAATTAATTTGACCTAAATAATGTTGTCATTTGTGCCAATAAGTGTTCAAGTATTTTTTGCATTTCTATAAAGTGGTTTTTGTATTTTATTGATCTGACCCTGGATATAATTTTCCTGCTGATGACATGTGCTGTAGAGATACTGTTGGTCAACTTTTAAATGTGCCATATATGTGACCATGTGAATGGTCTAAGTTGTTTTTTTTTCTTTGTGGTCGTCTTGCATGGACCACATTTTCCCTTAGAGCAAAAAGCAAAATTGTTTTTTTGTTGTTTTAAAATGTAATTACCATATTTAAAAATTAACATTAAACATTACTCTTTTTTTTTTTTGCCCCATAAAAATGGATGTTGAAATACTAATAAATGTGTTGGATTAGTTTTTCCTTTTCAGACAATGGACTTTCACAAAAATGCATCTAACCATATGTTTTATTTGCTGTTGTCATATTTTGGAAAACCATTTCCTTTTCAGACAATGGACTTTCACAAAAATGCATCTAACCATATGTTTTATTTGCTGTTGTCATATTTTGGAAAACCAATCAAATCTGCTCTGATTGGTTAAATGTGTCTTTCTTTCTTTGTAGTATCTGAAAGAGGTTGTTCCATCAACGTCTTATAAATCATTGAACACTCACAACAAAGTTATAGTGTCATGGATTGAAGTAGGGTGTGTCAAGTTTGTGCAGTAGAGAATTATTACTGCCTACCCATATCACAAATGTTTCTTGTAAGCTGAAACTGACAAACTATTGATCCCATCCGTCCTATCCTTGCATGCAGTTCCCATTCTTGATATTTTTTGAAGTACTTTGCTTTCATGTCCATCATTCCATCTTGTTACTTGCTGGATTGTTGTCATGTTCTGTTTCCTTTGTGTTAATAAGGCCTCTGCTCTTTCTACGGTAACTCATGCCTGTTCCGTTTTGTAGATTTCCTTGCTAAATTATGTGATCGTCTTCTCTATAAGGCAGTGGGTTTACCAAAGCTATTGGCCGATCTTTGTACAACACAGGGTATCTTATCTAAAATATATAGTAATCTAGGTTACGTGAAAAAAAGCATCACTTTAGTACTGGAATGCTAAGTTTGTTGCAGTTATTGTTCATTTTCTTTTTACTTCTTATAAGTATTTTCAAAATGATGACTGTTATTTTTGTCCTCTTTAATATAAGTATTTTCAAAGCGATCTCTATAATTTTTCCTTCTTTTGAAATTAAAAGAAGCAAGCAATTTCTTTAGTGACATTGTATCGATAATAATTATGTTTTTGTTTTGCGTTTCCAAAATTCGATGCCACCATATTTAGTGTAAGCCCACTTTAAGTTCATTATATTTAACTTGTATAATTTCTTGATGAACCAATTACTATGTGGGGGCCACACACATGATATCTCAGGTTTTATCACATCTGTTTAAAGATATAACTAAAATAAATGTGTACCAAATTTCTAAAAATATACTTGCAATTATTTTCAAACATTTAAAATTTGTGTTTTTAAATAGTTGTGTTGAAAGCTAGGTACCAGGCAAACTTGCATGATTGCATTAACCTTGGGTGGTGGAGTGTATATTGAATATTATCAAACTTGACAGGACAACAAAAAAATTCTTACTAATCCAGTTGTTTTAAATCAACATTAATGATGAGCATGAATTAATCACAGTTAATGAATGTAAAACATTTTTTGAAATTTCTAAGATAGAGCTTCAATGATCTCAAATATTAGATTCAGTCCTTTGTAAATATAAACCGAAAATATCAGGACAATATCATAAAAATACTGATTAGAAAATAAACGATAGACAATGTTATAAAAACCACTGATGAGAACTGACACTATTGACATTAGATTACTCTGCCATGGATACTTAAGTGCAAGAGATTTATTTGTAACATAAGATTTTATTTGGCATTCAAAATTAATATTCAGTTGTTTTTTTAAATCTCATGGGAGCACAATTCGTATTGATAAAAATGTATTAATAGTTGAAAGGTACATAACTTTTAAATATCTTCAACTATGGAAATAAGATAATGTACTTTACAATTAGTGTGTACGTTGTAATGGAATTAATAATGCATAGTAAAAAAAAAAAAAAAAAACTATTAGAAACCATCTAAACAACATTATAAATGAAAACAAAAGATGTATTTTTTACGTTACAATTCACAGGTTAAAAAAATTTTGCAAGCCTTCTTTATTTATATATATATTAATAATATATAAAATAATAATTTTTTTAATCATCCACTTTGGATATTATTATCCAGTCAAAGATTGCATTTATTTATTTTATGAGTGCTAAAGCATAAGAAAAATAATGTAGCTACCTTTCAACTTAAAGTATAATTTTCTGAGTAGCCAATATTTCAGGGTGGGACTAGAGCTGATCACGTTTCTATTTGTGAAATATTTTGATTTTTGATTTAATATCCCTTCCATTTATTTGTACTAAGTCCACAGCCACAAATGATGGCTTTCATGCTTTGTATGTTGTAGTCAACTGTCAAAAAAAATAAATATGCATGAACATATGACTGTCTTTGTCTCTTTTTTTTCTTCTTAATTTCAGATTCCCGGTTCAGTGATCAGTAAATTCAATTCATTTATGAATTTCAAACCAATTGCTTTGCCATCAACTTGCATGTAAACCAATAAAAGTTTAAAGCTTCACATAATTCACTATGTTCCACTCCTTTCCTCAAGAGTGGATCAAGAGGGGGAAGACATATGGGTGATAGCGATAAGAAGAGGAAATGTAAAAAAATAAACTTTTAATATGTTAAAACCTTTGGTAATCTGGTACCTCTTCCCTGATGTCATATTTCTGGATCAATCAGAGACACTGTAGTTAATTTAAGTGATCTTCCTAAAAATTCAGTCTACTGCAAAGAAATCTAGAACCATATAAGAACTTGGCTTTAACATTCTGGCTCTCTTCATTCTCCTGTCTGAATGAAAGTATTTATTGAAATGAAGCGAGAGAAGGCGATGTAAAGAATTCTAAACCAGACCAGTTGTGACTTGTGAGCAAACATTGCTCGCTGAAAGGTAATTTAAAAAGCAAAATTACTTTTTACATAACGCGGAAGTAAATTTTATCAACTTTTTAAAAAATGTCAGCGTTTTATATAAATTGCATTTAGAAATAGTAATGTTAATTTATTTGAAAAATCAGATTGGAGGAACGACGACGACTATCCAGGCTCTCCATAATGTACAAGATAAATAATGGGCTGGTCCACTGCTACAGCATTAAACAGAAACTTATCCCTCTCCCCCATAGACAGAGACGAAGCCATGACAGGAAATTGCGGCTCATACTAGTGAGTAGCCAGTATAGGAACTGTTTATTCCTGCCAAAGACAATCAGGGACTGGAACAAGCTTTCAAAAGGAACAGTTGAGGCGACAACACTTGACACATTTGCGTCTATTGCCTCAGGCCTTCCAACCCCCAGTGCATGATACCCTCACAAAGTAGCCTTGCAACCAGTGAAATATCCTCATCAACAACAGGCACAGAAACATTGCAAATCCCCTCTGCATGCATTGGAGCCAAGATTATCAATAAATTGATCGTGGGCCCTTAATATATAGAAGAAGAAGAAGATAATTACCTGAGCCTTCAATATGTTTAGTGGGGATAAAACAAACATAGGATGACCTGAAGCTAAACTGCATGGCAAGTCTAGTATCCCAAGGTATTTTCGAAGCAAGCTAATGCTTTCTAGCTGATAAATCTGAGGTGATTCTAGCCAAAAAAATGAGGAGGATATAATCTTGAATTAGATACGCTATATATTATATTTATAAACATCAAAATTACATTCTGAAATAAGTTTATTTCGATGAAATATTTTGTAAAAAATAATATTTACTAGACTTGCATATAAATAATATCAACTTACGTTGGTTTTTGAAATTGTCCCTGGGGAAAAAAAACAAAAACTTACAATAATTTTCTTTAAGACATTATGAATTAAAAATACATCTAACTTCAAAGATTTGTTTTGAAATTCTATACACAAAATTGGCATCTTACTTGACAACTTCTGAGACAGCTATATGGTTGGGATGACCACTGACTCCTTTAGCATCAAACGTTAAAATCTTAATGGAAAGAACAATGTCATAAATTTAGAGACTATAAAAAACAAAATATGATTATAAATTTACAAAATAACATACATTTTCAGATCAAAGTGGAATTGAATTCAGAGGAGCATGTTTATTAATGAGCGAATTCAATTTTAGCAATAGAAACTCTGTTTTAGCTATTTTATATTTCTTATAGTCCAATGTCATTTCCTTTGTTAACGTGCCATATTAAATGTTATGAATTAATATAAGGGTTTAAATGGGTCCATTTATCAGCCATCCATATGTGACAATGTTTGATAAGGGTTTCTATCTTGAAATGACTTTTTGTGATGATGGGGTATGGAGAAAAAGGAAGGGGGTGCACAAATAGACTAAAATAGCATCACATCGTTTATGGATAGCCTCTTACGTGGTTGGGTTGAATTTGCTTAATACATGCTAAAATCTTAGAGAGTAATTTCTTGGCATCCCATATGGCTTTTGGGTCATCAGGAAAAGAACTGAAAAACCGAAATATTTAGATGTGACTTAGGAAAGCCATATCAAGCTTTAAGTTTAAGAAATGCATTTTATGATGGAGATAAGTTTTTTAAAATTATTTATAAATAAAGTCATTGCTCACACCAATTTTCGATCTATGGAAAAAGTTATTTCTATAAATAAATAGGCTATATATATTTTTAAAAATGTCTAAAGCAAAGTAAGGCAATTTTACCTATCATCAAAAACTTGAACATGTTGCTTTGGAATGCCTAGAATTTGACAACTTTTCAAAAGCTCCTTTTTTCGGATGGCTCCTTGTTTGCAATAATCACCTTTGGAAAAATATATTATTATTTTTTAGTACCATAGTCGCTTTGAAACAAAACTATGACAAATTATGAGATAACTAGGCCATTCTCTGTCATTTAAGGCGGTCTTATTCACAGTTGGAGGGATCCCTTAGCCTTCTTTACTGCAGTAATTTTTAAGTTCCCCCATCACCAATATCCTCCATTTATGCTCCACCCCCACAACCCCAACTATGCTCCTCCAACTTCTTTCTCCCACCTCAACCCCTATCTCTTCTAACATGCCTCACCTACCCTCTCTCCTAGACCCTCTTCTACATTATCCCCAAATGGCTAAACCTTAAACTCTTTCTAAGATACACACAGAGTAATGAAAAATACTGTTGCTAGGGAAATAGATTTTCAATTGATATCTTGGAATTATTTGATTTATTATTATTTTTTGGGCATAATATAATGCAAAAAATAATTTTTCAAAAACATGGAAGATCTGGGAATGCTTCAAATACTTTAAATATTAACTTTTACAATTATTCAAATCAATAAAATTTCAAATAGTGAAAAGTTCACACAACTCAAAAGAGTCAAAAAAGTAAAAACCCCATTTTAATATTTTTGCTAATGATAACTTTAAAATAAAAAAAATACTTTTAAATATTGAATTGCCCTTACTAAAAATGTTTAGATGTAGTTTGGATATACAGTAAATTTAATTTATTAATTAATTTTTGTTTGTTTGTTCTGATGAAGGCATTTTACGCCAGGAACCCTCTTACTCTTTGTCTTGTCCCCCTTTTTATTTTGTATAATGATAAATATAATTAAAATATTGTTTTATTTACACAAATTGTTTGTGGCTTGTGTCTCATTAATCTTCTTAAAAGCTTGATTGCAGTCCAACCCTTTTACAGGTAACTAGCAAATATACCCGGCGTTGCCTAGCATTTCATTAGGAAAAAAAAATTCTACAGCCTTTTAAGTAACATTGACATTAAGCGCCATATAAAAACAAAAAACAGAGCTATAGTAAAAAAATAAAACAATTAATTGGATCCCAGTGGGTTCCTGATCCCATCTGTATGCCGACCCCGTTAGATCTAGATCCTTTAGGATCCCATTTCCCGGAGGGATCCTGATCCAGTCGGTATCCTGATCCCATCGGTATCCTAATGCCAATGGGATTCCAATCCTGGTGGTATCCTGATACCAGTGGCATCCCGATTCCCGGTGGGATCCTGTTTCTCAGTGGTATCCCATTTCCTGGTGGAATCCTCTAAATCAAGATCCGATTCCTCGGTGGGATCATGTTCCCAACGGGATTTTGTTCCCGGTAGGGTTATGAAGGGTATGTTAAGAGAAAATCCCCATGAAAGCAAAGAAATCAATGGAAATAAACGGACATTTCAATAAGCTTTTAGATCCCATAATATATCCCGTAGAACAATATAGAACTTTCTGGAACATTATAGATTAAATTTAATATCCTCCATGAAACGTGTAAAAAATTACCTTTCTACCTAATTATTTCTCGAATGCAAAATATTATACAACTAAATTGTACTACTATAACTATAGTACATTTAAATTGAAATAGGAGCCCCAGTGGGGGCCTATTTAATAAAGTATCGTTTTAGTTATGTCTGAGATGGGGGACCCTATAAAAATCATTCATATAAATAGTATAGAGTTAAAATTTGAAATTTGTCCCATTAAAATCGGTTAAAAAATGCCATAGATATAGCTTTTTTAAATTATCGAACTTTTTGAAAAATTCTAGCTTGGCCCTAATGGATTGGATATTATTAGTTTTAAATCCACCCATATTTCAATACGGATAATGAAAGGTATTGCTACCAAGCTAGACATAGATCCATGAATTAGAACCTTAAGTGTTGTCCAAGCCTATTGATATTTATATAGCTTATATAAGGAAAAATGAAATGGATTTTATGAGTTCATTATCCTTTGGTATTTGAATATGGATAATCAAGTGTATGTTTAATAAGTTTAGTCAAGATCCATCAACTCTTGTAGGAGAATTTGTTGTTAGTTTTATTTATATAGCTCATATAAGAAAAAAAATGAATTCGGGGCCCCGGCCCCAAATGGAATGTTATAAAAAATTCATAACCCTTTAGGAGTTCATTCCCGATAATGATGGATATATGTGCCAAGTTTGGTCAAGATCCATCTATCCATGTAAAAACATATGTGGATCAAATCCACAAACAAACAAACATTCCCTTTTATATGATATACTAGCCTATATACCCGGGATTGCATTAGGACCCCATCCTGGTGAGACCCCATCCTGGTGAGACCCCATCCTGGTGAGACCCCTGATCCCATTGGGACCCCGATCCCATTCTGACACCGATCTCGACGCAGTTCCGTTTCCCGGTGTGATCCTGATCCCGGTGGATCCATTCAAGGTTAGGATCCTGATCCCGGTGGGATCCCATTTTCTGGTGGGATCCTGATCCCATTGGGATAAAGATTATGATGGGATCCCGACCCATTTGGGATACCGTATCAAAAAATTCTTCAGTTGTACTGAGAGAACAGTAAACTCTGGGTATGTAAAGAAATGAATAGAACTAACTTACATTTCAATAATCCCTTAGATGCCACTATATATCCCCTTGTAACAATTTAGAACTTTATGGAATATTCTAGATTAAATTTAATAACCCGCTCGAAACATGTGTAAAAACTACTTTTATAATCATTTTTTGAATACGATAAAAATCTTCAACAAAAACCATAATTATAATCCTTTTTCTTTTAAGTTAATCAAGAAGCCCAGAGTGGCCCATTCCATAACTGTACTGATTTAGTTATGCCTGAGATAGGGGGCCCTATAAATATCAGACAGTTAAATAATAAAGTTAAAATTTAAAATTTTTCCCATTAAAATCTACTTAAAACTGCCATAGATATAACTTTTTAAAATTATCCAACTTTCTGGAAAATTCTAGAATGGATATTATTAGTTTTAAATCCACAGATATTTCAATACGGACAATGAAGGAGATTGCTACAACGCTAGGCCTATATCCATCAATTCACGTAGAAACTATAGTGTTGTCTAAGACTATTGATATTTATATGGCTTATGTTAGAAAAAATGATGGATATTACGAGCTCAGTACCCTTTGATAGTAGCCAATTAATATTTATATAGCTTATATACGAAAAAAATGAAACTGGGCCCCTGGCCGCCGAGGAATGGATATTATCAGTTCAGTACCCTTCGGTACTTGACTTTGGATAATCAAATGTATGTGTACGAAGTTTGGTCAAGATCTATCTATTCGTGTAAGAGTATTTGTTGTTAATTTTATTTATATAGCTCATATAAGGAAAAAAACGAATTTGGGGGCCCCAAAAGAGGTTATAAAAATTTCATAACCCCTTAAGAGTTCCTTCTGGATAATTATGGATAAATGTGCCAAGTTTGGTCAAGATCCATCGATCCATGTAAAAACGTATGTGGAACAAATCCAGCCAGCCACAAACAAACAAACTTTCACTTGTATATATTTATATGATATGATACATATGATTAATCATTTAAATTATGTACTATCCATCCATCCATCTATCCCTATGGCGCTACAGCCCATGTAGGGCCTTGGCCTGCCTCACTACTTCCTTCCACTCAGACCTAACTAAAGCTTTTCTTTTCCATGCTTTGATTCCCAGCAGTACATCTGTCTGTTCTTCTCTTATCATAGTCATGTATTTTGTTTTTTGGTTGTTAACTTCCAGCCCTGCTTGTAGTGATGCCTCTTCTAAGTCAATAAATGTTTTTGATATGTCTTTACTACTTTTCCCTTGCAATGCTATGTCATCAGAATATGCAAGATACTGTAGGGGTTGATTGAAGAGAGTGCCCATTAGTTGTGGGTCTTGGGTTTCCCTCAGAAAGTATCCTGTTATTGTTCTTCGGGTGTCAATATGTATGCTTCTTATAACTCTCTCTAATGTTAGGTTAAATAGCTTACAAGACAGTGAGTCTCTTTGTCTTAGGCCTCATCTAATCTGAAATTCCCTTGAATATTCTCCTTGAACCTTGACTTTGCTCTTTGAGCTGTATCAGTCTTGTCTGTTTGTTGGGTATTTCAAGCTCCTGCAGAGTCTCATATAGATATTTTCTTTTGATGCTGTCATAGGCCATTTTATAGTCCACATAAAGTTGATGTACTGGGATATAATATTTGTAACATTTCTCTAATAGGTTTGATGGTGAAAATCTGATCAGTCGTTGATCTGTTTTTCTAGAATCCAGAGTGGTAGTCACCTAGTATTTCTTCAGTGTAGGGTTTTAGTTGTAGTCTTTAGGCAATTAGTTTTGTCAGTATTTTGTATGTAACATTTAATAAGAAAATTCCTCTGTAGTTTGTGCATTGAAGTTTGGAGCCTTTCTTGTGTATTGAGGTTATTAATGCTTTTTCCCATTCTGTTGGCATTTTCTCTTCTTGCCAAGTTTTAATTATAAGTTTATGTGCCTGAAAGTGCAGTTCTCTTCCTCCATATTTAATTAGTTCTGCTGTGATGAGGTCTTCTTCAGGGCCTTTTGTGGTTTTTCATACACAGTGGTACCTCGGTATACACCTGCTTTGGAATAAGTCCAACTTGGTATACGTCCTGTTGGGACGAGAAACATTTTGCTTGGTATAAGACCTTTGTTTGGAATACGACCCGCGTGCGTGCTATTGAAGTGACCTCTGACAGAATTAACCCTGAGAAAAAGGGTTGACAAAGCCTGGCAGGAAGTTTCCAACAGAACAATGAAATCTTCTTGGATGAATTTGTGGCCAGAAGCAGTGACTGAAAGAGACTTTGGGGCTGTGCATACAGTGGAAGATATTGTCCTTTCTGGGCAGGTACATGGGACTTGATGTGAATGAATTTGATGTGGAGGAGTTAGTGGAGGGGCACAGGGAAGAGCTGACCACTGAGGAGCTGCAGGAACTTGAGAAGGATGAGCACAAGACTAGGATGGATGCACTCTCTTCTGGCTCTGAGGTGGAGGCGCTAGAGGAAGCTCCTACTTCGCTAATCAAGAAATCTTTGCTAAATGGATGGATGTCAAAAACTTTGCAGAGAAGTACCACTCCAACAAAGCCCAAACAAGTCGTAATATTATTGTCTGGAATGACTAGACAATGTCACATTTTTTAAACATCCTGAGTAGAAGGCAACAGCAAAGTTCTTTAGACAGATTTTTAGTAAGAGTCAAACCTGGTGAGCCTCAACCAGGGTCAACTAGGGAAAAGAGACTGAAAAAAGAAAAAACAACAGAATGTCATATTCCTTAAGTTTTTTTGGAAGCGGACTCTCCTTCAAAACAATAAATCTTCTCCTTCTCAGCACCATATTAGTAAGCACTTGACTTTTCTCACCAAGGTAAAGTGAGGTTAAATTTTCATTTATTTCACATAAGTTCTTTTTAATTTATGTTTTCAGTGTTTAAATTATTTTATACAACCACATCAATAAATGTATAATATGCCAATAACAATATGATTTTTTTTTCCATGGGAACGGATTAATCATTTTCCCTTTATTTCTTATGGGAAAAATATGTTTGGTAAGTTCTGTTTGGTCCAAGGATCTGGATTGGATTAAGGACGTATACCAAGGTACCACTGTACTTAATTACTTCTGTAGTTTCTTATACTACTTATAGAGTTGGGGAGTTTATAAAAGGGTCTGGTCCTCCATGTGGTGGTTGATAATCTTCATCTTCTCTATTGTCTGCAATGTCCTCAAAATATTCAGCCCACCTCTCCAGTACTTTAGTATTTTCCTAAATTAATTCTCCATCCCGACTCTTACACATTTGCGGTCTGGCTTGGTATCCATTCTTTTCATCCTTCATCTTCATGTACATTACATTCCTCTGATGTTTCCCTCTCTGAAGTCTTCTATTTCTTTTAGCTTAGCTTTTTCCCCATTCCCTCTTTCTCTTCCTACACATTTTTGTGGCTTTCCATCTGGCTTCCTTGTATGTTTGTGTTGCCTTTACTTTCTGGTTTCCCTTAGTCATTAGTCTTACTCTTAGCCTTAGCATCATGATCATTCCTGCTTTGTTCCTTTCTTCCACAGTCTCTCTGCATTCATTTAAATCAAATTTAAAATTATGTACTAATTACTGCATATTTAATTAATATCACAGTACCTGTTGTAGTGCAAATGACATGAATTTCACAAGTTTGTGATAAATCAAGTAAAGCCGGGGAAAAGAACATGCATTCGTCATCAGGGTGAGCAGTTATTAAAAGTACACAATCACCAGAAGATATTTTTGTTTTTGTTGTAGGTATGACTTTCAATAAAATTAACACATATAAGAAATTACAAACTACCAGGTAAAAAAATATTATTACGATAATTGATAATAAAATTGGTGAATTTGTCATTATCACTGTCAAACTCAAACTTGTTAATTGTGCCATTTTATTTAATTATTCTTTGTTGACAAGATTGAACAATCCACTCACAACAAAAAACAATGACAATGCCAATGGCCAATGCCAATGGCAATGGCAATAATAATAGGCCATAGGCCGAAGCCTAAGATTTAAGAAGTGGTAGAGGGGGGCAAAAAAATTATTATGTTGAAAAATGCGCTCAGAATTCAAATTTACACGCAGAGAATAACTAAGAAGTTAAAAGTTAAACAGATAATTTTATCGGAGAGTAGCCCATATTTTTTTTAATAATCCAGTAAGAAATTTAATTTAATTTTGTTTCGTTATTAAAAACGGTTAATTTTAAAGTCGTAATCATGAAAACAGTATCGCTTCATAGCAACCAGTTTGTGGAGAGCTTCTTGATCGAGCTGCGTGGATATTTGAACGAAACTATTTGGTGTTCTATTTGATCTTTTCATTGCCAACAACTTCAATGTCTGAAAACGCAGATTTGCAGTCTTCTGAAGAACTTGAGAGTAATGGTTTGTTATTCTTCAGTTTCACAGATTATAAAACTACACTTAAATTTAAATTGTAACATGGGTGTAGTGTAGTATTAGTATGAGTATAATAATTATATTATACAGGGTGGGCCAATAAAAGTGAGAACATCTTGTAAAATAGTACGCTACGAATGTTCTCACTTTTATTGGCCCACCCTGTATAGTATATTAAATTAATTATATAGGCCGAGCCTACTACTATATAAACTATACTATAAAATTAAGCCTAAGTAAGCCCTAGTCGTAGGCGTAGCCCTAAGCCTACCTATTCTATTCGCCCATTTCAAATTCATTTGACTGAATTGTTGTCAAATGTTATTATTGGTATCAATCAGATTCAATCATGATTGAAAATTGCAGATTAGTAAATAATAGTTTTCGTAAAAATTGCTAGTTTAGAAAATTTCTTAAAGATTTACCAAGATGTTTGATAATGATAATGTGTTAGCCTTACTGAAGACTTAAGCCAAGTCTTCTATTAAGTCACTTAAGAAAGTGGAATTACTGAAAATGCTTTACTCTTACTCTTGGTCTTAACAATACAAAAATCAGAAAATGAGTGCAATTAATTAACGCAGCCGACTGCGTATAACCCTGAGAGTTATACGCAGTCGGCAAGTCACGTGAGGTCTATATTCTTCCTGTGTTACATTATCAATCAATAAGGGTGCCTCGTTATCGAGGTGACGGGTGGTCGAATGGTACAAACTGACCATACCTCAAGTTGGTGGTCTTGAGTTCAATTCCAGCCAAAGGCCAGCCATGAATACGTGTTAGTTGCTATGTTTTTTCCTCGAGAATGAAGCAAAAACAACTAGGCTTATTGTTTTACTTTTGTTTTGGATAAAAAATGTTAAAACATGAGAAGAATTATTAACTTGACCAATGTAATGTTAATAATGTTATTCTTATAATTATAAAATATATGTTTGTGTTTTTAACATTAACATATATTATATATTTTGTGTTGTTAACTAATTTTGTGGCAGATAAAATCATGTTTCTCTGGTACAGTAATAAATATAATCATGGGTTGAAAGTAGCAGTAAAAAAATCGCTGTAGGGGCAGGGCTTCTGTAGAGGGGGCACTGTAAGTAATACTTTTGACACAGTTATAGTTTTGCATGGAAGCTGAAAACTGTTACATTTAGGTCATCAAAAAAAAATCATAAATGCTATAATTTTTTAAAAAATAAATAGAATGTATTTCCTGAATTAGTCAGTAAAACCAACCACATGGTCATAGCAACATATAAAAACCTAATCAATCAAAATACATAACTAGACTTAGACCGCGTTAGGCTTAGACTCTAAGAAATGTAGACTTTGACTTATACTTATAATTATAATATATAAGATACAAGCAATAATACTAATAATAGCACTAATACTAATACTATTGCTATCATCAATTTCAATATTAGTTAAAATTAATTCAATTAAAATTTTATGTTAAACACATAAAAAGTTCTAGTTCAAAACAACCCATCATGCGGCTCATTACGCATAATACTTTTTTTAAAATTGCCAAACTAGCGATTGATAAACCTTATTTGGCTAAATTCCTAGCCGACTGCGTATAACCCTGAGAGTTATACGCAGTCGGCTGTGAATAACCCTCAGGGTTATGCGCAGTCGACTGCGCATAACTCTCAGGGTTATGCGCAGCCGACTGCGTATAACACTTCCCATTAATTAAGCCTTAGGTTTGATACAATTTCATCCTTCTATCTTTTATAGAAGTAGAAGTGGAGTTTTTTGTCGAATTTTTATGCCACTTATTCTTATATTATCTATATATTTCACCCCTAAAACGTGTGACCCAAATTTCACATTACTGCATTAATTTGCCCACAACATTTTTATTTTTAAAGATAATTGCGACAAATTTTCAGGAGACATGTAAGGCGGGCCGTAATACTTAATGAAAAACTTGTGCGGGCATTAATATTTTATGAAAAGCTTTTGCGGGCTGAAAGATAATAGGACAGGGGGAAAGCTATTAAGAAAATAAAAATAATGAAGAATATTTTGTTACTTTGCAAGCCACCAAGTCATTATTAAATAATATAAATATGTAGCCGTGTGCTTGGTGAAAGAACAGCGGACAGTTTTAAAATATACACTCAATAAATTCAGGTCTTGAGGACTATAGCTTTATTTGGTTCTATAAAAAATGCCAAAGTAAAATCTTAAGAAAATGTCTAAAGAAAAAAGACAATACCTGAAATGACACAAATAGTACAGATTAGCATTGTCCTGACTAGGATTGAATTACACAGCTAACAATAAATAATGTTAAATAACGTAGTGTAGCAAAGTGAGTGGTAAGGAACAAAGCTGAAAGTTTTACTAATATACAATAAAAAAATTCAGGTCTTGAGGACTATAGCTTTATTATAAATTTTGCCAAAGAAAATGTAGTAAAAAGGGAAAGTCTAACTCTAAAGAAAAATGCTGAAGAAAAAGCTTAAGAAAAGTCTAAGGAAAAAGCTAAAGAAAAAGGAAAATATCTGAAAAGAAACAAATAGTACAGGTTAACAATGTCCTGACTAACATTGAATTACACAGCTAACAATAAACATGTTGTGGCAAAATTTACTTAACTAAGAATAGTGTAATACATGTTACACAAAGGGCAATTAAAATTATTAAATTAAAATAATTTAATAATTTTTAATAATAAAAGTAATCACGTGGCAGTGTTTAACATGTAGGATGTACATCGGCTTACATGCAGAATCAGTGTGAGATGTGAGGGCTAATATAAAGGTGTAGAAATTACTGTGGTACTTTGTCCATGCAAGGTGTCTATATATTATGATGCCCCCATTGCCGGAAAAGTACTACAGTGGTATACCGTTAGTTTGATACATATTGTATCAATCAATCGCTGTTTCTTCTGGTAATATTATCCTAACACATGCACCAATTCCTACGCGAGAATTTAGCACATGGTGGAATAGTTAGCCTACTACACATATTTTACGTATATTTGCTGGTCGGATACTGTTGTATCAATCGCTTTTAAGCACTTTGCAGTATGTGTAACCAGAAAGATATAACAGTTGGTTTTATGCTCACAAACACACTGGTATCTAATTCTATTTAATAATTCACTGTACAGCTGTATGTTCAACCTTCAAAATAGCATGGTTATAAGTCAATTGGACAGCTGTATGTTCAACCTTCAAGAGAGCATGGTTATAAGTCAAATTAAAAGCTCTAGGTTCAACCTTCAAAATATCATGTTTATAAGTCAATTTGCTGGCTTTAGGTTCAACCTACACAATATCATGGTTATAAGTCAATTGGCTGGCTTTAGGTTCAACCTACACAATATCATGGTTATAAGTCAATTTGTATAAGTTAAATAGATATTGTATAAGTTAAATAGATATTTGTGTAGCATCCCAGCCATGTTAATCCAAAGACGCCTCCGCTGGCTTGGACACATCAAGCGAATGCAACCTGGTCGCATACCAAAGGACGTGCTATACAGCGAGCTGGCGACAGAGAAAAGGTCAGTTGGACGGCCTCGTCTGAGATACTTAGACATGTGCAAAAGAGACATGAAGTCGGCCAACATCGACATCTCAAACTGGGAGGAGCTGGCAGAGGATCGATCCTCATGGCGGGCATCGTGAAGGCAGGATCACTACATGCCGAGGAGCAAAACAGGGTGGAAACAGCTGCAAAAAGAGCAAGGAGGAAGGCCGGTAAATACTGCTCCACCGCATTCGTGTGTGGGAAATGTAACAGAGACTGCCATTCGAGGATTGGTCTCACCAGCCACACCAAGAGTTGCAAGCAATAAAGATAATCTATCGTCTCCCGCAGATGGAAAGATGCCATACATACAAGTGAATTGGACAAGTGTAGGTTCATCCTACATTATCCCATGGTTATAAGTCTATTTGACAAGTGTAGGCTCATCCTACATAATATCATGGTAATAAGTCTATTGGATGGCTGTAGGTTCATCCATTAAAGTATCATTGTTATAAGTCTGAACAGAAAACCTCCATTATTACCACCTAAAAAATGAATTGTACAAACATAGAAATATAAAGACGCATTTGCTTTAAAACTTTGAATGCAAATAACTTATTAGTGCACCCATTGTAAGAAGGGTCACATGGACAGACCAGAGACCATGTACGTCACGCAAAGACCAAGGTGGTCTACTACTTTCCCTCTGGCAGATTTTCTGTGGTGAAATGACTATTCCCAGCAACTTCAAAGTGAATAAAAGTTTAAATCCCGCACCAACACCCTAAAGACCTATATGCATATATACGTACCCTGTCTCAGCTATTCAAGATAGACTTTAAAATTTGTATAAGTTAAATAGATATTTTAAAAAGAAGTGGTTGGGACTCCTCATAGATGAATGTAAAACTTCCTTTATTACTAACTGTTTTAATGCTCTCTAAAAAATGTGGATATTCAAATATAGGCCTACTGTTGTAAAGATAATAAAATCCCCTTTCCAACAAGATGTATTTATAAAAAAAATACCCAAGGGTTCCGGAGAAATAAATTATTAAACATATCCCAAAAGCACACATTGAGGTTTCCCAAATCTAAGCAATATACACATTGGAGGTAACAACATTGTGTAGTACATAACCCTGAGGTCAAAGTCCACAATTCAGTTTCGTAAAGGTGCCGTCTGCCCTGCCACAAATATAACAATACGATGTGCAGACCTATCAATAAAAACAACAAATAATATAAATGGCTTCTTAAGACATATGAAGATGATTTTAAAACCACATCAATATTTAAATATTTTTTTTGTTGCTGTCCATAATGAAAAATAATGTCAATATTGTTACACATCAACTCTAACCTTTACATTATTTTATTTTTAATAATCACTTAAAATTTGCATCTGATACAATCAATTTTAATTTCATTCACAAATTGTATTGCTGGCATATTGTAAGTAACTGGACAAGTTTCAAAGAATTACAAACGTAACCTATTGAAAATTCAATTACATTTTTCAACAGAGGGCTGGTACATCTTGACCATTCTTGTTATGTGACCAGACTATCTTAGATGAACCTGGCCATAAACCCAGTATAGTGGTGAACAACCTGTAGGTCAAGATAACCATATTTGTAACCAGAGCGTATTATTGACATCAGTGATTTTCAATCTTTATTTCTTTGATGGACCAGTGGAAATAGGAGATATATTTCCTTCGATGCTGAGACATAATTAAAAACTTTTTTTTTTGATGTGTAGACCTATTCATTTTTATTTAATATCATGAAATGGCAATCCATAATCATTTAGTATTATCAAAAACTACTCTGATTCCTGATGAGTCTTTCTTAACTCCTTGTTCTCTCTTAATTTATCTTTTTTCACCTTTCTGTTAGGCCTTCTCCACCCCACCACAATTGTTTATTCACTTTCAGATATTAATATACTACTGATAATGGAATTATTGATGATAAAACTGATTGACATTTACTGCTTCTTTCATTCTCACAGAAGAACATTTTAATAATACAAATGCCAATAAATCAACAATAGAAAATGAAGAAATTAGCCAGAGTGAAGTAAGCGAAAAGCAAGTTGAAGCTGAAGAGGAAACATCAGAGGCAGAACAAGAAATTATTGTTGGAGATATAGATGAAAAAAAGGGTTTGTTACTGATTTTAATTCTTTTTTTAAAAACTGGAACAAAATTATTAACCCTTTCATTACGGCTGGTTTTGGGCCATCGATTTTTTAGCTGACTCAGCAATTTAAAAAACTTAAGAAACTTGGGGTATTTTTCATTCTCTATCTGATTCACTTATTAACTTCTCTATAGATTAACAAATAAAGAAATATATAGCATTGAAATATGATGTCGACGTGACATCCTTGGTAATTGAAAGTGGGTGATCGTGACGTCGCATCGACATCATCGGTAACGAAAAGGTTAAAAAGTACTATAACGTTTTTATTTTATGGGATCTATTTAATTTATATTCAAGGAACTTCGAACTGAGCATTTTTCTCATAACTTTATGAACCAGATATATCCATTTTGCCACCATCCTGGTGATATTATTGCTAGCTTTATTCATACTATGTTTTGTATGTTCACAGTTTCATTAAAATTTGTGTAACCTCACATATTTAGGATATTTGCAATCTCATCTGTCATGCTTTTAGTTTCATTAAGTTAAAGCTTAAATATACTTCATTTTATGTGTCAATTTCGAACCTATTGATAAAATATTATAAGAACCTTTGTATCTTTACAGAATTAAGTAAAGAACATGAAGATGAAATTTCAAATAAAGGAGAAATTGATGTGCAATATGTACAAAATGAAAAGTTAGAGTATGGTAATAAAGAAGAAGACGGTGTGAGTGTTAAAGAAGAAGATGAGGAGGAAGAAGAAAAAGTTGATGAAGCAGAGAATAATGAGGGAGAAGAATATGATGTTGAGAAAGATGTCTCAGAAGATGAGAAAAGTATAGAAGGTAATTCAACATTCTTCTCCTTTTCTATGTTCTAGGAATAAAATATGTTGTTTCATAACATCAGTAACTTGGTAACTAAGGAAATGTTCAAGAAATACATTGAAGGGATGGTAGAAGGGAAACGAGCTCAAAATGGTCCTAACACATCTTCTGAAATCTTGATATCCATTTAAATTGTGTAATAATTCTCTATTAAAATGAGAATCTTCTGTTCAAAACAAATTTTTTGTCTGTGTTGGTTTATAAATGTTACTTTTCCAAATTTAAAATGTTCACAGCAAATTGAGTGAGAGAAAAATTAATTAGATTGTATACTCAAGATTTCATTCACAAAATCAAAATTTTTTTTCGTTAGTGTTTTAATTAATTTTAATATATATTTATATATATACAGTGGAACCTCTCATAACGAGTTTAATTCATTCCAGACTCTTACTCATTAAGTGAAACACCCGTTAAACGAAGCAATTTTTCCCATACAAATCAATGTAAAATACGATAAGGCGTTCCATGCTGAAAAAATACTAATTCAAAAATTTTTATTAACATTTATTCAAATAAAATTACTTACGAATTGTTAAGGAGTGTAACAACTTGGAATACAATTTAGATTTGAAACAAAAAACTTAAATAAAAATATGAATTTATGACAAATAATTAATCCTTTTTAACTAGAAAACTGTGTAAAGACATTTGTTTTTGCAGACGCTTCAAAATTTGACGAAATGTGTCACAGCATTATCATTGAATAAATTTGTAGCACGAATAGCCACGCTCACACCTTGTTCTCGCTTTTCAATGATTTTACTTTTCATTTCAAGAGTTATTTTTTCTCTTTTCTTGTGGTTTTTTTTTTTTCGAAGACATTTTAGCATAGGTTATTACATTTTCCACATAAAAAAATTACGAATACTGTCTGAATACAAAATTTGTAAAAACTGGTGATCACATATGAAAACAATACGCTAACAGACCAAGTGCTAAACACAGAATAATGCAATTGTTCTCAACCTTCCTAGTGCCGCGACCCTTTAATGCAGTTTCTCGTGTCTTGGTGGCGACCCCCCAGCAACCTAATTATTTTCATTGCTACTTCATAGCTGTAAGAATATGTATTTTCAGAAAGTCTAAGGGGACCCCTGGGAAAGGGCAGCGGTATCCCCAAAGGGGTCACAACCCACATATTGAGAACCGTTGGACTAATGCATCAGCGCGGAAACCCCAGCTCACAAATGAATGTCAGGAAAAAGGGACTTCCCCTTCCCGCGTAACTCGTTATGCGAAATATCGCTCGTTAAGGGAGCAACTTCTTCACATTTTTTTGCTCGTTATGCGAATTACTCGTTATGAGAGGTGCTCGTTATGAGAGGTTCCACTGTATATATATATTTTATTAATTATATATGAGGGTGCTGGATGGCCGAGCTGTCTAAACTGTCTCAAAGCAGCTGGCGTTCAATCCCCACCAAAGTCAACATCTCAAGCACGCCGAGTGGATGGGACTCGTTAGCCTTGGACGGCAACCCATCTAAGAGAAGGCAAACTCTGAATGAGCCAGAATGATGAACAAATTGAACGTGGGCCCCTCACATATAAGAAGAACTTTTAAAATTCAAAAGTGTGACCATTCTAAGCTTGAGAACTTTTTCAGGTCATTCAGGGTTTTTTGATACTTAAAAAAAGCTAGATGAAAAGTTTTTCAATAAATCTAAAACATTTTATGGCAGATTTGTGGGGAAAAAATTGTCCTGGAGAAATTCAGATAATATTGTAAATTGTAATTGTGAAAGTGTCTTGTCTTTTTTTTTTCAACAGAAATTTTTAATAGAACTTAAATTAATTTTTTTACTTTTATTTAACAGAAAAACTTAACCTTGAATAAGAAATATAAAAGATATGAATAAATAAACACCATTTATTTACTGAAAATAATTTTTAAAATATTGAAATGGTCCCAGTTGTTGTTTTTGTGTGTTAATATTCTTGTTTTATTAAATTTAGAATTCATATTTATGTTTTTATTTTGTTTAAAGATAATATTGTTATATAGCAAAAGCTACCCCATATATATTAATATTTTTTTTGATGTAAGCCAATCTTATGTCTTTTTATTTTCATTCTAAAGCAGTAAACTATCTAAAAAATGTTTGTTTTTTCTGCCTTTATGCCTTCCATTAATTTACCATTTCTGTTTTAAAAAAGCTGATAAAGTAGAGGAACCTGAGCATCAAGATAAGGACAATAAAGATAATACTGATAACTTGATGCATGAGCTGAAAATAGAAGAAAATGAGCAGTTTAATGAAGGACAGGACAACACAGTCCAAGAACAGGACAAAAAAGAGGAGGAAGCTCAGTATGGGCATGAACAAAATGAGGTTCTAAATAAAGATGATGAAGGGATAGAAAAAGAAGAAAAATCTATTAAGGATGATGAAGGAATAGAAGAAGAAAAAAATGAGCCAAATAAGGATAATAAAGGGATAGAATTAGAACATGATGCAATCAGATTGCAAGAAGTTAACGAGCAGTATGAATTGGGATACAAGGGAGAAGAACAAAATCTGGTGGACAGCAAAGGTCTTCATGAAGATCTTGGAGATGGTGAAGATAACTCTAGTTTAGTTATAGAAGATGTGCATCAACAAGGAGGTAGTTGCTTTTTTGTCAGTCTCATGGGTGAAGGCTTTTTATTTCATTTCTTTTTTTTCCCATGTGTAAAATAACACAGCCTAACCTAATAATTTTATGAATTTATCCAATGAACCTTTTTCTTCTGCATAATCCTTTTGAATTTAGCAGCAAACTGATTAGTAAAAATATTTTGTGTAAAAGATAGTTTATAATTCTCCTTTTAATTTCTGCTGAATATGTCCTGAATAGTTTTACTGTGGAATAACCATACTCTTTTTTTTATGTATATTACATCTATAATGACATGTATTTAACTTCCTTGCATCATTGTAAGTTCAACTAACCAAGTAATATTTTTTTTGTAAATTATTATATTTCTATTGCTTTTATGCTGATAATAAAGTTAAGTAGTTTGTGCTATTATTTCTATTCTTTCCAACAGTATAATCTAGGATTCTGATGCTAGTAGCAAGCACACTACTTATAACTAGTCATGCAGAACATCGTCATCATCATCATCGCCTGTCGTCCTGTCTGGGGCATAGGCCACAAACAAAGGCTCTCCAGGCATCCCGGTCTTGGGCAAGTCTCTCCAGCTGTCTCCAGTTCTGCCCACTCTTTTTGGTGTCTGCCTCTAGTTCCCTTCTCCAAGTCATTTTGGGTCTACCTCTTTTTCTCTTGCCCTGGGGGTTCCAAGTGAGGGCTTGTATTGTGATACTTGATGTGAGCTTTCTGAGGGTGTGGCCAATCCATCTCCATCTGCGATGGCAGGCTAACACTTCCACTGGTTCTTGTTGTGTGCGCCGCCAGAGATCCTCGTTGGTGATGACGTTTGGCCAACGGATTCAGAGAATCATTCGGAGAAATGAGTTGATAAACGTCTGTAGCTTTTTTGAACCAGCTGCTGTTGTTCGCCATGTATCTGCTTCATATAGCAAGACAGGTTTCACTGTGGTGTTGAATATCCTGACCTTGGTCTGGAGGGTCAAGTTGCTGCAGCTCCAGACTTTTTTTAGCTGGTTAAAATGCAGCTCTTGCCTTGCCAATTCTCACTCTTCTGTCGTATGTCAATGATGCTGCCAAGGTATGTAAAGCTATCCACCTCTTCAAGGTTTTTTTCCTTCCAGTGCTATAGGTGTGTTGCTTGATGTATTTATTTTAAGGACTTTGCTTTTTCCTCTATGGATGTTCAGGCCAATGCAAGCAGAGTACTGTGCTACATAATTGGTTTTCTCTTGCATCTGTTGCTATGTGTGTGATATTAGGGCCAGATCATCTGCAAAATCAAGGTCATCAAGCTGTTTCCATAGTGTCACTGGATACCATTTCTCGTCTGCTCTGCAGACATTTTCATTATCAAATCAATGGTCAGCAGGAATAGGAAATGCGAGAGCAGACACCCCTGTCTGACACTGGTCTGTACCCCAAAAGCCGCAGGTGTTTGTTGGTCATGAACAATTCTGCATGACAGACCTTCGTAAGAAGCCTTAATTATGTCTGTCAATTTTTGTGGTACCCCGTAGTGTCTTAGCAGCTTCCACAGAGTCTATCTGTCTACACTATCAAAAGCCTTCTCATAGTCAATAAAGTTGATGTATAGTGGCGAGTTTCACCCCAGGGATCGTTCCACAATAATTCTCAGTGTGGCAATCCGGTCTGTGCAGGATCTGTCTTTTCTGAAATCTGCTTTTTGGTCCCTAAGATTGGGATCTATTGTCTCCCTCATTCTGTTTAGCAGCATTCTGTTGTATACTTTCATTGGGATGGACAGCAGGGTTATACCTCTATAGTTAGAGCAAAATCTAAGGTCTCCTTTCTTCAGGAGCTTAATGAGGTGCCCTTCTTTCCACTCAATCGTTATCTGTTCTTCCTCCCATATTTTCTTGAATAGTGTGTGTAGCATTTCAGTGCTAGTCGTAATATCTGCTGTCAAGGCTTCTGCCGGTATTCTGTCTCGACATGCCGCCTTGCCTTTCTTTAGTTGTTTAATTGCTCTGCATATCTCTTGTTTTGTGGTTGTGCTGCAATCTATTTCTAGATCTTGATCCGCTGCCTCTATGTTTGTTGAGTGTGTGTTGTGGGGCTGGCCGGTTGAGGAGTTCTTCAAAATGCTCTTTTTCTTTTTCCTATATTGAATTTTTTCTATGGTTTCAACAGAAATCCATTTTTTATGTGTTTGTTGCCTAGGGCCCAACACTTCTTTGCAGGTAGTCATGAATATCTCTTTGATGTCTTTCCAATTTTGGTCAATTGTTTTCTCATTGTTTAGTTCTTGTAGGATTTAGAACATGTTGGAGATAGTAAGTTTAAACTCAATTAATTTGGATTCGTCTTTCAAGAGTTTGGTGTGTTATAGAGAGCTTGTTTACATCATATTTCTCGTGCGTGCCCTCTGATTGACCCCGCATGAGACGCTGTGTTCACAAAGGGGTGTGGCTTAGGTCTTTGAAGTAGCTTGTTTACAATCGGCTTCCAATTACGCATTGGGTAGATTGTTTTCGGGTAATTTCTGGAATATACTCCTTAACCCGAGATATGTAAACAACACGTCATAAGCCCTTCTCGAAGCATCTTACTCTACATATATATAAGGGATTGACAGTTTGTGTGCTCCTACTTATATGTGTTTATTTCGCATTATTTATTGGCATCATTATTTCTAATTGTATTAACTGTGTACCGGTACGAGATCCACCATACTGTAAGTTGAAGATTGTAATTTTATTTTATTTTCTTTTGTAATTATCTTTAGCCATAATAAATCTTAATTAAATTGTAACTAGAAACTGTTTTAGGTCGTATATTTAATATTGTTGATTCTGTGGTATCGTCCTTTGTTAGGCACTGTTTTCAACGAGCCAATTAAAATAAAAATAGGAGATTAATTTCTCCCAATACAAGTCAGTGCGTAACAGGTGTAAAAACGGCGCTTGCTTCCCTCGCTTGTCCAGTTCTTTTTCAGTTTAAGCCTTAATTTGGCAATCAGTAGATGATGGTCTGAGGCTACATCTGCCCCCCTTTTGAGCCTAGCATCTTGGAGCGATTGTCTAAACTTATTGCAGATACAGAAATGTTCAATTTGGTTAGCCGTTGACATATCTGATGATATCCATGTCGCCTTATGGATATTTCTATGCATGAAGAGGCTCCCTCCGATGACCAGTCCATTTAAAGCACATAGATCTGCTAGTCTTTCACCATTTTCATTCATCTCTCCCATGCCGTGTGTTCCCATGCATTCTTCATAGCCTTTATTGTTGCTGCCTTTTTTGGCATTTAGGTCCCCATGAGTCTAACCACATTGCTCTTAGGACACTTTTAGACAAGGGTTTGCAGTCTGTTGTAGAAGTCCTCTTTGTCCTCTTCTTTACTATCATTGGTAGGAGTATTTACCCGTAGGATGTCCATATTGACTTTTCGTTTTTTAGTCTTAAATCTTACCGTGATTATACGAGGACCCGGTCCTGGAAAGCTTGAGTGCCACTCATTGGTTGTGCGCCACATTTTCATCTTTGTGGCCTGAGAATAGCAGTAGATCCCCTGTGCTGGGCTTTATCTACCTGAGCCTGTCCATCGAAACTCACTTATTCCTGAGATGGCTAGTTTGTATCTCTGCATTTCAGCAGAAACTTGGACAGTTTTTCCAGTTTCGAACTTGGTCCTTACATTCCATGTTCCTAGACTGGTGGTGGTCCTCGTAGAGAGGATGTTTGTCTACTGGGTGGTTTCCAGTTGGCTTTGGCCACCCAGCTTCATTAATTCTCTGTTAGGAGACCCATCTTTTCCAAGGGTCTCCGAGCTTCCTTTTGAAATCTTTGTTTGTGTTTTTTCGCCTAACCCTCTTCCTCTCTCACCCGGGCTTGGGACCGGCTACAGCGGAGTTCATGCAGAACACCGACCTTTAAAATATATGCCATTAAAAAATTTATTGGTTTTCAAAGTTGAAATGCTTTAATTGTAAACTAATTGGTTTGATGAATTTTTGTACAACTTTACAAAGTCTAAACTTTGCCTAGAAGATTATTTATTCCTTATTCTTTGAAAATTTAGTTTTGTTAATGTAAACCTGAAGAATAAATGTGTAAGAAATTGTTGCTTCTTTGCAATTTTGATTACTATTTACATCCAAAGTGAATATTTTTAAACATAACTTTATTCATTTTCTGATTTTAAAAACATAAAAAAGTAAAGAAATGAATTGAATTTATTTTAAAAATAAATCATTTGCAAGATTTTCAATGTCAATTATCTTGTTAATATTTGTTTGAATTTATTTTACTTTGTAACAGATAGACTATTGGAATATTTACCAGTAAAATACCTTATTAATTTTAATGTAAAGATAAAGTTCACTGATATATTTTTTATTTTTTTTTCATTTAAATCTGAATAATTTTTTTTAATTGTTATGTGTGTGGGCATAATTTACCTGTGGTTTCAGACAGTTAAGCAAAGTTTGTCTCCCAGTGAAAAAAAAAATTTAAAAAAAAGAACATTTTTTTTTCTAATTGTTACATTAAAAGATTTAAGGTAGGACTCAAAAGGGTGGGGGGTGGAGGGGGGCTGGAATTGTTTGAAATAATTTTTTTTCTCCTTGGGATATACACATAAACTCTTGCAACTTTTTAATTTACAGAAGCGGATGAAGCGCAATATCAAACAGAGGGTTCTCCAACTGGGGTATGTTACCCTTTGTTATTGAATACTGAGAAAAAAACTTTGTACTGCTGAAATATTAGAAATGGATTATATTTTTTTGTTTGTCATCCTGATCAATTTTATCATAGATATTTATTTAGCCTTACCATAATATGGCTGAGTGGTCTAAACTGAGCAAATCTCAATTCAATGGTCTGGAGTTCAATCCCATTTAAGAGAAGGAAACTCTGAATTTAAAGCTGGAGATTGAGTCCCGTTTCGGGATAATATTGGTTCAATGAAAAATTCTGACAATTCCTGCAACACCACTGGTGCCAAGCTGTATCATCCTCTATGAATACTTGAATATAGCACTTGTATCCATGCTATTTTAACATGCTCACAGCTAATGGTTGTGCTCACATGGTGTTCCCTTGGGTTATTCAGCGAGGAGAGAGGCGATTTGCTGTTATCAGCTTATAATCCTAAAAGAATAATCCCAGGCCTTGTGGATTTTGTCCTTCGAAGTCTACAACATTGTCACATTGTGATGGCTGGATGCCAGCAATCAAATAGTTAAAAATATGATTTAGCTGACTTAGATATTTAACCTTACTTCACTTAAATTAAAGAGTTATGAATAAAATAAAAGATTAAAAATGTTTAATTTATTTAAAGTCATTACATTTTAAGTTTTTGGCTATTTAGTTACAGTGCTAATAAATATTGAATAACCAAATGTGTGTGTTCATTTAGTTTCAATTTTTTTATTGCCTAATATATTTTTTTTTACACTTTATAATACTAGTAATAACTTGCCCAACAATGGCAATGCCTGAACTTCCCAGTTACTTGTGCAAAACATGCATTCAAGTAACGCACTTATAAGATTCCCAATTAGTGCTACCCCCACCCACCCGCCCCAGGGACACCACTGCAAACTTTTTTTCACGCCCCTGTGCCATATAATTTACTAATGTCTTGAATGCAGATTTATTACATCATATTTAAATTTAGACTATTTCTGTATAAAAAAATTAAAACATTACCACCAAATACACTTCCAATATTTTTAAGAATCACATTAAGCTCAGTTATCATGATTTTTATTTTGTGCACTATATAATATGGCTGAGTGGTCTAAACTGAGCAAATCTCAAGTCAATGGTCTGGAGTTCAATCCCATTTAAGAGAAGGAAACTCTGATTTTAAACTCCCCATTTCACCATGCATACATACATTCATACCAAGAGAATTATTAGTTGTGATTGAAGCATGAGCATTTTAAAAATTTAATTTTTTTTTAAAAAGGGACCAGATTATGCACATGTGGCAGAGGTTGAAGGTGAAGTGGAGAATGACGAACAAGAAGAGTCCTACTTGAAAGCATCACACAGATCAACACAACTTGACATGGACTTAGATGCTGACCAGTTCAGCTCAAGCCTATATGATAAGGTAGATTCCATGCTATTGCATAACTTCACAAATTCAATTATTAAAATTTCATCTTAACAGCACATAAATAATTTTCTCAAAGATATATTTTAATTTGTTATCTTACTTTTAAATATTGTAATATAGCTACAATTTGAATTATAAAAATAGTCAACTTTTTAAAAAATTTCAGCATATCTATGATGAAAATAAAAATGCCCGTAAGTATGTAAACAATATTTTTGTCTTATTAATTGAGTAGGTTGCAATAATTATCTCTTCAATCCATACAATATTTATAATTTACAGTGGTGTTTTAGAGAAGAATGATTTTACTGCCTTGGAATTGTAAAATATTATTCTAAAATTTTGGGGGGACTCACCGGACATGTAGCTGAATTGCACATGTTTCAAACTTTCACATCAGAAGTTAACTAGCTGTTTTATACTTGTTATTTGGTATAGCTTAGCTAAATAAAAATTATAGCTATTTTACTCTGTTTGTAATATTAAATTCTTATATTGTTACATTGTTTTCAATCTGGCCAAAACATATTGGAGTCATAAGCCATAACCAATGGCAAATCTAACCCTGTTTGTCTCCTGTATGCACACATTGCTGCCCATTTGTAAATTACTCTTTAAAGTTTAAAATAGAAAGAATTAAGCTCTTACCAATATGTCAAAAATACCTGCTCCTAATAAATTAGGCTAGGGGAGATAATCCATAAAAAGTATTCTCATCCCAGTTTCAAATTAAATAATTGATAATTTTTTTTTATATGGAAAGTGCCAATCCCTATAAAAATGAATGCCAAATTATCACTGAAGTCATTTTCCTTGGCATTGTGTAAATATGTAAATATGTTTAAGCATAATGAAGTTAACTATGTGAACATGTTACAGAATATGTTCAAACTTAGAATTAAGGGAATGACATAGTTTTAATATTTTTTTCTCATATAATTTCTTTAGATATCTCACCAAGTGTAAGTATTAAGTTTTTAAAGATATCCACTTTTATAATTCACTATCTGTTTCTGATAAATAATGGAAGATAACATGACTAAAATTAAAATTTATTGAGTGATCATTGAGTCATTATTTTAGTATCCTATAGCCAGAAACAAAATTAAATGGTTAAATAATTTGTGAATAAATAAAAAAATATATTGATGAAATGGTTTTGAACAGTTCACTGTGTCTTATTGTTCCTTCATATGGCGCATTTAATATAAAAATATACTTAATAAAAAATAATAAGCTTTAGTTTTGTCTTCAATTGGATTCATGCAGTGGTAATGTAAAAATGCACTTTATTAAAAAATATTGAAATGAATAAAATCCAAAACTATTCAGCATTTTGATGTCAGCCAATTTGTTCTGGGGTCACATTCAATGAACTCTTTTATTTCAGAATTCTGTCTCCAATTCAGGAAACTTGCCAACTCCATCTAGATCCTATACAAATATAGAGGGCCAAATGTCAACATCAGCATTGGTAAAACACACCTTTTCCTACAAGAGCTTCCAAAGTTTTTTTAAAAATTAGCAGATTATCCTTTAATTACTAAATTAGCATTAATTAAAAATTAATTAATTACGTTTCCAATGCATTAATTTTTGTTTTACACTATCTCCAGAATATTGTGTGGTCATTTGGCTTGAACCGTAATGTACCTGTGTTGAACCTCAGTGATGGAGTGAGACAGGCCATCATGTATCCTTGTGCACATGTTGGCATCATGTATGATTATAAAAACAACAAACAGCATATTCTGCAGGCTCATGTAAGCTCCTTTTAACAGTTTAAGTTGAGAACTATCATTGATCATCTTCAAATATTTTGGTCAGTTGACAGCCTGTGAAATTAGCACTAAATTATAGAATCATTATTTTAAATAAAAATATTGTTTTGCTTATTCAATTTATAGATAAACTGAGATTAAATTATATACATTTTAAAGATTACATAAATTAAAGGACTGCTTTCAAGCTTAGTAAATTAATGAAATAGCAAAACGAAGTATGTGGAAGCTTGTTTTGTGTCCTGTTATCTTATTTCAAGCTTCCACATACCTCGTTTTGCTATTTCATTCATTTAAAGATTTCAAAAGTTTATAAATAATTTTTATTTTAAATTATATTTTTATTATCAATGTATTTCAAGATATGACAAATTTTTATTTTTTTTCAGCTTAACCCAATCACTTGCTCAGCTGTCTCCCAGGACAAAAGGTGGCTAGTTACAGGAGATGTTGGTCCAGATGCCATGGTCAATATCTGGGACACTTATACTGGGTTTGTGAGACTGATAAATTTGGGCCTATATGAAATGCTGCATATCATCGCTGTAACTTTTTAAATTTGAAAAATGAATGTTTTTATAAAATTCTGACTTTTGCACATAGAGAGTTTTAGCAATAATATATAAAAATGTAAAGAAGTTATGAAAGATGATAAGCACAGTTGGATCCAAAGGTGCTCCTAGCAAATTTGGAAGAGAAAATTTTTGTTAATTAATTGATTAACATTTTATATCTTTTTATGCAATAGACCTGGAATTATATATACCAACCTGTATGGTTTATCCGCACTTTGTGCAGCTTTTATATATTTTAAAAGGTGTACAGCTAAAGGGGTGGCTGACATAATACCCTGGAATTATCGATGCTTCATCAGTCAGGTCATCACATGCATTTTGAAAAAAGACATTTAAGTGCTATTATGAAAGTGAAGCACATTTTAAAACATATTTGGACAAAGTAAACTTTGAGGCAATGAAGGGAGATTCTACATCTAATAAATCTTTCCTCGTCTTCATCAATACCTTGTATATTATCTATCGGATAACGTTCAAAGGGAAGATCTTATTTGCAAATTTGATTGCAATCACAAATAGTTTACCATGCAAAATTAAAAATTACATCTGTTGTTTGGGTTTTCAAACTGATCAAGAAAAGAAATTATGCAGAAGGCAAAGTTTGCTTACATTCAAAGCATTGATAATTAAAGAAAAAGTTATAAATTACATTTTTTTTCTGTACAGTTTTTCATGCTTTTGTACATTTTTTTGGGGGTACTATTTGTATAGTTTTTGATCCTGCATGTTGCCTGAATGCCTCAAATCAAAGCGAATTAAAAATAAAACAAGTATTTCTATTATTGGTCAACTTTATATTCAGTCATTTTGATGAATAAATAATTATAACAGATTTATCAATACAAAGATTTTTTAAAATCTCAATTTTTAATTTTAAGAAAAATTTGCTACTGATATTTTGAAGGACCTAAAAATCAATTTACAAGTGTTAAAATGTTTTGTTTTGTGTGTGTGTAAAATTTAACTTGTAAAATCCAAAGATGCTATTATGAGTATTATATTCTCAACTGAAGCTTATATCAATAAGGCATTTATATTTTTTATTAAATCTTACATTTATGCAGTACCCCAATCCAGACTATGTTTGACCCTAACCCAAAAGGGGGAGTAGTTGCTGTGGCATTAACTCCTGACTCACGCTACTTGGCAACTCTCAGTGCTCTGCCCATTCAGGTGTGTTGTGGCAATTAATTTCCCCTCCTCTTGGGCATGTTATTTTTACTAATTTAAGTTGTTTTTTCTTTAAAAGTTTTAAAATAAATAAATTTATATACCATTTTCTCACCCTCCTTTCTTTAATTAATTTTGTGGATTGTTTCTTCCAGACTTTGGCCATTTGGGACTGGACTGTGGACGGAGATGTTCCTATTTGTTCAGCTGATCTGAAACCAGCATATGGACTACAAAACTTTATTTACTTTGATCCAACTGATGTCCATCATTTAGTCACTAATAGTGAAACTCAAGTTCTATTCTACCACTGGGTAAGTTGACCTTAAGTCTTTCAGTCTCTTATATATTTAATTATTTGATTTTATAGTTTTAAATTGGTCGCCATTAATTTCTGCTAAATAATTTATGCTCTCAAATGTCTCACATATGTATTTTCTGTTGTGTTTCAAACACAATCTCATGTAATTTGAAATTCAGCTCCACTATGGAGCCATATTCTTAAATTTAATTTCTAATTTTAAAATTTGTTTACTGTTTGTCCATTCAGTAAATTGAAAGTGGGACAAACAAATCCTCCTTTTTTTAAAAGACAAATATGTTCATTTTTTTAGAATGGGTTCCTTTTTATTAAGTTTTCCCTGCCTGTTAACTCTCAAAGTATGTTATATTGACTTTTCGAGCTTGAGTGGTCGATAGATTATTAATTGATTTTTTATCACCTGTTACATACCAAATATATTTGTAACTTTTTAACGTGCAAATGTAATTTTTTTGAGAAATAAAAAAAAAATATCCATTAATAAAAAAAATTTAGTCTGTGCATTGTGTTTCGTTTTTCTTTATGACACGATTTTCGTCTGCCATATTGCCGTTCCTGTGAAACTTCACTGAAGGCTGGTGACACAAAATGTGACAAATAGGCTCCAAATTTATCTTTCAACATTATGTTGATTATATTTTAAGTCAAAACGTGAGACTAGCCCGATAAAAACAAGAAGAAGACATGACTGATGATGATTTTGTGTATTTTTACCTGATCGAAAGTTCGCTATCAGCGGTAAGATTTTTGTCTTTGTTACGGCAGCTCAAAACACATTCAAATTTTTTGGAATTAGTGGAAAAAACTATGTTTACATTGATATACTTTAACAGTGGACTTCACAGTTATTGAAATTAAGTATTTAAGGTCATTTATAGTAATTCATTATTCCTGTATATCAAGTGTAGATTTTATTATCATTATTTTTTCATAGGTATAGTTGTTTGAAATTTCCTTTGTTTACATAAGATACACTTAGAAGAGGCAATGAGTTTTTGGTCTTTAATTTAACCTGGATTAAAAATTTAATTTTGAATTTACGTTACTTTTAATTGAATAATGCATTTAGTTTTGTTCCTACATGTAATGCTTATATTTTATTATAATTTCATAGTGTCAGGGTGGTGACTTGGATATTGGACAACCCAATCATCATGACAATGATATTCCTGTCCCAAGACCAGAGCTAACTACTGAAACCTGTCCAAAACAAGATAAGATAAGGAGTACATTCACCTTTATCACTTTTCAACTTCAATTTACATCAACAAGGTTGGAGATGCTTTGTAAATGTACACAACAAATGCACCTGCAGTGTTATGGCAACTAAGCAAACTTGATTTTAAAACTGGACCTTCCAGCTAATAAACAAAATTTCTAACATTCATTGGACTCATAACCTACAGGCTCCACTTGTGTGATCTGTTACTGGATATAAAGGAGTTTATTCACTGGATTATGGAATTCATAATTTTAAAAATTTTTTTTGCCAATGTACATGCCTGTATAGTGAGTTTCTATGCGAAAAAACAGAGTAAACTGTTGGTAAGCAGGTACATTTAATTTCATCAGTACCAGATGAAAGGTAAATGCATGCAAATATGGTCCCTGGAGCAACCATAATAAATAATCAAGAGAAGCAGGAGAGGATAAGATGTACTCATTTCATACATGTAACACAATACTGTCAATACTGGTATGAACAACATAACTGTAAATGAACTATTGTTCCTGGCAGATTAAATATCTAAACATTCTAATGGTTCTGTTGTTATAGTAAGTTGAGCTAAATCCAACACCTGTGGCTAGTTGTTTGGACTTTGATAAACTTAGTGGATAAAAGATATCAGCTTTGGATGAAATACAAATAATCTGGACAACAATATTATTAGTAGAAGAAAACTACTGTGGCAAAGACTGGTAAGAGAATTATCCTTTCATTTAATTTAATTTTCTAGTGATAGGCTTATAGTCATATTTATTTTAATCTGAAGAAAACAAAATGCATTTCTTGAATAATTAAAAAGATCTGAAAGCTTAAGTCTTTTTAATTCCTTAGTCGCTCATTTTTCTGCTGCAGCAATATGAATGATTATAAAACACCAATGGCATGCTGTTACAAGAGCAATTGTTACTTACAGTAAAGATATAATGTGAAAATCTTTATTTTTTAAAAGAGAGAGAAAATTTGGGACTTAATGTGCTGTCATGTTAAATAAATATTTCTGGAAAATAGATGTGGTCATATTTCATACCGATATGTTTATTTGTACCCAATGTGGTATATTTTTAATAAACATATGTAAAAATTATTTATATCCACTTATTTGTAATAATTGTATTTCTCTCATGAAATACTTGCCTGGTATTCTTTAACATTTTTTTAAAAATTCGCTATTTTAAAAAGTTTATGAAGTATTTTAATAGTGGCATAATTAATACAAATAATGGTAAAAGTTCTTGGAATTTTTATATTTGTTGTTAAAATGGATGCAATTGATGAATATAATAAACATTTTAACTTAGGACTAAACACTTATTTCTTTGCTTCTACCTGTTTGTGGTATGTTTACATTTTTAAATAAAATTTAGCACACCTAAAAACCTAATCTTTTGGCCACAAATCAAAGCCATAATGAACTTTGATCTCATAATTGGTATCAAATAATAGATCATTTAATTCTGAATCAAAGATTGTAAGGGTACCTAGTAAGGGAGACAAAAATAGCAGAAAACCAAGAATATTTGAGAGTTAAGTAAATAATTTGAAAACCCGGTGATAGCGCTGCATCAGATCTAGTTATAATTTAAATAAAAAGAAATTTTTAAAATATTTAGCTTTTCAATGAATGACTTGCTTTGTTCATCTCCACAGGAAGACGCTGCCATTAAATACTATGCACCTCCATTAAGTGACAATGACTTTAACAAACCTGTTGGCCGCTACAGTCAGTCATTGTTTCAGATTGGAATTGCGAGGGCTCTGACAGCAACATCCATTGGGAATCTAGTTGTCTGGGACAACAATCGTCCATTATCTAAAAGTAAGTTAAATTTATTACACTGATTTGTAATAACTGCTTCATGGCAAACATTACGTACACAGCCATTTCATGGCAAAATAAAAGTAACAAAAGTGTCACACCCAACCTTAAATTATTTTCAGTCTCCAAAAATCTGTTTACTGCTTTCCATTTTCTGCCTTTGTTTCAACATTCTAGTTAGTTCAGTGATTCTCAAGTGGAAGGTTAGCGACGGAGGCCACAAAAAAATATTTAAGAACCAATAGGCTATTGTTTTAATGATGGTGTAAAAAAATTCTTAAGTGCCCGTCATTTAATTTCAATGTTAAAGAATTTTATGGGTTAAGTGTTTATAAGTAGGCCTTAGAGACAACAGCATTTCGTGATTAATTTAAAGAATTAATTTATAAATTTTTATTTCATAGTGTACATGAAACCTGAAATAGATGTTTGGACCGGCCTTCCGAGTAAATCCACCTTGTTTTTCTGTTACACATTTTAATTTTTTATTGGAATATCTTGCCTAAGCAAAGTAATTCCCCCTACAACTTTTAAACATATCCAGTTGTCACTTTATCAAATTTTAGAATTGAAAATGGGGAAACAAAAACAAGTATCTTTTATAATATTTGTATGTAGGAGAACCCCTCTGTCAGGATATGAGCTCCAAACATCACAATTGTAAATAAAGATCTTTCTGGTAATTAATTTGTTAAAGTTGCATAATGACCTTATTAAAAAAAACATTATATTTGTATAGTCATAGATTGATTTATTTAATTGAGAGAGCTGGTAGCATAATTTTAGCCAAGGGAAAACAGAGTTTTTGTCCTATCCCTTTCCTCCAAACTCACCCTTCCATCCAAGTTTCACAATGACCCCCTGGTTTTGAAAATTACCCCTTTTGTTTGAAATATTTAATTTGACAGTGTTTACATTTTACAATTTAAACAAGATTTCTTTGTTTTATTTGAGTATTAACAAGGACATTTTTTTTCATGTTGAAAAGAGAGATCAAATTTGTGAATTTTCATAATAAAAGTTGTTTAACTAGATGTGTATTTATCAATATCAATGCTTGTTTAACGAAAATTAAAATGTGTTTTCTGATTATCTAAGGAACAGTTTAAAATACTGGCCGATTTTAAAATTAAATTAAATTTTAACTAAAGTTTTCAATTTATATAGAATAGTTGTTTTTTTTTAAGAATGGTAACTAAAGGTATAATTATAAGTAGATAACTTAAGATATAATTATAAGTAAATAACTTAACATGTAATAAATTCACTTGTTTCATATTTCACACAAATTCCAATTCACATCATAATTCATGTCACTACTTGCACTTTTATCTTTCAGTTATGGATGTCAACCAAAGTGCTGATAAAAAGCCTTTGAAAATCATCAAAGTACATGATAAAGGAATCAATGTTCTGACCAACACTGACCAGTAGGTATTTTATGTACATAACTGTTTCGGAGTATAGATGTTCTGACCAATGTGACCGTAGAAACACATAATTGCTGCAACTCATGTGTGAATCACTTAAGGCCAAAAAAATAAATGAGATCCATAACAAGGCAAAAATTGAGAATATATAATTCTTTCTAAAACAGTGGGTATTCATCCAATGTTTGAACAATAAATAATCATTTCAAACTCCATGACACCATTTCAATACTTTCACTTCACAAACTTAAACTAATTCTATGATTGAAACGTGTTCACAATCTTAAACTAAGTCTATGATTGAAACATGTATTTGGGACATTAAAATTACTCATAAATGTGGTTTTCTGAATCTTAAAGTTAATTGATTTGTTGCAAAGGGGTCACAAACAGGAATTGAGACCTACAAGCTGTTGCTTGTGGCAAGCAATGTGTTTGGTGTCACACATTCTAATAAGTGTGTGTTCAGCCCTTGGCATCAAAATCTCTTTATTTAGCGCATATATTGGTTTAGTTTGAAAGTAGGGTATATAATATTTTTTAAATTGTCAAACTTATTTCAGATACATTGTCATTGGTGACACAGCAGGGCATATAAAGTTCTATGACCAAGGCCTTAGGCTAATCTACTGGTAAGTTGTTTGGGTTTGATTTGCTGCTGTTAACTTGGTTGCTTTGTTAAATACTTTTAAAAAACGATTACTTAATTTTGTTCAATATCCTATTGCCCTCTTTAAACATTTCCGTTTCAGGTACCAGGATTTTCACTCTGGTCCATGTACAGCCATTTCATTTGCTCATATGCCAGATTTTGTCAATGTGTAAGTTATATTAATATTTTTACATTTTAACAAAATTGAAAGAAATATAAAAAACATAACATATAATATATCATTTACATTAAATTTGTTAATAATACGACCAAGAAAAAATGCATATCAGAGTCTCTTTTGAAAAATAATGTTATCAGAAGTGGAGCATATTTTACATAATACATATTTTTATCCTCAGTGCTACTGAAAACAGTAAATACCCTTCAGATGCAACCAAACAAGCTAAACCATTTGTTATCAGGGACTTTATTGTTGGAACTGCCATTGCTGTCTACTGCAGCATAAACACAGATGGAAGCAAACTGAGGGTAAAAACTTGTAAACATGTGTTTACAGTGATGTCATGGTGTGAGATATTCAGAGCAATGTGTTAATCCTGATATTTTACAGTGCAATGTGATATATTGAAGTTTTTGGGGTAATTTATAGATATATATTTTCTACACTATAACTAATACATTTTTTACCACCCCTTTACTAATTTATAAATACATTTGTTCTGACAGGTAATCCACAGAGAACATGATGCTGCAGTGCATGCCCTAGCTGCTCATCCTCAACTGTAAGTTCAACTAATAAAATCATTAAAAAATATTGAGTTCCTTTGGGGCACGTACCCTTTGTTGACCAGAGGCCAAAATAAAGAATTTATACACTCTGCAGCTAATTTTTTGTTTGTACAGCTTTCAAAATTAATAATATAAGCTGTCATTATAACAAGTGTAATATCATGAAAATTCTGTAAAAGGAATTTTCCATAGACAATAACTACAGTTGGCTGGGGGGTGGGGGGGGGGCAAGGCTTTAAATATCATGGTATTTGTGGGACTCAACTCAAATACACCAGTACTGCTTGTTTTCTTAAAAAATTTGCCCTAAAAGTGTCAGCTAGATATACAAAATCACCTTTCTTGACCTGGCACAGTGGTTCTCAACCTGTGGGTCGTGACCCCTTTGGATTTGACCCATTCACTGGTGTTGCCTAAGACCATAGAAAAACACATATTCTCTACAGTTATGAAGTAGCAACGAAAATAATTTTGTGGTTGGGGGTCGCCACAACATGAGGAACTGTATTAATGGGTCGCGGCATAAGGAAGGTTGAGAAGCACTGACCTAGAAGAACATGACTTCAAGACATGTTATCTTTGGCTGGTTTCAATATGAAAAGTTGGAGTTTATGAACACAATTTGAAATGGACTTTTGCTTCAAATAAACCTTGTTTGATTTAAAAAGCTTAATAAAAAATTCAAACTTAATAACTTACAAAGATTCATTCATCTTTTTGTTTGCCCAACTAGGCCTATAGTAGCTATTGGCAGTTACTCTGGTCTTCTTAAACTGTGGAATTACAGAACAAAGTAAGTGCACTTAAAAAAAAAAAACAGAACACATTAACTCTCTGCAGTCCGACTATAGAGAAATGGTACTTTTTGATTTTGTGGGTGGGTTATTTATTTTTTAACTTAAATTTTTAATCAAAAGAAATTATTTATTATATTTTGATAATTTGTGTCATTGGTTTAAGTACTAGTAAAAATATTAAAATTATTACAAAATTTGAAATTACTATTAAAAAAAAATTTTTTTGGAAACTTATTCTGCGCAGAGTATTCCTTGAAAGCTTCGCAGATTTCCAAAAAACAAAATAATGTAAGTGTCACAAAAAAATTAATTATTAGTATCAATATTGTCAAATGATTTTCATTTCCTGATTTATCAAGGAGTTATTTTTTTTTTATCAAGTAATGCATCCAAATGGAGACTCTAATTAAGAAATTTATCCCACCGACTAATGCTATCGTAAACAAGCAAGCTTAATTTTAATTATCATTTCATTCTATTTGAATTTTATTGAGTTTCAATAATTTTATAATAAATAAATAACGTGGCTATGTTAAATAAATAAATTCTAAAAATAGCGGAAAGCTCCGGCCGATGGTAACTTGTGTAATTAAAATAAATTTAGAATTAAGGACTTCTGAGTTATTAACTAAAAATATTTCTTTAAAATATGTTACAGCCAAGAATAATCTTCTAAATGTTCTAATATTGCATAGTAGAAATGTGTTCAAATTTAATTACCATTATCGCTAGTCACTAGTATTAGAAGAGACTACAGTCGACAGAATAAAAAACAAAACATTTATGTTTTGTTAAAAGCTCATTAACTCTATGGGAAGGAGGAGAGAGAGACAAAAATGCAGATATTGGATCAAGGACCCCTTATTCTTTATTGATCCTAAATATTAAGCCTGGACTCCACCCTTTTAATGTGTTACAGAGTTACTGGATGGATATCTTTGAAGATTTTACCCTTAAAACAACTGGTGGTAAGTTATAATCTAATCACTTGGTTGCAAAGAGCATAAAGAATAAACTCACAATATTGTTATACCATATGTTATAATGTATTTTCTATGTACAATGGTTTACTTTTATACTAATATAGGCATTTGGACTAGGATTAATGGTATTTTTCCCTTACTGATAGCATACCATTACTGATACCATTAGTGTTAATTTTATTTATGCAGCAAAAAAAAAAATTCTTTCCATAGGTTCTTTATTGAGTGAATGTTTTGTGGTGACAAATTTTACTTAATCTTATGTGGAAATCAAATCCAGGACAAGCTCTTATTTATCAAATATAATTATTATAATAAAAATGCAGTCTGTTTTAAGAAATAATATTTGTTCAGTGTCCATAAATATAATTAAGGCATACTGTAGTTTATCGGCCTGTGTTATGTGAGGATTATAACACAGTTATATAAAAATACATGGGGAAAAAATAGATCAGATTAGTGGGAATGGATCGTATTGGGAATTAATATCAAAATTAGCAGTATTGTACTGAAACATTTTAATTTTTGTTAACTTTGACATCAGGGAATACCGGTACATTAACATTAAAAAAACAAAAACAATATTGGCTCTTGTTTTGAGTTATTTATATAATCATCAAATTATACTTAGTTATCTTTTACTCAAGAATTATCAAGAAATATGTTTAATATACAAATATAGAAGTTATGAGGCCCATTATTTAAAATATATTACATACAAAACATAATTTTAATTAAAAGAAAAATTCTAGTGCATTTTTTAGGAAAAAAAGACAAAATATAAGTTTTGCTAAAATATTGACAACTTTTTGATTTTTCATAGAATGTTTGTCATGTTTGACTATGAATTGTATTAGATGATGAAGTATTTTATTTAAATACATTTTAAATATTTTATAACAAGGAGTTGTTTTTTTCCTTCATACTCTGTGAAAATTTTGCATAAAATGAAAAAAAAATAATTCTCCAATAATATTTTAATTATCTTTATAACTAAGAAAATAAAATATACAAATAATATATAATGATAGCTGAGTTAAAGATGAACAAGTTAATATGCATAACTGATCAGTTCCGAGCTGTTTCAGATGAGTTAATTAATTATTTTAAAAAATCACCTTTGAAAAAAACACCAGACTGCAGAGAGTTCACACTTTCCTGTATTTTTGTGAAGAATAAAATTAATATATTTTTGTGTGCTTTTGTTGCCTCCCAATCCATAAAAATATTCATCATTTTCTTTTGTTTTGACAGTGTATTAATTTTTTTTGGTTTTATTGAAAATATTTATTGTTTTTCTTTCAAATATTCATATTAATGTGATTGTGTAAATTCATATTGTTATGAATAGTAGATGGTTTACAAACTAAATATTTAGTAATTAGATATGTTGTTTAACATTTTTAAAAAAATTATGAAAGTAGTTTCAGGGTAAAGAATTTTATTGGTGCAATTTATTTTATTTCAGAGAAGTTGTTGCTTCAAAGATGATTGAGAAACACCACATTCAGTGCTGTGCATTTGATCCTAAAGGTTTCAATATTGGTTAGTTACTATGCTATCCTGATCTGCATTAAAAAATATATATGATGGAGTGATATAGTTTTCATTTGAGTTTTCTTTACAACAAACAACTTCTCTCAATTAAAAATTATAAGCTAAAAATGACTTATGTAACAAAATGTAAACAAATTTCAAGCTAAAATTACATGTGTGGAAAAATTTATACAAAGTGTTAGCTAAAATTAAATGTGTAAACAAGTTTAAATAAAGTGTTAGGTAAAATTACATGTGTGACAAAATGCATGCATAATTTCCTCAGCTTTGGGCTGTACCAATGGTGCATTGTTTCTAGTTGACTCAGTAGCCCTGTTGGATCAGTTCAAAGAACCTTTCAAATATGCAAGAGATCCAATAACCCACCTCGCTTTTAGCCACAATTCCACTTACCTTGCAACAGCAGTAAGTACACATTATCACAAGTCCTTATTGTTATTTAGGGAGGAGATTGGAATCCAGCCTTATATCAGATTTTTTTTAAAGTTCATAATTATTCCAATGACAAGTTATTTCTGCCTTGATCAATAAGCAGTACTATAGCAGAGTACATATTTCCTATGTTATTAATCTTGCTTCTTACAAATTACACAGCATATATTCCATGTTATTAACACTACTTCTTACATAGCAGTTGATACAGATCCTGAAATAGTTTATTAAGTGTAAAAGGTTGAGTGGGAGGATAGGTGACATTAAGATTTAAAATTGTTTTTATAAAAAATTGGCAAGTGTTTTGTGCTCAATGCCCTAGTTTTCTACCTCCACCACTCTGTAGTATGAAATGATTTACTTTTTTTAATGGTGGGGTGGGTGGGGGGGAGATAACCTTTATTTATTTTGTTTAATTTAAAATGAATGGTGTTGCTTTATTCTTGTTTTGCAGGATGCTGGTTTCACCATCACAGTGTACAAAAGACAGCGCAAAGAAGGCAGAAGTCCCTATATTTGGCATGGACGGTACAGATCTCACTATAAGCCAATAAAAGATTTGCTCTTTGAAATACACTTAGACACTAACCAACCAAAACTGCTGTCACTGGGAGAAGACAGGATGCTGGTAATACATTTTTTTTTTTTAAACATTTCAGAAATCCTTTTTTCTCTTAAAAGAAAAGTATCTAAATATGTCTATATCTTTCAATAATTTCATTAATTTTATTCTTTTATAATTTTGTTAAAAGGGCATGACCATGAATGTCATAATTGTAGGATATTCATTAAATAGACATTCTGAATTCACTAGATCCTACTACCCATATGGTTATCAGTAAAAAAAAGTTTTAAGTGTTTTTGGTTGTTTTAAAGTAAACAATGATCATTTTTTTTTAAAATCCCACTTACAATTTATTTATAATATTTACTCTAATCTATAAAAAGCTAAAAAAATGTATCTACAGGAGTACCAGTGGCGTAGCGAGGGGGAGGTGGGGGGGGGGGGGTGCGGACTGTCACAAATGACTGGGGCGGGGGTTAACAACAGAGCTCCATTGTTCTTCAGATAAGTTATGGGGTGAACGGAAATTGCTGTGATTTTAGGTAGGGGACTGTTAGGCGCATGGGGGTAAGGCTAATACATTCTCGTATCTTTTAGATTAAGGGGATGCTTCTTTCCAAAACATTATGTCTCGGGTTTCCCAGACTTCGTGTGACAACTTTGGGGTTGGCGACCGAAGTTCCTAATTGACCGGAAATAAGGGGGGTATAGATGGGTTAATTTCCAGCATTCCTGGACCACCAAGGGAGGTAGAGAATGGTATATAACATAGAACTCTTCGTGACGTAAGGCAGAGGGAGAGATTCGTGGATGGTCGTTCTGTTGTAACAGACATAGTATTACTAGCTGTAGTCAGAGATAGAAGTAAGGATATATAGCGAAGTGTTAACAGTTAGAAAGGAGACATTACAATCTTATTATAGTGATCAATACATCTTTTACTTATAACTGTTAATGAGGAGTTGTTTATTCATTCATTCGTGTTCTGTGTTCTCTTCGTTGTATTTCTCAACACCTGGACTAGTGAACCATCACAGAGAGGAACGGCCCCTGTACTATATTCACAACACCACCAAAACCACGTGGTACCTGACCAAAATTACGGGCCATACCTCATAATACCATCTCATCTGTGACACGGACGCACCGAGTGACACCCATTTGAAAAATTGCATATTTACTGAGCACACACTGCTCGGTCTAAACAAGATTCATAAAAGGATAACCAATTACACATACATTTTTCACAAATGTAAACAATCCAATTGCATGCTTTATTAAAAGTTCAAGATTGATGCATCAGAAATGAGATGACACCATGTTTAGGTCAGAAAAACACAGTCATTATTTCACACCGCGATTGAAATGTTCAGTAACTTCCATAAGTGACAGGAGGCTATATTTATCTAGATTCTGAGAAATAGGGCTTTCCATCGATACCAAATACGGTGTGGTTGGGGGATTCTAAGTATAAGAATTGGTAAAAATTAAAAACATTAAAAAATGAATTTTTACCCATTTATAGGGTTAAAAATATATATTATTTTACACAATTTCCAATCTTTTAAATTTCGAATCTTTTAATGATAGCTCATATTTATTTAAATTTAAAGAAAGAAAAGTTTTTTGAAGACATATATAATATTTTATATCAAAACCCAGAAATACTAAAAAATTAATATTTTCCCTGATTCCTCACTAGTATTACCCCTTAACATTTGAGCACGATTGTCATATTTCGACTGCTGGGTTTTACCTGCTACCTTTCTATGTTGTATTTTGGACAGTGCTCTGACTTCTGTTTTTGAACTGTCTTAAGTAATTATTTTGTTTGTTGTCTTGATTGAACATGACAAAATTAAAGCATTTTTATTGTTCATGATTATTATATCATTCCACATGGCGTGCACTAATCTAAACGGCCAAGTGGCTGTTGGCAATGAAAAGCAAAAAAGAAAATACACGACTCACTAATGTCACTAAAAGAATACATGATTCGATATCAAGAAACCAAATGATGACCAGGGTCAGGGTTCATCAAAAGAACGAAGCTGAACTTAGATACCATTGATACTGATTCTCCCGATACCAGCAGCATGCATTCTTTTCAGCAAATAGTGGAGAAAATGGAAGAGATTCATGTGAAAACACAAGTAAGAGACATGGATGGCTTGGAAACAGAAATGTCTGCTGATAATGTTGATTCAAACCAATATATTGTAAGTGTAATGGTTAAATGACAAAAACTGGCACATTTAATCAGATGCTTCTCTAGATTATTTTCGGTCTGAAATTATTAAAATATGGACTACCTCGTTTCAGAACAAGGATGGACTATTCAGCGTAGTGACAAGGCAAAATGCAAAATCTATAGGAGATGTTTGCCAACTAGCAAAACAATGGATCTACGGGAGGATGCGGTCGTGGATGGTATATTCACTCGTCAGTCAGAAATTTAATGTTTTTGCTGCAGATGGTTTGCTGTTAATGTTACAGAAACAACATGCAAATTGGTTACTGGCTCTGATAAGTGGTGGAAACTGAGCCCAAAATTACAAATCATGAAGCATCGAAAGAGCACCTATGTTGCGTTGAAAAGTGGAAAGCATTGGCAGGAGTAAGACTTAAGATACACAAAAAAATTGATGCCTAAAGTATTGCTGTGAAGGACAGGGAGAAGAAAAAGTGGAGGGATATCCTGCACAGGTTGCTGGACATCACATTGTTTCTTGCAAAGCAAAATCTGGCATTTCGTGGCCACAACGAAGAGGAATCTTCACTTAAACTTTCTTGAAATGGTTGCTATGCTATCTAAATATGACCCAGCACTAAAAGAGCACCTAATGAGACTAAAGAGAGCACATATACAGTAAAAGCATCTCAATCTTACCTTTCACCAGAAACCCAAAATGAATTTATAAATGTCCTTGCAAATCATGTGAAGGAGATTCTTATCGTGGATATAAAGGCTGCAAGGTATTTGGAATAATGTTGGAAAGTACACCTGATATATCACACAGTGACCAGATGTCTGAAGTGATCAGACGTGAAAATTCACAATGTGAAAGTTGAAGTGAGAGAATTGTTTCTTGCATTTTTCCCCGTTAAGAGGGAAAAAAGCTGAAGACCTCAGTTCTGACATTCTTACAAATCTAAAACGTGATGAACTAGACATAATGTTGTTCAGAGCTCAAGGTTACGATAATGCTTCCACAATGTCTAGAATCCATGGAGGTGTTCAGGCCATTCTGACAAGAAATAATAAGAAAGCAATTTTTAATGGATGTGTGGGCCATTCAAATAACTTGTGTGGTCAACACTCTTTTGCAGAAAATGCTTCATGTATTACCTTTTTTGGTACTCTTGAAATAATATTTTTCTTCTTTGCTGCATCCACTCATCGATGGAATGTTCTAATTGAACATACTAGAATGTCGATGAAAAGACTGTCAACAACGCGTTGGAGTGCTCATCGTGCTGCTGTTAAAACAGTGAAAGGTGAGTTTGATGAATGTGTGGCGGTGATTGAAGCTCCGTACAATCCTCTTGAAAATTTGGATACAAGAAGTACAGGCACAAGGTCTTTTATATGCTGTCTGTGATTTCACGTTTATCTGCTACCTTTACCTTTGGGTTGATCTACTTGAGGACATTAATCTTACACAGCAGTTTCTACAGACTAAAGGCTTTACTCTTGACAAAGGGGTGACAAGCCTAGAGGCCTTAAGATTGTTTCTGCATGAGAAGCGCCATCACTTGGTGGAACATGCTATTGAAAAGGCACTTTTAAAAGCAGACCATTATGGAATTCTGGTAGAGAGAAGATTAAGTTTTAAGAGGAGAACTGCAGGAGAAAAATGAATAGATGCTGGACTCTTTCTGCGAGAAGAAAACAGTAGGGAGATGCTGGAGTGTATTTATCGCTTTGATTCTGAACTCCAGATCAGATCAGCAGCAATCAAGGAAGTAGCAGATATGTTTGGGGCTATTCAACCCAAGTCTAGTATCAGCAAGTGAACAAGAGTTATTGGAGTTCATTCCAAAATTAGCATCTTTCTATGATTTATCAGAAGATGAACTTTTAAAAGAAATAACATGGCTTAGACGACATCTAAAGGCAGCTTAAATTGAATTTCACAAAGTCATGGACTGGTCAGTATTTGATGTTTTAAAATTCATAGCTGAATGGGACTTCCTAGAATCTCTTCCAATATTCTCGCTAAGCCTTTAATTTATTCGTACGATATGTGTGTATGTGGCTTCATTTGAGCGGAGCTTTTCAAATCTAGGGCTTATCAAGAAATATTTATGATCCACCATGAGACAGTTTAGGCTTTCCGATGTGGCTCTGCTATCAATTGAAAGTGATACAGTGAAGGACATTGATTTTGATCAAGTGATTGACAGTTTTGCAGCTTTGAAGACAAGGAAAGGAAAATTTTAAATAAAGTAAATTTAATGTAAAAATAACAAATAACTTAACATTGTTACAGTTTTTAAATACATTTACCTCATGACCTTCAATTTATGTGTTTTTGGTCTTGTCATTGTTATACTGTGGACTTATTTTTAACAAGAAGAAATCCATCATGGAAGTTGGAGGGGGGCGGGGGTGTGTGTGACACCATGAGTTTACCGCACCTTGTGACACCAACCCTTGCTAAGTCACTGAGGAGTACAATGTCTCAAACATATTCAATTAAGTAAAAAAAAAATTAGTCAATATTTGTGTATAATTTGACTTTTATATTGTGTGTTTTGTTTCTGATATATGTGCAGCATTCGCAGTAGTAAATAAAGCATGTGGTTCTTGTTTTACTTTTATAGATTGAATATGATCTTCATCACTTTGGGAAGACTAACAAAGTTGTACCAATAGCTTTTGATAGGATTGAACAGGCAGCCATACCCCAGTGTATGACAAAATATCCACCAATAACTAAAGAGCATTTTTTTCTAACAGCTAATGATCAGGTTTGTACATGAAAGAAATATTTTATAATAACTATTGATGTATTTTAAAGCTACTATTTTTACATTGTTTAAAGAAAAATGGTGTGTTTTCTACAAATTTATAGTTTTAAAATACATATAATAAATAGCAATTTCCACTGGATAATTATTATAAAATTTAATGATGCAAAGATAAAAACAACTCCTCTCTAGACTGGTAATGTGTCTAAATGTAAATTTTCAGTTGAAAACCTAATGAAAACCTTTTTAAAAAATCATTTATTGTATTACAAAAAATATATAAATTTTCTAAAAAACAACACTTAACCTTTTTAATAGACAGAAATTTATTTGGCACAGAAGAAAATTGTTTTTAAAAATTTAATCAAATTAAATGAATAAAACTACGTTTCTCAGCTCTTCTTTGGGTGAAAGTGTTCTATATGAGTAACTTGTAAATCATACATAGTTAATTTTGTTCCCCTCTAATCTTTCTAATCATAAATCAGTACAAGCTCAAATGTTACAACAGTACAACAAAGATGTGCAGGAAGACAGTGCTGGGTCCTACTTATGGATCACCCATCAGAAAGTATTAACCTAAGGATTTTTTAAAGAACATTTCAGACTTAAATAAATCAGTTTCAGTAATTTTTTTTTTTTCTGGTGTCATGTTTTGTATTTTGTCTTTTATTTATGATTCCACAACTCTTAGAAAAATAAACATACATATTTCAAACCCCATTTTCTATTAATGTAATTTCCAGATCATTTAACTCTGTTCCTATGTCATTCCCTTCTATGCCATGTAATTACTTACCTCCATGCTATGTAATTACTTTCTTTACATGCAATGTAATTACTTCCTCCAGAATGATGGTGGTTCCAACGGATAAGGATGAAAGCAAGAACAGATTTTTAGCTTACATCACAGATGACAAAATTGGCCTACAGTTTTTACCAGCAACAGGAAATCCCCACCTGGCAATGGCCCTTATTGCCCATCCCAGTGGGGTAAGTCAGTCAAATTGAGAGGAATAGAGAAAAAGCAGTAGCTTATTATAATAGACAAGAAGCAATTCATTAGTAATAAAGAGCATAATGCCAATTCTAAATTTCTAACTCCAGCATTTACAATTTGTTTAGACTAAACCAAAGAAGTTTTCACAAAATATTCTTTGTGACAAAGTATTTTAAGTTACATACCCTGCATTTGAGTCCAAATAAAAGAATTTTTGACCTCAACAGTCTTATTTCTTGTTGTATCTTCAGGTGTCCAACTTGACTTGCAGCTTTGATGGCGCTTATTTGTTTACAGCAGGTGGTCCAGACTTTGCTGTGCACATGTGGGAAATCAACATTGCGTACGTTTGATAATACACAAACAATTATGAGATGAAAAACAGTTATCAACATTGAGACTATATTTATGAAATTTTATAGAGAAAGATTTTATTTTTTAAAATTCATAATTATATATAACTGCACTCAAAACACATCTCTTTAAACTTTACTATCCTGACTGATTCCCACCCTTCTGATCGATAAAACAATGTTGCTGAAATGTAAATAGTTCTTGTTTTTTATTTAATTAATATTTGTTAATTTTTAAATTCATGATTATGTTTGTTAAATTGTATGTACAGAATGGTGAGCCCAGCCCTAGGCTGGGGTACCGCGCTATATAAAACCACCACTAAGAATAATAATAATATATACTAGATATAGCACGCCAAACATTGGCGACAGCAATGCGTGAACTTCAAATCTACAATGGAATTCTTTGTCACTACACATCTGCAATATACCAACCACCCAAGCCTTCAAAACTGCACTCAAAACACATCTCTTTAAACTATACTACCTTGACTGATTCCCCTCCTCTGACCGATAAACAATCCTGCTGGCTGCCATCCATGGTTAGCCTTGTAAAAGTTCTGGGGTGGGTGAATATACAATTTTTTTTTTTTTTTTTTTTTTTTTTTTTTTTTTTTTTTTTTTTTTTTTTTTTTTTTTTTTTTTAATTTTTTTTTTTTTTATTTTTTTTTTTTTTTTTTTTTATTTTTAAAAAATTTTTAAATTTTTTTTTTTTTTTTTTTTTTTTTTTTTTTATTGTTGTTGTTGTTACATGCTGTTCTTTTTTTCATAAATGTATTTTACTTTAATGTCATGATTATGTCCATTTTGATAATAGTTTTATGTACAGCGCGGTGAGCCCAGCCCTAGGCTGGGGTACCGTGCTATATAAGACCACTTATTATTATTATTATTATTATTACTAAAGTTACTTGACACAACATGAACTCAGGTAACGCACATTTAAGAATCCGAAGTTTTGCTACACCCCTTCCCCCACGATACATCACTGCACACTTTTTATTTCACGCCCATGAATTATAATGTCCCAACCACTTTTAAACTGAATATTTGTTATACAATACTTTTATTGAGACAATTTCATTTTCCGAAAAACAAAATATTTCGCACAAATTTTCGGAACAAAATATTTCGCACCAAACGCAGTTGCGTTATTTAAAAAATCTATCTATATATAGCCTGCTTGGTGGTTGTGGTGTTTGACCTTTGCTGGCAAATTATATATATAGATATATATATTGAAAATAGTTTGATTCATGGCATTAACCATCACTCCTAAAACCATCTCATAAACCCTCGATCTTATAATCCCCACCTGTATCTTATAGCACTTGTCCCTTAATCTTCAAAATAATGAATTTTAATTTTTATTGTTTGATTTGTGTCCCTGTCAACAAAACCAAACCAAACTCACACCCATATAGAATTAAATAAAGTATTTTAAATAACAATGAAGCCATATTAGTGAAAGGATAACTAAAAGCATCATTTAAATTTGGTCAATTTTATACATGATTTTTAAAGTGATTTATCAATGTCTCACTTGACACTGTTCAGGTTTCAAATAATACCTTCTAAACCAGATGAAATATACCAACCCTAATTTTCATCCTATCCAAATCATGTCAAAAATATAAACTAACCAAATCATGAATTTGGATAAGCTAACGATTAATTAAATCTTTTTAATTAAGCTAACATGAATAATTTTAATTGTGTCTGTAAATATAGTTGGCTGAAAATGTTTTTAAATCATAAAATCACTTCCAATGATTAAATACATTTCAAACAGCAATTGGTTTTATATCTTAACAGAGCGCTACATGCCCAAGCCAAGCTTGGTGGAGAAGATCTAGTTCCTTTTTATGGCTTGCTAGAGGGAGGCAGAGATGGAGAACTTTTTGCTGAACTAGAAGACTTGTTTTATTATGCCCAACTGAGACAGTAAGCTGTACTTCTTAAAACTTTCCACACTGAAACAACTCACATATAATAATATTTTAAAAGTCACAACTAAACTTAGTACCTAATTTAATGAGTTGAAAGACAAAGAGTAAATATTAATTGTCTATACCTTTCAGTCAAGGCATCAACTCTATGGACACCCGTCAGATCAGTAACAGAGTTCCACTAACTGAAGTACCATACATCATGAGGGCCATGGGATTTTATCCCTCAGAGCAAGAGGTAATCATTAAAACTTGGATTGCTTAGGTCTCATTTATATGTCTGTAGCCAATTATGACATGCAGGATAATACCCTGGGTCAGCTGCGTCCTCAACTCAATAAGAGTACGGCCAATGCTGTAGCAGTAACTCTAATCCAGTCAAGATTAGATTACTGTAACAGTTTTTGTGGGTTTATCTCAGAACCAAATTCAGAGACTCCAGACGGTACAAAATACTGCAGCATGCATTGTATCACGGATAAAGAAATCTGACCACATTACACCAGTTCTGAGAGATCTTCATTGGGTTCCTGTGAGTGAACGCGTTAACTAAAAAATTCTGTCTATTGCGTACAGCTGCATAGAAGGCTCTGCACCAAAATATCTTAAAGAACTGAGTTATAAACATGTATCCTTAAAGAACCTGCAGTCCTCAACACAGTCCTTACTGAAAATTCCCATTGTGGATGAACACAGAAAAAAGTCTTACGGAGTGCGCTCTTTTAAAGCGATAGCACCAAAATTATGGAACAGTTTGCCTCAATCTTTGAGGGGAATTGAAAATGATAAAAAATCATTTAAGAAACATTTAAAACTTTTCTGTTTAAATAGATTTAAGTAAACCAGAGCGCAGTGAGCATGCTTAAGTAGCATGGAAACCAGCGCTATATAAATATCCAATCAATCAATAAATTCAGAGATCCTGATTTGGAATGCTACTGTCTCATTTGTTTAGAAATATTTCCTCAAATCTTCTGTGGTACAAGCTGTGATATTTTTATAATGAAAAGAAAAAACAAGTTATGTGTTTCTAATTTGTGTGTGGAAATTTTTTCGCAGTGTAAAGGCCACGTTTTTGCGGAAAAGCAGTGTGTACCGGCAAAACCCAAAAATGCATAGGGGTGTGATCTCGCCTAACAATAGATCGAAATGTTGACCTCAGATATTGCTTTTCACCCCAGTCAGTACAGCCGGCTTCTCTCTCCCATGGTGGTGAATACTTAAATACCACGAAGTGGGCTTTAGTAATAAATTCAATAATTTATTTCTCTGGAACCCTAGCATAGTTAGTTATAAATTATATCTAGTTGGAAAGGGGATTTTATTCACTATTCCGTGGCATATTTACAAGTCTCCATCATTATAGGAGAGTTTCACATTGAGTCATTGGGGGAGTTGTCACCTTCATCCACAGTGGTCCCCACCCCTTCTACTTAAAATATCTCAAAAACTATTTAACTCACAGAAATATAAGATAGTATCTTAGAGAGCTGAGACAAAACTGCACAGATCACATTTAAGTCGTTAGGGATTTGGTCAGGGATTTTAATGATTACTGGGGTGTAGTCCACAGAGTTAGGCATTTCACCCCAGGAAATTGGCCAGAAGGCACAACGTAGACCGTTTTTGGTCTCAGTGTGATGGAGGTGCTATCTCGTATGTCCCCCGCGCGATTTTATGAAGGGGCGCACACTAAGAAGTTTTGAACAACATCCCTGAAATGTGTCATTTTTCAGTGCGGCCCATTGTGATGCTCTGTAAGTAGAAGCAGATACACCATTATATTTCTTTGTGTTTAGTATGACTTGTTCAGTGTTAGCATTGGAAGATTTATGTTCAGACTTATCACCATGATATATAGCAGGATGAACCTACCGCATGTAGACTTATAACCATGCTAGGTTGAAGGATTGAACATATAACCGTCCATTAAATTCTTGAATAGAATTAATTAGATACCAGTGACCAGTGTTTGTAAGCATAACAAGCAACTGTATATCAGTCTGGTTACACATACTGCAATGTGCTTATAAGCTATTGAAACGACAGTTAAACCAGGGAATGTACGTCAAATATGTGTAATAGGCTAACTCTCCTGCCGTGTGCTAAATTCTCACATAGGAAATGGTGCATGTGTTAGGATAATATTACATATAATGAGTCATTCTGGAATTTGCTGTTTGTCTTAAAAAGACACAGCGATTGATAGATATAAGTATCAAGATACAAGTATCAAGCTAATGGTGGTCATACTTTATACCATTGTATTTACTGTCCTGCTTTGTGTGCTTCTTACATAGACACCATACCTGGATGGCCTACCATAATAATTCCAAGATCTTTATGTCAACCCTCACATCTCACACTGGTTCTGTGTGTAACACTAATACAGTTTACGTGCTACAAATTAAACACTGCCACATGATTTCTTTTATAGTTTTTTTTTACATTTTTAGAACAATATAGTTTTCATTGCCATTTTGTATGACATGTAATGTACTATCCTCAGTTACGTATATTTTTGTCACAATCTACAATTATGGCGTTATTAACATGTTTATTATTCGCTGTATTAGTCAATGTTAGTCAGGACATTGTTAACCTGTACTATTTGTTTCATTTCAGACATTTTCCTTTTTCTTTAGCTTTTTCTTAAGACTTTTTCTTTAGCTTTTCCTTAGGACCTTTTCCTCCTTAGCACTTTTACTTTAGAGTTTAATAAAGCTATAGTCCTCGAGGCCGGATTCCTTCATTTTTTTATTAGTAACTGTCAGTCTTGGTACAATCACCTATCATAACCAGACCTCACTCAATTACAAAGGTTTTATTTTTATTATGATGGATGTTAATCCTTTCAAAACTGTTTTGGTGCACACTTGGTCCACTAGAACAGTGGTTACCAAACGTTTAAGTCTGGCGGACCAGTAAACAAGTTTTGAAATTTACCAGGGACTGGTGAATGATTTATTTTTATAATTTTATTTCTATTTTACAATAAATATTTATGTTATGGGGGCCGGCAGCGTTAGGCATGCCAACCTGTGAAGGTCCACGGACCGCCATTTGGGGACCACTGCACTAGAACCATCCATCCCTGTGGCGCTACAGCCCATGTAGGGCTTTGGCCTGCCTCACCACTTCCTTCCACTCAGATCTAACTAATGCCTTTCTTTTCCATGCTTGGACTTTCAGCTGCTGTAGATCTTTTTCCACATCATCTATCCACCTAAGCCTAGGTCTGCCTTTGAGCCTTTTTCCTCTGGGGTGATGCACCCTCTTCGTTCCTCTGTCATTTGGCATTCTCTCTAGGTGTCCTGCCCAGCGTAGCCTGCTCTTTTTATTTCTGCCACTATCGTGGGATTCTGATATTGACTGTATAACTCCTGGTTGGTTCGTATTCTCCATCCATATTCATCCTTTGTTGGCCCATATATTTTCCTGAGAACTTTCCTCTCCCATGTGTTTAATAGGTTTTCTGCTGTTTTTGTTAGGGTCCAAGTTTCACTTGCATATGTTACAACTGGTCTGATCACAGTTTTATAAATAGTTTTCTTTGTTTCTCTTGTAATGTTTTTACTTTTGAGTATTTTCTGACTACTGAAGTATGCCATGTTTCCGGCTGATATTCTTTCTTTTATTTCTGTTAGTAATTCGTTTCTTTCATTTAACAAGGATCCTAAGTATTTGAATTGATTTAATTTTTCAAAAGTTTGGTTTCTAATTTTAATTGTTTCATCTGTTTGTTCCTCTCTTATCATGAAGAAAAGAGTCTGTTCAAATGCCAAACTTACAACAAGAACTAAGCTGCAGGTGTACCAGGCCTGCGTACTGAGCACACTACTGTATGGATGCGAGTCGTGGACCACATACTCTAACCACGAAAGAAGGCTCAATGGCTTCCACCTCAGATGCCTGCGCCACATCCTTGACATTAAATGGCAAGACAAATTCCCCCAACACGGATGTCCTTCCCAAACAAACATGTGTAGCCTCCCAGCCATGTTAATCCAAAGACGCCTCCGCTGGCTTGGACACGTCAAGCGAATGCAACCTGGTCGCATACCAAAGGACGTGCTATACAGCAAGGTGGCGACAGGGAAAAGGTCAGTTGGACAGCCTCATCTGAGATACTTAGCTTAGACATAGACATATGCAAAAGAGACATGAAGTCGGCCAACATCGACATCTCAAACTGGGAAGAGCTGGCAGAGGATCGATCCTCATGGCGGGCATCGTGAAGGCAGGATCACTACATGCCGAGGAGCAAAACAGGGCGGAAACAGCTGTAAAAAGAGCGATGAGGAAGGCCGGTAAATACTGCTCCACGGCATTCGTATTTGGGAAATGTAACAGAGACTGCCATTCGAGGATTGTTCTCACCAGCCACACCAAGAGCTGCAAGCAATAAATATAATCTATCGTCTCCCTCAGACGGAAAGATGCAATACATATCATGGTCATGTATTTTGTTGTTTGGTTGTTAACTTCCAGCCGTGCTTGTAGAGATGCGTCTTCTAATTCAATAAAGGATTTTGATATGTCTTTAATACTTTTCCCTAGAAGTGCTATGTCATCAGCATATGCAAGATACTGAAGTGGTTGGTTGTAGAGTGTGCCCCTTGGTTGTGGGTCTCGAGTTTCCCTCAGAAAGTATCCTGTTATCGTTCCTCGAGTGTGAATGTGTATGTTTCTAATAACTCTCTCTAATGTTAGGTTGAAGAGCATACAAGACAGTGAGTCTCCCTGTCTAAGGCCTCGTCTAATATGAAATTCCCTTGAATGTTCTCCTTGAATCTTGACTTTGCTTTTGAGTTGTTTAGTGTTACATGTATTAGCCTTGTCAGTTTGTTGGGTATCCCAAACTCCTGCAGAGTCTCATATAAATAGTTTCTTTTGATGCTGTCATAGGCCATTTTATAGCCTACATAGAGTTGATGTACTGGTATATTATATATTCATAGCATTTCTCTAAAAAGCATCTGATGGTGAAAATCTGATCAGTCGTTGATCTGTCAGGCCTGAATCCACATTGGTAATCACCTAGTATTTCTTCAGTGTAAGGTTGTAGTCTTTTGGCAATAAGCTTCGTCAGTATTTTGTATGTAACTGCACTAGAGCACCGCTCAAGAAACTGTTTTTGTACTTCTTGACAGATTGAGGACATGTTGAATGAAATAAAGTACAACGAATATGTCAACCTTGGTCATTATCAGGAGGATATTGACTTGGGGGGTTTCATCAAGTGTGAGTAAATTACTTAAATTTGTATCTGATTCAAAGTAGCATTCTGTTAACATATTTGTTGTTTAAAAATGACAATGAATTGAATGGAGCAGATGGAGAAAAACTTTTTCTGCTTTAACCTTTACCCTTTAGACAATTTTATTTTGGCAGGTCAGTTCTAACTTCTGTCATTTGTTTGGTACTGCATTGCACTTTTTCTGAATCTGAGGTGTGTTTTGGTTTTAGTTTATAGTTTATAGGAGTAATAAACGAAACTAACAATGTTTGTTTAGTTGGCAGGTTTAATTACTATACATATAATGAGCCATAATATTTAAACATTTTTATTTCAACTTCAACCTTTTCAATATATATGTAATCTGTTTTTTTGTCTTTAGTCAAGAAAAAACACAAAATCAGATTAGAGTAACTTTAATTAAGCTTATTGGCATCCACATACATCCATATTTTTTAGGTGATGGTGTAGCTATTTATTAGCACCTCCACAGTTGACTTGTGAGTCAATTCAGTTTCAAATATTTTATGTTTAAAATGTATTGCTTCTTTGAACAGTGTATGTAAATCATAGGCCAGCATTTGGACTGTCTGCTGAGAAACTGCTATGGGCCTTTCAAACCTTGTCAGAGACCCAAAGTGTTGTTAATGGTGGTGTCATTGAAAGAGGGGATTTTTTTAACCTGTTGGAAAAGAAAGGTTTGGATCATCTGTCTCTCATCATCTTATTTTAACTACCATACATTTTCAAATGGTTAAATATATATCTCTTATATTTATTACTCTTCTGGTATGATTCGTGGACTGCTTCCTAATCAGCGAATTTGGTATTGAGAGTATATTAAAAATAATTCTAAGTGTTTGAAAGAAAGTATGGGTCAATAATGAGTTCAATAGCGTGCAAAATATAAATCCCGATAACTACGCTAAATGATTTTTAAAATAATTTAAATAACGCAACTGCGTTAGGCGCGTAAGATTTTATTTTCAGAAAATGAACTGGTCTCAATTTAAGTCTGTTGCTAAAAAACTATTCGGTTTAAAGGTGGTTGGGAGATGAGAATATTTAATATAGTTCAAGGGTGTGAAATAAAAAGTGTCCCCTTCCTATCAGTGGGTTATTTCTTGACACATACAGTTGATGAAGGCAGTGCACTCTCACTGAGACATAGGGTAGGAGATTTCGTTGCCCCACATTGGGACAGATTTGCAGAAACAGGCAAGACATTTGTATACAAAACCCTCATTCAACAGTGAGGGGTAGAGGGGACGTGGCAATAGCGGTTGCTTCAACTGGAATTGCAGCAACGTTGCTACCTGGCGGCCGTACTGCACATTCCGTGTTCAAAATACCTCTTCAAATAAAACCAACATGACCGTGCAAAATGAAGCCAAATACCAAGGATGCCAATAAAATTCTCGAAGCGAAAAATAATCATCTGGGATAAAGCACCAAAGACACATTGCTATGCATTTAAAGCTGTTGACAGACCATTGCGAGATCTTACTCAGGAAAATGCACCTGTCGGTAATAAAACCATTCTTCTCGGTGGCGATTTCCGTCAAATACAGCCAGTTATTTTCCACAGTTCTTGAACCCTCAACATTGCCTCCTGCATCAGCAAGCGCAGGCTGTGGAACAAAATGAAAGTCCTAAAACTCACAAAAAATATGAGAGTTCTGGAAAGTGAAAATCAATTTGTTCAATGGCTTCTTCAAGTTGGGGAAGGTAAAACTGGAGACACAGCAGAACAACCTCTTCAATGTTTACCACAAAAACAGATCTGACCAGGACCAGCTACAACAGGATCTCAATCTGTTAGCTGAGTGGGAGATGAGCTGGGACATGGAATTTCACCCTGCCAAGTGCCAGACACTATCAATCTCTAGAAGTTGTACTCCTCTACACTACCAATACGAACTGCACGGCCATATACTTGAGCAAGTTTCCTCCGTAAAATACCTGGGTGTTACCATTCAAAGAGAGGTCCGCTGAGATGAGCATATTAACAATGTATGTAACCAAGCAAACCAAGCCTTGGGGTTCTTAAGGCGAAATCTAAAGATTGGCAACTCCTGTGTGAAAGAAAGAGCATATAAAGCCTTTATCCGTCCGATTTTAGATTATGCATCTTCAGTCTGGGACCCATTTACCCAGAAGAGCATTGACAGGTTGGAGGCGGTCCAGCGACGAGCAGCACGCTTTGTCCTAAACCGCTACAGGAATACCTCTAGTGTTGGCAGCATGCTAGAAACACTAGGCTGGTCACCATTGGAGAAACGACGACGACAATCCAGGCTCTCCATGATGTACAAGATAAATAATGGGCTGGTCCACTGTTCCAGTATTAAACAGAAACTCGTCCCTCTCCCCCATAGACAGCGACGAGGCCATGACAGGCAATTCAGGCTCATACCAGCAAGAAGCCAGTATAGGAGCTGCTCATTCCTGCCCAAGACAATCAGGGACTGGAACCATCTTTCAAAAGGAACAGTTGAGGCGACAACACTAGACACATTTGTGTCTATTGCCTCAAGCCTTCAAACCCCTAGTGCATAATTTCCTCATCACCACCAGTAACAGAAACATTGCAAATCCCATCTACATGCATAGGAGCCAAAATGATCAATAAATTGATCGTGGGCCCTTAATATAAAGAAGAAGAAGAAGAAAACAAGATCTGATGGCTCAACTTTATGGTGATATTAACTTTGCGACTGTGACTTCCCAAGAACGTGCTTCAAGAGCAATACTGAGAGTTGCCTTTGACGATTCTGTACATATAAACAACAAAGTTCTTGATCTTATGCAGGGTGAGAAAGTGACTATTAAGAGTGTAGATACAGTGGTTGTTAATGATAAAAACAAGAGTTTAGATAGAGTGGTGAGTGATGATCCTAATGATCAATTCACCTACCCACAGGAATTTTGACGCACCCTCTCACTAACTGGCATGCCTCCACATATCCTTTATCTAAAGGTGGGAGCTGTAGTTATGCTCCTCCGCAATATTATGCCATCAAAAATTCTTTGCATTGGAACAAAACTGCCCCCCCCCCGTTAACAACTGTCAAACTTTTGAAGTAATTATGTCAACATTTTTATAAACCCTCCCCTCCCCAAAAATGAATTATAATATAAATAAATATATAAATACATTTTACTTTGTGCTGATCTATTTTAATAACACAAAATTTTAGGAAAAACATATTATTGCATATTTAGCTTATTAATCAATAAATTAAAAATGTTTTTAACACTTAAATTTTTATAATGCAGAATCAATGAAAAGGTTGTTAAAGACTAAATATCATTGTTTGTGAAGTATAAATATGATTATTATCAGTGTAACTGACAATTGTAGCATAGTTTCTAGCTGCTATCATCTTCCCGGCCCCAGGGAGTAGCCAGGTGTTGCTCTATCGTAACAATGGGTGTAGTATCTGCTACATCATTATTATATTGCGAAACTGATATACCAGACAAGCCAACATCATCCTTATCTAACCATCCAGCACTAAAATAGTAGCATTGTCAGTGTGAGCAATAACTGCCATAAGCTCTCTCTGTCTCCTGGCTGCTACTCGCGTTGGTCGAATCCTTTTTTGTTGAGTAGCAGGTGGTAATTTCTTATTCTTATCCTTGTCGGTGCTGTTCTACATGCTATTTTAATATGACTTGTGATGCAAAATTAATGTTACAGATTTTGCAAATCCGTTCAAGCAGCAATGTTATCATTGTTACTCACTTTACTTTGCCCTAATTCTCAAAATCTCCTACTCCGACTCTATCAATATCATTTAACTATTTATCTTGACTGCACATGACCCTTGTCCTTGTTCCATAAGTGCAACATGATAGCAAACATACCGCCCTAGTCATTTGCGACAAACAGAATCTACAGGCGAAGAGTGACCAACTTTGGACTTCTCTAGCACTAACAAAGTGTGCTAACATTCTGACCAGCCATCAGCAGTGCACAGACAGACACACATTTAATAATCCTATATTGTTAAACGTGAAAGCCTAAAAATTATATAATTATTTTCACTTCAACTCATTAAATTTCGTAAAATAATGTAATAACCAGTCAATTTTAAAGATTAAAATTTTAATAGAGAAAACATAATTGTTGACCTCAACTAATCTTACCCCCCCCCCCCACGTCAAAACATTTCCAACCCCTGTGTCAAATATTTCCAACCCCCCCCCCCATTTTTCATTTTTGTTGACATAATTAGTGGACAACCCCTAAGAATAGCGGACCTATAATACAATGCATCAACCATTTTTCAAATAACATGCTTTTTTGGCATTACCAGGCGAGCACATGACGGAAGAGGAGCTGTCTGAACATTTGACAACTCTACTTGGCTTTAACAAAGAAGGTGGGGCTTGTGAGGATGAACCTTTTGAGCCAGAGAAAGGTGTTTCATTCATTGGTGATGCTCTCCCCTTTGATATCAATTCTGAAATTCTCATCAATGAAATACTTGGCTTCTCTATGACGGTGGACCCACCAGCAAAAATAGACACAAAAGATGTGGTAAAATCAGGGGCCTCTTAGAGTATTTGATTAATTAGGAGCCTCAACTCTGTCAAACTCTTGGAATTTTTTTTTCCACAAGCAGCTTGATAAATGCTCAAGGTATTTTACTTAGTTGATAGTTTTTACAATGTTGATCAATGTTATTCAATTTTTTAAAAACATAAATCAATCATAAAACAATAGCAGGTTTATGAAGCACTTAATGTGATCAAACAAAAAGAACTTTAGACACACATTATTGGGTTGCTTACATAATTTTCTTCATGTAAATTTAAGAGGTATTTATATATGAACTTTTACTTTTAAAAGTATCAAGGTGTATTTTTAAAATAATTTTAAGTCTCTTTGATTATGAATTAGCATTATAGTGCATTATTACCATTTATTTAAATAAGTCTTCTGATCATGATGTAATAAAGATAACCACAGTAGTGTTTTAATTATTTAAGTATTTAATGAGCAGTGGCACAAAAGTAGATATCCCATTTAAAATTAAAAAAGAACTAAAATTAGTATTTGTTAATATTTATGCATAAGACTCTGCTTTCTCAAAATTGTATGCGATAATAAAGGAATTTTAGGACATGCAAATAACATTAAAACATTGTAAATTTTCCCTAAAAAGTCTTAATGTGGATTTAACACTAAAAACTAAATAAGTGCCTATGCATTATTGTTCTTTTGATTGTATATTTATAGTGAACAAATAATATTTCATGGTAATATGCCTGAGTGTTGTTTGATATCCAGGGAAATAATTTGATATTTTTTAGGATGTGATTTTAACATTTTAGAAAAGATGCATTTTGATATTACCATGACTGTTTCTAATTTTTTTTTTTTAAACTTACATTTTTATACATATTTTCCAGAATATTGATTAAAACATGTCTACTGATTTTCAATTTTATTCACTCATCTTGTTTTTAAGATCTTAAAATATAACTATGACTAGAACTATATGATGATGATTGAGTACCGGTACTTTCAAGTGCTTGTGTCCATGCTATTTTAGCTTTCTCACAGCGCTCTGATGTCCTAAAATCTATTTAAAGAAAAAAGTCATTAAATGGTTCTTAATTGACTTTTTATCATTTTCAATGTCCCTCAAGGATTGCGGCAAACTTTTCCATGATTTAAGCACAATAGCTTCAAACTTCAAAAGAGCACCCCATACGAGTTCTTTCTGTGTCCATCCACAATGGGAACTCTTAGTAAGGACTGTGCTGAAGAGCGCAGGATCTGTATAGATACATTTTTAGAAATCAGTTTTTGATGATATACAGGTGCAGAGCTTTCAATACAGCTATATGTCAGGACATAATTTTGTATTCAATGTGCTCACTCACAGGAAGGCAATGGAGATATTTAAGAAATGGGGTGATGTGATCAGATTTCTTTATACGCGATATAATGCGTGCTGCTGTATTTTGTATCTTCTGAATTTGGTTTTGACAAAAAACTGTTACAGTAATCTAATCTTGATTGGATTAGAGTTACTGCTACGGCCTTAGCTGTTCTCTTATTAAGTTGGCCCAGAGTGCAAAGATGACAAAAACAAGCCCTGGCCACAGAACTGAGGGATAATAAGTTTGCTGTCAGTGTAGAAGCCAAGGTCTCTAACCGTGTTGGACAAGGTGATCACAGAAGCAACTTTTATTGATTAAATAGCAACCTTCCGAATATTGGCATCAGAACCACAAATGATGGCCTCTGTTTTATCATCATTTAATTTAAGCCATCCATGATTTCACCACAAGACAGCAGTCCTCGACTACACTGTTAAATTTTGTAGTAACACAGAAAAGTACAAAATAGCAACAAAGTCCCAATAGAATAGCTAGACATTTTATTTGTGGCATTTTATAAATTATAAAATAAAATCACCTGGCAAATACAAGCCACTAATTCTTACAAAGTTAAGTGGGATGGTGCCTTTCTTGACCTTCTTTGCATATGTAGCCATTATCTGATGGAAAATAAGATATTAAGAGAATTACAGGAAGGACAGCTTTCAGGTTGAAACAATACAAAATATACAAGGAAAAACTGCAGAACAACACAAGAAAGTGTACATTTTGATCAAAAAACCTTAGCAAAAATAAATACTATAAGCTTGTTGCATAAATAGTTGAGTTGGCATAGAAACAGAACAGTAAAACCATGTGTACCAAAAAAAATTGATAATAGATTCAAATTACTGAATACTTCTGTGATAAAAAAATGTTTGAATGTTTAAAAGGATAAGCTACTATGGTCTCCCAGAAATACAACAAAAAAGTTTTGGACTATTTATGTGTTTTACAAATATGTCATGCATTAACATTTACATTTGCTCAAAAAAATTAAACATAATGAATTGTGAAGTCTAGCTCAAGATAATCAAAATTCATGCTCAAGATCATGCTACATAATTGATACATACCAAAGTAATCATAATGGTAAAAAAACTAGATAAGAGATACTTACATCAGTGGTGGTTGATTCTAGCAAGGTAGACAAATCTTGTTCTGGCTTCTTTCTTTTCTTGGACTTTTGGGAAAGACTTGGGTCATAATGGTACCCTAAAGTCTGCAAACAATATGTATTCAATATTTCAACATCACTGTGTAAAAACACAACCATAATATAACAATTCCATCACCCTAACACATTTCTGCTTTAACACTAAAATGTTTATTTCAAGAGGTGCTTTTATATTATTATCAAACCATACCTGTTTACACCCAAACTCCTAAAATCGTGCAATATCATCTCAAAATTGTACAATATAGTATCTAAGATACCGTCCAGAGATGGTTCCGCTTGTATCTGACAAATCAGGTCCAATCAGTTATCGCAAACGGCTTGACCTCGAAGCAATCTATTATCGAATTCGGAGAACCCCAGGGCTCGGTCCTAGGCCTGGTGCTTTTCACTATGTAAGTTCAACCCCTGGGTGCAGTGATCAAGCAGTTTGTAATGCTATATCACATGTTCACGGATGATACCCAACTTCAGCAATCCGTGATACCCTCTCAGTTCCTTGAGCTTCTTAGTATGACACAGAAGACCGTGGAGTTAGTTAAGCACTGGAGGACCAAAAACAAGCTCAAATTGAACTATGAAAAGACCAAGCTGATCCCCATTGCTACCGCCCAAAAGCTAAAATCTGTAAATAACACACCATCCCTTACTCTCTCAGGTGTGCAGATTGAGTTTGCTCAAACAGTGCAAACCTGGGTGTCTACTTAGACAGAACACTAACTATGGAAAATGACATTAACATGCTTTGCAAGGCGATTTTTCTAGAGCTGGGCAGAATTAGTCATATCAGACCTTTCTTAACGTTTGATGCATCAAAGTGGCAGATGTCTGCATTCGTGCTATCACGCATGGACTACTGCATTGCCCTCATGGCGAGTCTTCCAGCTACGCTCCTGGATAAAATTCAAAAAGCACAGAATAATGCGGGTCCCATTTTTCTTCGCAAACGCAAATTCGACCATGCTAAAACACTTCTGAGAGGGTTGCATTGGCTACCTGTCCGTGCTCGCATAGAGTACAAAATTGCAACCCTGTGCTACCGCTGCTTGCATGACCCAGCGACATCCTATCTCAAAGCGCTCATGACGCCTTATGTACCCACTGGACAACTCCGCTCATCCGATAGTGGCAAACTCTCGATACCACATGTTCGCCTTGAGACTTACAAAAGGCGCACTTTCGCATTTGGAACACCCTTCCTGTCGCTCTCAGAAACAGCCAGACACTGGAGTCCTTCAAAACCGATTTGAAAACATATCTATTTGGCAAACACCTGCTGGGGTGATGTTGTCTACCATCTTTTCCAGCTAGCTATAATCTCCTAGATTGGCTTGTGTTGTTTATGGTTGCAAGGTATGAAAGACTTAGCATGGGTATGCTCGTATGTAGTTTTTTTAATGTTGCGTTTTGTATTTCAATGTGCTAAAATATAGATTGTTTCATTTCTCTTTTAAGATAGTTGACTTTATACAGCGCTTCGAGCCTTTGGGGAAGTAGCATGATTTACTCAAACCTCCCCCTTTATATATATATAATTGTTTTTAAAAATGTATTCGCTACTTGGAAGAGTACATGTTAGAATGTCACACAAGGAGTCAGGTGAAAACATCAATTGGACATAGGTGCCGGGGAAACGTAGCCCAAATATACATTACATGCATGTTGAACATATGGTGGAATAAATATTACTATAATATCTCTACTACTGAGTACTATTACTATCTGAGAATAGCTAGCGAGTTCATTTGTCAAATTACATGGCAACATCATGAAGATAATTCCTACTAAATATTGGGTGGTATTTTACAGCATTCGAGGACTTCTCGAGTTTCGGAATGAATATTGTAGAATTTTTTTAATAACGCATGTACTTTCTGCTGAGGAAAAAACACACAACTATCATTATGAAAATGTGGTGAAGTTGACAGTATAGATTTAAATATTTAGCCTTAGACCCATCCCCCATACATAACACCACTCCCTTTTGCCTATCAGGGCAAATGTAATATAATTATAGAAGGTATCTAACCAATTGTATTCACTGCTGGATGTGAATGCAAATGTAAGTTAGCACTAACAATAACAACCAAAATTGTACTTTTTAATTATTATTATTTTTTTAATCAGAAAAAAATACCAGAATGTATATTTTCAACCCGGTCCCTTAACATCGTAGTTCTGGCGGGTTTAGCGTACAATCGTAAAAGACATCTCAAAATTGTACATCGGACGTCAAAATCTTAAGAGTAAACAGGTAGGTCAAACTAAGCACACAGTAAAAAACAAACCTCCAGTTCCCACAAACAACTTTCAATAGCTTTACATTTGGCAAGATTCACTTCTTCAGATAGGAACGGATCTGTTTCAAACTCTGGAAATTAATTTCAAGAAAAGTTAAGTTTCCAATCAAACCATTTTAATTGAGATGAAAGTAAATTATCTGTATTTCCATTTGTAGAAAATTGAGAATTTATAGTATAGAAATATTGAAAAACAAGGCGGAATATATACAACAAAAAATCTAGTTAGTTTTAATGTTAGAAAATATAAAATTAAATATAAACCCATACTACATCCATGTTATTATTAGGTGGTTTTATATAGTGCACACTATCCCAGCCCAAGGCTAGGCTCACTGCGCTTCACATAAAAATTAGCAATGACAGTTACAGAAACGTATACATTTAAAATCAACAATTTGTGAAAAGCTTGACATCACCCACCTAAGTACTATCTACCTCTGTCTAGCCATCGACACATGTGTAATGGAAGAGAATTCCATTGTTTTGGGGCACAGAAAGATAAAGATCGTTCACCATAAGTTTTAGTGCCTGTTCTGGGAAAAGAAAGAATATGCAGGTCTGCGGAGGAACAAAGCTTTCGAAGGGGTGAATGCAGGAGCCAGAGATAAAGTTGTGACAGAGAACTAATCAAAGTGTGCCTGTATAGAGAGCCAATGAAGTGAGTGAAGTAGTGGAGTGATCACGTTTCTTTGCCTTTAGAACTAACCTAGCAGCTGAGTTTTGAAATTTCTGCAGTTTTTCTATGAAATATTTTGGTGAACCTGACAGAAGAGAGTTACAATAGTCAAGATAAGAGCACAGACTAGTGTTTTTGTTGCGCTAACTGTGAGATAGTAGCTGATCTGACGGATCCATATAAGCTAGTTCGAACCATTTTTTTTTTGTGCCTGTAAATTACCTTTAGTTCCATCTGTTCTGCCGACGCCAAGCATGACCTCCAGTGCTGGGTGTCGGGCAACTAGATTGAATATGAAAGGCACACATATGTGGGCTGCAGAAGCTGGGGCGTGTAAACATAGTCTGGCCAGACGTTTGGCAAACGCTGCTACTAAATAAGATGGAAGGTGACTGGAATAAAAAAGTGACTTTTGATTAACGTTAGAACAAGTCCCATTAGAACAAGTCTTTAAAAAAATTATCTAACTTATTTGAGATTAAAAAACAACACTGCATGGTAAAGAAGCTCTTAAATATGACGTTAAAAAAGAGAAAAAAAAAAGATTTAAAAATCTTGAGTAATGATTTGAAGCACCTACGTTGATGAAAGAAATGTATTGGCCAAATGAAAGAATCTAGCTCTGTACTTGGCACTGAAAATTTGTGGCTCAAACATAGAATACAACTTGGCATAGAAGTCTGGGTAGTCACTGAAAGTATAGAAAAATTAAACATTCATACAAAACATTGTGTTTGGAAAAAATAGAGATAGGTGAATTAGGACTGATCAATTATTTTACTATAATGCAACATTTTTCAAACATCTCTATGTTTTGATATGTTCGCAAATGTGTGGCAAGATTTTGATGCAAAGAAAAAATGGTTGGGAATTTTCCCTAATCTATCTTTTCTAATATAATATTTCCTGGGATGCTACACCTTACTAAAACAGTTCACATTTGATCAAATACTTGAATTATATGTCACAAAATGTAAGTAAAAAGGTATACTTTTAAAAAAATACTAATTTGGAAAGTACAAAAGATTTCAATCATTTTTTTAAAAGGTCAGTTAACCCCAGAAGATGTTATACTTTTTCTTTACAGCAAAAACACTAAAAAATGAGCATTAATAAAATACAAGTTCAAGTATTGTTGTGACTCACAGATTGTACTTGTGCATGAGAATAAAGAGGCCATGTAGACTCATCAAACTGACAGCGCCACCTGTTGGGAAAAGACAGTGTTAGTCCAGCACTATCAAATGCAACACACAATATAATATATTTATTTTTAATTCATTTGATGGTGTGGTGTAATACTGTGAAAAGGCTGCCTGTATTTAAGGAACAATTTTTAATCACTTAAGGCCAGCTGAATATTACTGAATATAATTAATGGTTAAGAAGAAGAAAAAAAACAGGATAATACTGATTTTAAAAAAAAGTCATACTTAACATCCCCCCCTCCCCCCTCTATTACCTCTAACCTGTTGTTATATTATTTCTCACCTATATTGAAAGATTCTGAGAGAAAGTCTGTAAGTCTAAGTGGTGTGGACATTTTATCCATGACTGTAGAGATACCAGTCAGAATTTCTCTGTACAACCCTGTGGGGATCTAAGGAATGAAGCAAGCAGAAATATTCATGACATGAACTTTATTTTTGATTAGCTATATTTTTTTATAATTAGTAGTTATTTATATTAACTCTTTCGCTGTGGAATTTTTGAATCGAAAAAATGTACATTTTTTTCGAAGATCGAAAAAGCGTGAGAGTAGTTTATAAGACTAACATTGGTATCAAATGAAAGATAATTGAAAGAAATATATCCTTGTTAACTTATTTCTTCAGTTTAAATAAAATAAGTTACAGAAAAGAACCATTTTATGCTTAACGATTTTTTCCCCAAACCCTATGAAGTTCGCATACCTCATCTTCAAATCTATAACTCAAATCCTCTAAAACTACTACTATTACTCATAGTAGTACTATCGGAATCATGCGATGGATCTAATTATAAATCATTTTCACTATCAAAAGAAATAGTATAAAACAACTCCAAAGCTTTTAGAGCTGTTAATCGTTTTGGAACCTTACTCACCTACTAGGGCCTAGAGTAGCCAAAGCAACAGAAGAAAAAAAAAAGCGAAGAAAATCATTAAATGCTTCATATGACAATAAATTAACCCTGGCTTCACTTATAAGCAATGAAGTACCACTCTTCTATGTAAAAGTCGTATTTAAAAATGGCTCTTTAAAGTTTAACTGAGAAATAGCAAAGAAACAAACATGATATTGAAACAACACACGGCGCATTGGTCCGTGCTTTTGAGAACGGCTGATGAATAAACTGTGCGTTGTTCCACATTGAAAGAGTTAAATCCTTAAATAAGTCATAGTATGCAACCAACTCCTTTCCCCCAAAATAAATTAATTGACAATACCTTGTTTATAAGGAAATCACACACAACACCTGTCAACAGTCGTCTAGACTGGGTATCTGTAAGAAATAACAACACTAAATTAAAAATAAATTCTTTGTTGTGAGCAGAATAACGTGCATGGTTTCAGAATCATGCCTGTTACATTTGTATTAAAATGAAGGCCAATATTTAAGAAAATTCATTTCATTATTTCCAATGTAGGCTAAATTTCACATTTACTGATTACATCTGCAATATAACAGCATTAAAACAATACTTATAAAACTTGATAGATGCCAATGTGACGAGATTTCAATATTAATCTTTACATTTGGCTATACAATTAATACTAAAAGAGTATCAAAGCTTTAGGACTACTCCATTATGCACCAGAAAAGTGAGCCCTGAGAGACCCCAATCAAAGAGACCAAATGTAAACCAATAGTTACCAAGATCATGAGATGCTACTTGCTGTATCATTCTCCAACAGTTGTACATGAACACATCTGAAGGGAGCTCAATCTGAAAATAAAATCTTAAAATTAAAATGCAGTATATTAAAAAAAGAAATGAAGTAAGGTTGGAGCTTTACCCCAGACATGAAGCAACAGTGTAGATTTCAGCTGACATATTTCAACTTAACAGTAAATAAATTAAGTACTATGAATGAGCACTTGAAAGTTAATAAAACACTCTACATAAGTTAACCTCAAACACTGGAGGCTGAATTAAATATGAGGCTCACATTTTCAGCTGATTTAATTTTTCTCCTGGTAAGCATCAGGCATAAAAGGATAGTGTCTGAATTAGATTCATTCTCTTCATGGTCTACATGGAACTGTTGTATCAACTGTGCTTGATCTCGGTCCTTACTAAGTAGGTGGGCCACAATGATCTGATAAAAAACATAAGAGGAGTCATATTTACAAATTCCATCATGCAACTAATTCACAGGTAACCAAACAATGAGATTAATTCTTTTCGATGTTGAACCACATATTGAGATTAATTCTTATTGATGTTGGACCACATATTGAGATTAATTCTAATTGATTTTGAACCATACATTGAGATTAATTCTTATTGATGTTGAACCATATATTGAGATTAATTCTTATTGATGTTAAACCATACATTGAGATTAATTATTATTGATGTTGAACCATTATATACTGAGATTAATTCTTATTGACAATGAACCACATGTTGAGATTAATTCTTATTGATGTTGAACCAAATACTGAGATTAAGTCTTATTGATGTTGAACCATATATTGAGATTAAGTCTTATTGATGTTACCCACTTCCAAAAGTACACATTAAAAATACAGCGGCGTGAAGGGTAAAAAAAGCACACTGAACAAAACTGTGTAAGACTACAAATGAATATTTATTCTCACCCCCTCTCTGACTGATAAATTGTTCAGTTAAAAAAAATTAAACTACAAAATACTACCTCTATCAACTTTCCTTTAGCTGCATTTGACTTTTGCTCTCCTTCTGCCCGAAGCAGCTTAACCATTGCTTCTAATGTATATTTCTGAAGAGTTACACAAATCACAACAAAATTAATATCTAGGGCAGATAAAAAGAATCCAAGAAGGATAAATCACACAATTTCTGAATGTTCCTGTTATCTCAATGAAAAATTACAAAACATGCAAAAAATACAAGGTGAGGGGAGGCCCTTTATTATTTTTTTTTCCAGTATAAACTTTCCTATTTCATCCGTAAAAAATGTTTGCCTTGAAGAGAATTTTTTCTTAGACGTACACTAGTGCTTTTTCTCTTAAAAACAATTTTACAAATTTGCAAAACACTAAGAACTATAGTTAAAAGCACCTAAATCACACAATAAAATTTTAAACAGTAAACACAAGTAAGTTGGTTACCGGAAATTTGTTTGAAAGAAATTTTGTTGACGGAAAATTGATAGACGGAAATTTGGTCAAATCTTATTTTTTTAGTTCACTCGTTACAATTTTCATTACATTTCTTTTTGAACTCACTATACTATATAGTAAAACAAAATAATGCGTCCAAAAAGAAATTTGATACGAAGTAAGTAATTTGTTAACAACATTGTTAAAAACTAACAGTTAATTAGAGTCAGTCTCAATGTCATAAGAAACTTTGCTCGAGCTATAATATACAAGCTGGGGTGCTGAAGATCTGGAGTAATCTAAAAAAGCAAATTACCCAGATTTGAATGATATTGATAAAATCAAAATATTCTCACCTGAACATCGCTTGATTCATGGGACAAATGATCACTGAGAATAGCTGTTGTTGTGCTGAATTGTTCTCTCAACCAATATGAAAACTGATTTTCTTTGCTTAAATCTAAGATTGTAGGATATCACAGAAGTAATATCAATAATCAGAATAAATATGATGGATTATATGATTATTTTGAAAATTTTAGTATGTCATTTTAGAATCAAATAGAGTGGTGATAAAAGGTAAAGACGGCCAAATCATAATAATAATATTTATATTTCATAATATTATAAATGGGCACAATGACCTAGAAAAATTGATAGTACAAGCGACATTTAATAAATAAAAGGCTTGACCATAGATTTCCAACCTTTTTCAGCTAGTGTAGTTTTTCCAGGATCCAAATATTGTTGTGTGGAAATAAAGTATGAGAAAACATCACCCAAGCATTGAATACTGATGCATGCAATCTCATTGCTTTTGTGCTGAGGATAGAGATTTGGAACAGTTTTAATTTCATTGCAATCCTAATAACACTCACAAAACTTGAAAGCTTCATTAAAATAAGAAAGGGGGGGGGGGGAAGACGACGACACTGGACCTGAGTTATATATTTACTGGAAGTAAAAATTGTGTTAATTTGACTATTGTCTGTGTTCTTTATTAAGATTAGAGTCTACTATGAAGTCAAATTTTATCAAGATGAGATAAGACAAGGGGCTAGGAGCTATACATAAAGGATGGCACACTATTTTGGCCAATATTTATTACTACCCCGCTCCCAAATTTGTCACTGAAAATTTAGACACTCTAGGCAAATATTTGTGACCAAGCCAACCCATGATACGTGACTTCAGTTAAGGATGGCCTCTATAAGGTACTTTGGACTCTAGTCATTTAACTCCATCCATGTATTTTTCACTAGCTAAAAAATCCCTCACACATCCAAAAATAATAACAATTTGGCCAATGCAAAGAAGACATGCCATGATGTCATTTATGTGTTTTTGTAAAGTTTCTGTTATGGATTCACTCCCTTTGTTTTTTGTTACTAGAGTTAAATTTTCCTTAATGACATGTTTTGTATTAACTTTTTTTTGGTGAATAATTATAATTTTAACATTTCATTGGTTGGGTAATTATAATATTTTAATTTTTCCGCCATATTAGAAAATGGATTGACATTGACGGCATTGTATTTTATTAATTTTCTGGAAATTCTTTCCAGTGGAACCTGAAATAAAGTGTGTAAGTAAAAGTGTATTCTATGAAACAGTAACTTGGGCTTTCAATATTTTTTTTTTTTAACAATTGTTTTTTTATTGTTTTTCTTCATTTTTTAAAGTTTTCTTGCCAGTGTGCAACTGCAGCCGCATACATGTTTTTTACTTGAGGCTTTATGGCTAGATTTAGGGTTCAGGTTAGGGATACATTTGGGTTCAGGTTAGGGATACATTTGGGTTCAGGTTAGGGATACATTTAGGCTTCAGGTTAGGTTTAGGGATACATTTAGGCTAGGTTTAGGGATACATTTAGGGAAATTTTTTTTCATTAAATTTTAACACGTTTTATTTCTTATTTTAGCAGACGAGTTAATTTATTTTTACAGGCCCCCACGACCTGTTAACCCATAAAAGTTAGCGGGGCATGGCAACCAAGATGGCAGCAATGGGAAAAAACATGGCACGTCTTCTTTGCATTTACCAATAATTCAACCTCATTACATTAAAATTCTTATATACCGTAGGCCTGTTTTTAATGTAAATGTACATGAACATTTGGGTAATCTTGCAGTTCGTGCGTATACTATTTCTGATCGAATTTTGTATTATCACATGTAAACTTACATATATTCTTCATTCAATTAAATCCAGGCAGTTAACTAATACTGAATTATGCAGCCCTTATTTTTGTTTTATTTTATTTCTAAGGCATCTTTGAACATCCCCCAACCTTCCATAGCTCCATTTGTTTAGAATTTTTTTCACCCTGTAGCCAGATTTTTTATCACCAATAAGTTGGTATGCTAAACAAAATTTTCAAATTGCGGGCGTGGGCATGTTCACAAAAAGAATGAAATACTGGAAGGGGGGGGGGGGGGGTGGTGGTGGTGGTGTGTGTTGAACTTAATTAATATTCCGTTAGTTTATAGGGCTCCAAAATTCTTTTTTTTCTTATATGGGGTGTATAAATATAATTCCAAACAAAGGCTCCTGCATGGGCATGGGTGAATGGAACGAGATCAAACTTAGTACACATACACTTGATTATGCATATTCAAAAACCGATACTGAAGGTAAATGAACTCATAATTTTAATTTTTCCTAAAACTAGCCAATTTTATATAAATTTATTTTGTAAACATGCTTTTAGTTTGAAAAATTAAGTATCAATAAATAATTTTGGTATAATTTATTATAAATCTAATCTATTGTTTCGTTTATTGTGAATATGCTTTCAGTTGAAAAATTGCAATCTGGCATGTAGGGTGAATTTAAAAAAAAACAACAAGAAAATGGAGAGATCGTTTACGCTATCGTCTGTGTAACATTGGGGGCTCAAGTAGTTCAAAAGTTATAAATATAGTCACTTATTTGTATTTAATTAATTAATCTTTTTAAAATATATATTTTTTAAATTCCCTTCATTTTATAATAATAACAATATTCTTTAGGTATTAATTTCAAATTTTCTATGGAATTGTTTAACATTTATAAGTATAAACCAATAATACAGAGATTATTTGATTCATGTATCTGAAATTAACAAATATAGTTTTTACTTCACCATTTTCTATATACCGGTATGTACTTTAGTCCCATTTGAATATGACCAAAAAAAAAGTTTATTCTTTATTTTAAGTTAGTAATTTTGTTTCATAAATCAACATGTAACAACTCTGGCTGTTGATAAAAATTAAAATAAGTTCTAGTCATTTGCTTGAGGTAAGTACAAGCTTTTATGATTGTTCTTTAGTAATATCTTGAGAAATTCTTTAATTCTTGGATTACTGTAGCATAATGTGTGTACTTCTTGAATACTGAGGATTATATTATATATGTTTCTTGTAGAACATTGCGATTTGTGAGGAAATAAAGGATATATTTTAATATCAAAGTTAAGTGCATATTTCAATTTTTTATTTTATTTTAAGATTTAAGAACAGGGGTCTCAAACTTGCGGCCTGCTGACCATTCACTTGTGACTCAAACTTGCACTCACCCGTGATATGAAAAACGCTCACCCTCGATCACGAACACCATTCCTCATCAATTCAAAACACACAGACTATGTGATGATTTCATGACCTTGACCAATGTTCCCTCTAAGGTTTGTTGGTTCATGTGCAAAATCATAAAGTTGTGCAAATTACAACATCAAATTTTTTGTGCGCAAAATTTTCAGCCTACAGACACTTAAATGGAAGACACTTAAATGGAAATTGGCTGCGCGATACTCAAAACTGCTGCGCGGCATCTGTGAGATTGCTGCGTGGCCGCGCAGCCTAAAGGGAACATTGACCTTGACAGATATTTCAATAACAAAGGTAAGTGAATATTTAAATTTTTAATTTTATTTTAAGATTTAAGAACATGGGTCTCGAACTTACTCTTGCCTCAAACTTGCACTCGCCCGTGATATAAAAACATTCACCCTCACTCACTAAACCCATTCGTCATCAATTCAAAACACAGACTACCTGATGATTTCATGACCTTGACAGATATTTCAATAAGAAAGTTAAGTGAATATTTACATTTTTAATTTTATTTTAAGATTTAAGAACAGGGGTCTCAAACTTGCAGCCCGCTGGCCATTTGCTGACAATATTTTGGGGCCGGCTACGTGAAAGCAAAATTTAGTGTTAATGTGAGCCGCACGTTTTCCCCATTCTCATATCCCTTCGCGACGGTCTCAGTCGAATCTCACAGACTAGTCCAATTATGATTTTATTTATGTTTCTATAGGCTATAGGTTTGGACGTTGATTATAATGGTAAACCCTGTTTTAAAAACGCACGGAAAGTTTTTATTTTATAGCGTTTTATGAGACAAACGTGGCCAAAGTGTTGTTTTGGGAAAAGTTTAAAAAGTCAGTTAGTGGGTAATGCACAACCATAATTGTGTAAATCGTAGCAGCAATCTGACACAGCATTAAAGAATCCCTATTAAAACTGCAGCTAGTGTTTACGAGTGAGTGAAATTACGAGTCTGTCAGCTTGGTAACTTTCCAAATAGAGTTAGTCAAAAGGCATATTTGACGATAAAAAAATTAAAATTCATTCTCCCTACAATAGAATCTTCCTTCGCAGCAATAATTCATAAATATTGAATAACATTGTCTGCTCCTGCCTACTGTTTGACCACGTTTTAGCATCTGAAGCCTTCATGGAGAAGGATGTAGGGCTTATGATCATTCGAGATGCCACGACGTATTTTCGGTAGAGCCACTTCCCTTTGTTTATTTTAGAGAATTATTTTGTTATGTCTTAGTATTCGTACGCTGATGTCCCGTTTTTGTATAAAATTTTAATTGGTTGATTAATTATAATTATAAATTATGATTGGTTGGCTAATTTGCATATTTTATTTGTGATGCCATATTGCCTACATTTTGGCCGGGCTTGCCGGTTCTTGTGCTTCATTCATTATCTGGATATTATTTGTGCAATCTGACTTCACGTGAGGTGTCAACCAAGATGGCGGCCATTGAGAAAATAGTGGCATCTCCAATGACCATTAACCGGGTGTAGTGGTTATTCCTGCACTAAGTGATCCCAAATGGCTCATGGACTTGACTTTTCTTGTTGACATTACACAGGAGCTGAATGTACTCAAAAAGAAGTTACAAGGCCAGGGTTAGCTGAGTGTTGCATGGCTTATGACAATGTCAGGGCATTCTGCACAAAAATTACATTACAATGAAATCACGGTACCCGGTTTTTGGCACTTCCCGGATCTTATTGAAGAATCTAACGTAAGTTTACACGCGTTAATAACTTAATACAAAATTCTATCAGAAATAATTTACGCACCTGAATTGCAAGATTACCAACATTTGATATTGACAACTGGCTGACGACGGGAACTCTTTACTGATTTTTAGACCATAGATAGAGAATATTGTTTATATTTATAATAATTATTAGTAATAGTATTACTACAATACTATTAGTATTTGTCATTTAAGGCGTAGACGAAGAACAGGAGTGCACCTGCACATCAATTATGAATAATTACATTATTTTTTTGGTCATTAGTTTTCAAACACACCGATTTAATTCATTTATAATAAGTTGCATTACCTGTGAATACTTAAGTAAATCAAGAATAAGGTTAGCATGTTTGCAGTCTTTGAGAATAAGCTTAGCTTTATTCCTTATTTTTTTAACAAGTAAATCAGTCTTTCTGTTTTCCATGCTGCTTCCGGTTATTTCCGCAATGAGGAATTAATCTAAGAATAGGCACCAATCAAATTACAAATAATAGCAACCTGAACAAGAAGGAAAAAGTTTGCGCATGCGTAAAAACCATTGCGTCAAGCTAAATTTTATGTCGGGAGAACCGTCTGTCTACTAACGATATACTTTTAGATTTTATATTGCTTATTCTCATTCCACTTAGCGGCCTATAGCTTAAAATGTGCAGCTAAATATCTGTTTCGGTTGGAATTGGGCTTTTTGGCCAAGATGGTGGGAAAATGTGAGAGAAATTTATAAAAAAAAACAGGGTAAGTAATGAGAATATTAATCGGATTCAACATGGCGACTATGTTCCATATCGCTCAAATGCGCAGACAAGATGCGCACAAATAAAGGTGTGCAAGAACGCGAGGGTTATTCATTCATTCATTTCATTGTACCAACGTGTGAGGGTTTCATGCTAAAGAAAAATGGGAATGCTGTGGCTACCAAAATATAATCATTGCAAGTTTTTGTTATAGTCATGGACTATATACTTGGTTGTAATATCGTGATAATTATTCATATTTCTGAGTCGCATATAGGCATTACAAAATATAATTTAATGTAATAGAACTGGATGAATCAACTGAAGTAAGCGTGTATGCAGCATGCAACACATCTTGGGGCCACATGTTCCCGACAAAGGTTTAAGAGCATCATGGCCATGCCACATGATCCTTATACTTACCATAGTTATGAATCATAGTCATAGGCTTTTCACTAAAGATTTTTTTTTATCTCTACTAGAAATTAAAATAGTAGGTAGGCCTAGATATTCTTCTTAGGGGATTAATTGGTACTTTGACACAAATTTTAAATTTCTTAAAAGAAACAGTTAATATGAAGTTAGGGACCACGAAACCCCCATGCGCACGTGGTCTGCACATACCAGAAAATGACTCAAAGCTGTTGTGGCCATTTTACATTCAGCTTGGGGAGGATATTGTTTGGCAGTGTCGACACGTCCGGCCGGACGTCTATCTCCCGCACTATTTGTCCGGCGACCAAGTCACGTGACCGCCTTAACAAAGTGGCGAGAGATATCTTGTCTGTCAGCCTTGTCACGTGACCGCAAATGATTCAAAACTATTGTGAATTTCAAAATCTATTTCTCTACTAATACTTCATCCTCATCAATGGGTACATTACAAACATCTTCCTCCATCTCAAATTGGGTTGTTTGTTGATTGGCAATGCATATCGTTATGTGTGGACTCTACTGGAAAAAAACAAAGGAAAATGCTGAAGCTAATGACATAAACTGAATTGGGTTTTTAACAAAAATGACCTTAAGTAGACAAAATGAAAAATTAAAGAAATGTCCCTTGTTAAAATCTATTTATTTCATGTTTAATTCTGGTATGAACTTCTGGTCTATCGATACACGCTTTTACTAGTCTTCTTAAGAGTAATTCCGATTGGTGAATTGATTAATATCCGATTGTACAAACAATTAATTTAAGGTTGTTAACTACCGGGTACCTTCGGTTTCTAAATTGTTAACATGTAACATGTTTAAAAAGAATGTGTTCATACATTTATGCACAAATTGTGCAACAATTATCCTTAAATTTTTGTGTAATAGTTACATTGAACCATTTTGAATATAGTCGTGATTTTTCTCTGTTTCAAATCTGTGGGGTAATGCTGGCATAAGCAAATACATTTTGGAGAAGTAATTGCAATTTGTGTTGGAATTATGTAGCCAACTACTTATACTAGAATGGCCTATAGTCTTCCAAGCATATACAATGTAGTGTCAGTCAAATTTATTATGTTATGAAGTTAATGAAATCATCTTCTGACTATTTGGATGTTGTAGCACACTAAGGCCTGCTCAGTAATACTTTATTTAGGGAAATGTGTACGTTTGGTCTAACTGATTGAGTTGTAATTTAGACAGAATATGTTTTCAGGTGAGGAGCAAGGATGCAGAGGAGTGATCCTGGTGAGCAGGGAGCCCAAAACTCAAATGATATTCAGCAAAATGCAACTCCGTCGACATTGCTCACGGCAGGTAGAATTCAAGGATTGGCAGGCTTGGTCACTCAGCCATCTGTTGGTGAGCTCATTTTTGTTGTTGTTGCTATATTTTTAGTTATAAACAAAATTTGTATGCCTTTATTTTTGAAACTGTCTCTAATATGATTTAATAATTCGCCAGAAACTAGAGCGAAGACCAACACGACGCAGGCTATTTTTAGAACCTTCCCATGCCTCTCACTTGCCAGCCATGCGCACACCCCAACAAGCTCGCGGCGTCTGCTAAGTCGCGGGTTGGCTATATGAAAAGGGGGGGGGGATGTAGCAAAATTGGCATTCTTAAATGTGCGCAACTTGAGTTCACTTTTTTGTCAAGTAACTTGAGTAGATGGGAAGTTCACGCATTGCTGTAGCCAATATTTGGCGGGCTATATCTAGTATGATTTAATTTGTATTCAACAGCTATGCTACCAACTACTAGTGGGGTGAGTGTACCCACTGTCACGTTCACCTTGCCCAGAACTATCACAGCTCAGTCACCTGGGGCACAACCTTTGCAACTGTCTCCTGCAACTTCACGACTTGTTTCACCCCAAGCTATAAATATTATTCAGCGTCAGTTGTCTTCAGGTGAGTTTTTTCATTTTTGTTTGGACTTGTGTCAAGGAGCTGCTATTGGCTTCTAAGATTTGTTTATTTTGCACAAATATGAAAAAGGGATTGTTAGCTACTTGTCATTGAATAATTTTTATAGATCACGCAATTGACAAACATTTTAATTCACAGGTATTGTAGGTCTCTCTACCGTATCTGCCCAGGGTCTGCAAGTTTTGCAAGCCTCTGGAACACCTCTCACATTTGTAACGGCAACCAGCCCAGAAGCTGCTGTAGCTTTTGAACAGCAACGAAAAGCTCGGGTACTTCAGCAGCAACAGCTAAAACAAGCTGGTACTCAAAATAGCAGTGGCAGTACCATCCATCACCTGGCCATTTCAAGTCCTGCCAACCTTGTTTCCAAACCCAACCACAGTTTATCACAAACTGCCAATATGAGTGGCTTGCAACAGTCCTCGACTGGGCTTAAACGCTCCCAGACTGCACCTGGAGCAGTGTTAATTGCAACATCATTGTCATCCTCAGGTCCTGGATCAATAGGTGGTGACATTAAATTATTCACTATAAGCCAGCCACTTGCAACAACAAATACTTACACCACAGTTTCTTCCACTCGTGCAACATCTCCGGCTACAAGTGGACCCCCTGCAAAGAAATTTAAACTTGAGGAAAAGCCTGCTCCAAACAAAGAAATTGAAGACTACAGACACTCTGTTATTGGTCACAAACAGCAGAAAATGCTAGAAATAAAAACAAGATATAGAGAACACTGGACAGAGTTGTTCTACTTACAAAGTGGTGGAAACATCACTGAGTTTCACACTTGGAAAAAGCGACCTACTCAACCATTATTAAGCTTTCTAGAAGTCAGTCGGTTAGATGATGATGATGAAGAGCTGCAGGAGAAGCGGATAAATGATGAGGTATTGCTACTGTCAATCTTAAATCTTGATTAATATCTTCAGTGCAATTATCTTTTTAGCGTAAAGTTATGTTTTATTCTAGTATTTGTATATTTATGTACAATTTCAAGTACATATATTTTGTTCTCTTGAAAGATTACAAGCATATTTATTTATGATTTCAACTTTCAATAAATGTTAAAATTTACACATTCTATCAGGTAAAGGTGCTGACAAGTGCTGGCAGTAATGTTCCACTAGCAACACCTGTAGCCATTTCTACAACACTTCCACCATCTGTATCAGCTCTGAGTCAGCAAGGTAGTAGCGAGTCCCTCGCCTCTTTCCCATCTTTCACCACCACCAACACTAACCTCACTTTGCTGGGCTCTCACGCCTCTGGGATCGATGAATTTCTTAGGCAGCTCACTGCCTATGTCAAGGGTATCGCGGGTCTTTACAATTTTGGCACTGCTGACTGTGATAATTGTTTTCTTATCATTTGCTCCTTCATTGTTGTTGTGGTTGATAGATTACACATCTAGATGTGCTTAAGCTTTCACCTGTTGCTGTTTGCCTAGAAGATTTTAAAAAATTAATGCATGTTTCAATTTTTTAAATGTCTAGCACATTGTTCTATAATTAAACTGAGTTTTTTGTTTGTTCTGAAATCGAGAGAGAAATAGTAATTTTGGTTAGCATGGCTTTTCAAAAAATGATTGTCAATATATATTTAGATTCCATTTGTTTGTTACAGTACCAAATTTGGTGGTCAGATACGTGCTACAGTTATTTAAGCATATTTTCCTCAGTTCAATCAGTCACTATATATAATTCCTTATTTAAAACAAATACCCCAAAAATTTGATTAATAACAAATCAGGATAGAAGTAAAATTGTTTGGTGTTTAGATATTATCAGTGCAATATTTTTTCCACTTCTTTTGTGCATATTCATACTTAAAGATCTTCTTTATGAAGGGTGTGCCTTAAATACCCTTACAATCTTTTGAAATGTATTTTATTTCCAGTTCCTCTTTTCACTTATTATGCATGAACATTTTCTGTTGTGCCATGGTCTAGATTTTTGTATGAATTAACTGTTACTATATTACAGTTAACATTTCAGAATAAGTCATTTTTGTTTAATTTACTAATAGTACAGCATTGATGTGCATTGATAAATTTTTCTGATTAAAAATAAGTGTTCATAGTTTTTCATATTTTAACAAATTTATAGTTATTTTCCATTTCCCCACAGCTATGAATTCAGCAAGTACTACATCCCTTACCAGCATTCCTCTGCCTATAGCTACATCTTCTGAGCTTCAGCAACATCTCACTAAAGCTATTGACATCAAGACAAATGCTCATACATACAAAACTGGAGTTTCTTCTGGGTATCTATACTAAAATAAGCGATAAGTGACTTAGACTCTAGTCTTATAAGTTAATCCAAGACTTTTGATGAGCTTATTTCTTTCAGATGAAAATATGAAACTGTCCTAGTTAGAAAGGTATCATGAAATAGATAAATCTAATGTTTCTTTTAAATAAAGTACAGTGGAACCTCTCATAATGAGCATAATTTGTTCCAGAATCTTACTCGTTAAGCGAAACATTTTGGTAATCTACCACTTCAGCATTGGCCAAGAAAAAATCCAGTTGTTCCGTTTGGAAGGGCAATTTAAACTATTCTTACTCTGTTAATATTTTTGCTTCTGTATAGAGGCTATAAAGTTATATAGCACAATACTAATACATTTAAATAATTATTATTGCCAAGCTACCGATATGCCAGGAAGAAAAAGAGACTAAAATTATTTTTTTTAAAACCCAGATAACGCGGATGTCCACACACAGAATGTGGAAAACGTGAATGCTCAGAAAGAGTAAACTGAAAAGACGGTTTGGCACAAGATGCCCCGGTGATCTTTCCCCTTCATATTTACGTGGATTCATGCACCACAACCGTTTTCGTGGAAATTATATTTTTTTAAACTTCATTGTCAACTTGGGGGAGAACTATGCATAATTCCATGTTCACACATTATCTTCTATTTCAAAAAAATTGTTATAGTTTTTCTAATTTAAAAAAATTGTCTATTATGGGATTGAATACGTACAACCAATGTCATTAAAAATATTATAAGAATAGTTGTTTAAATAGCCCTTCAAACAGGAACAGTTGGATTTTTTTCTTGGCCGACGCTCAAGTGGTAGAGTACCAAAATTTTATTAACATTTATTCAAATAAAATTACTTATGAATTGTTAAGGAGTGTAACAACTTGGAATACAATTTAGATTTGAAACAAAAAACATAAATAAAAATATGAATTTATGAATATTAACTATGAACCAAAACTAAGACCATCAGTGAACGCTCCTTCTACTTCCATGGGCCCACGTTCTGGAACCAGCTCCCCTTCCATATCCATCATTCTGAAACCTCGTCCACTTTTAAAAAAATCCCTTAAAACCCATCTGTTTAGGTCCGCCTATGACCTGTGATGCACCCTCCTTGCCCTGCCTCATTTTCTGTCTCGGGTTAATCCTGTAATATAGGCCAAAACGTGCCAAAGTGTCCTCGTTTTATGGCCATTTTAATTGTTTCTATAGTATAGTAGTTACTATCCTAATGTCTCATTTTTATTTTAGTTAGTTTACATGTTTTTAAAATTGTAAAGCGCTTAGAGCTTTAAGGTAAGCGCTATATAAAAATGCCAAAATAAATAAATAAATAAAACTGTTTAAAAAGACATTTGTTTTTGCTGACGCTTCAAAATTTGAAAAAAATGTGTCACTGCATTTTCATTGGATAAATTTATAGCACGAATAGCCTCCTCCTTATTAGGGTGATGCAACTCCATAAGCTCTTCGGTGGTCAACTCTTGACTCTGCTCTTTCACAAGCTCTTCAATATCGTTGTTGTCCATCTCGAGTCCCATGATATTGGCCAATGACACAATCTCGTTAACGGTAGACTCCACAGGTTCTGTTTCAAAATCACATTCAACAACACTCTCTGGCCAAAGTTTTTTCCAAGCAAAAGTGAGGGAAAAAGGGACTTCTCCTTCCTGCGTAACTCGTTATGCGAAATGACGCTTATTAAGGGAGCAACTTCTTCACTTTTTTTTTGCTCGTTATGCGAATTATGAGAGGTGCTCGTTATGAGAGGTTCCACTGTATTTTGAAACGATTTAATTTTATTGAATTTTCTCTTTAGCTCTGTAGGGTTTATAATAACCTTGTTTATTCATGTAGAAAATGCTATTTTAGTTCTGATATTGGCTGGTTACCGAGACACTTTGTTTTTTTACAATGACGTCTTAAACACCAGCCGCAGAGTATCAATCATTTATTTTATTTTTGGACTTGATTAATCATCTTGTTCGCTTGTAATGAATGATGACATTTTCAGACCTGTTTACGCTTAGAAAATTGGCGTACAGTGTACGATTTTCGAGATGTATACATTATATATACTGTATGTTAATTTTGTTACTATTAAGATAATGTGTGGAATGAATTTGCGATATTGTACAATGTTAAAAGTTTTAGGGTAAACTGGTCTGCATTTTTAAAACTGTTTTTGGGTTAAAATGTATTTTGGTAATTTATAACAATGTGTTGTTTATCAGTCAGTCAGTGACAGCAAAATGTTTGAAGACAAATGTCTCCCCTGGTCGACCAAGACAACAGTCAATTTCCTCAGTGTATGAGAATGTTACGGGTGGATCTCAAGATGTGATTGTTGAACGGGCTAAGCAGGTGTGTTAATATTTTTTCCTGCAATTATTTTACAAACTCCAAAGAGAAATGATTGGAAAATTTCCTGACTTTGGATTCAAACATATATTTTTGCTATTTAGCCATGTTACTTTTTTATGCCTTGCCACTGACTCATTCTGTGAGTAATGCAAAATTTACTCTCAATTTAATAGTGGTGACATTATTTGGCTTTTTTAAAAGGGGATTTATCCAAATGCACTTTAAATGTCAGCCATACATAGTTTATTTTTAAAGTTAATGAATAGGTAATATGTTCTTCAAAATTGGATTAGTTTTACTTTTCTTCTTAGGAAGCTCAAGTTTTGCAGAGGGTTAATGAGCTTAGAAAAGAAGGACTCTGGTCATCTAAGCGTTTACCCAGGGTTCAAGAACCTCCGAGGCAAAAGGCACATTGGGACTATTTACTTGAAGAAATGACTTGGTTAGCAGCAGATTTTATTCAAGAGAGAAAGTGGAAAAAGGCTGCTGCCAAAAAGGTAGATAGCTAAAGATATTCTTTTAAGAGTTTTATGCTATTCAAAGTTATTTATTTAATATTAAGAGGTAAGTTGAGAATGTCATAATGTCATGTTAATTCATCATTATTTCACCTTTCTGCCTAGCTTGCCAGGATGGTGTCCAATCACTTTCGAGAACAAGAGCAAAAGGAAATGAGGGCAGAAAAGGAGGAAGGCATCAAGTTGAAAAAGATTGCCAGTCAGATTGCTAAAATGGTTAAAGAGTTCTGGACAAACATTGAAAAGGTAACTTAATTTTACGTGAACATGGCTTTGCAAAGATAATAGTGTGGTCATTATAAGGGCACACACAGATAAAAAGAAACCGGTTCCAGGTGGTGTTAAATGAAATGTTATCTTTTCATTTTCTATAAATGTTACACCCAATTGGGGGTTGTTTGATTTGTTATGGTAAATTGAACTATTACCATAAATTTGTCTTATCTTTTCATCTGGAGTTAGCTATTTTAGCTATGGTAAGCCTGAAAACTGTGCACTTAACTACAGTGTTTGCACTCTGTCCTTTTTGGTGCTAATAGGCACAAGTTTAAATGGCCAAGGGCTTGTTCTGGTCTGGACCTTAGAAATTTTTTCTCCCCTCTGGATTAATGGTAGCAGCATATTCTGTTATAGTTGAAGCTTGAAATTTCTGAGGGTTATTTCTCTAGATTTTCTCTCATATTCTGGCCTTGTTAACAAAAGGCTAAATTTTACACTTATTTTGAGTATCATGCAGAGCAGGGGTGGGCGAACTAACTGATATTATGCGGTCCTCGAAGGCATTTAGAAATAAAAAATATATCTTCATTTTGTTTTACAGAATTTCATATACCGTTGTGATTGTTTTAACATTTTTGATAAACACTTCTTGACTTTGGTCACGTATTGCTAAAATGCGAATTTATCGATTTTAATGTAGAGAAATGTTTATTGACATTTAAAAATTGGAAATAATATACATCAGATGCCACCATCGGTCGCCCTTTAGGGTCATCCATAAAAGACGTCCACACAAAAGGGGGGAGGGGGGGTTCAGCAAAAAGTGGACTAAAGTGGACAAAGGGGGGGAGGGGGTTTAGGACAAAGTGGATGTCCACATTGTAGTGTTTTTTTGAGTGCAGCATAAATTTACTGCCCGATCACAGTTACAGTACCATGCCTTTTGATCTCTATTGTCCATCGGTGGCTGGAAGAATGTGTTTCTGCGGTAAATATTTCCCATCACAGGCGGCAATGAAAAAACATAAGGTTGTCCATTGCAATATTCCTGATAGTGAACATAATATGGCAGACGAATCAGACGAAGAGACTGCCACTCAAATTGAATTAGCAATTGAAGACTCAAGAACAGATGTTGTCATTATACGAAACATGTTTGAATGGCTGCAGTCCGAATTTTCCGTTGATTGAAGAATTGAGGATTATTTGTTTATTACATTTTTTAATACAGTGATTCAATAACATTTTTTTGAACAGTTATTTCATTTAGAATTTTGCCTGCAAATAATTGGAATTTCTAAAAAAAATCTTTGTAAATATGTACTCTTTATATTGTACATTTTCCCAAAATATTCATTAAGTTCGGTAAATTTTGTTTTTGACGTCCACAAAGGGGGGGGGGGTCCAAGTCAAAAGTGGACAAGGGGGAGGGGGGGGGTAAAAAAAATAGCAAAAAAATTGGTGGACGTCTTTTATGGATGGCCCCTTTCGGTTTGGTTCAGACATTTTCCGAGAAAAGCTTACGGGCGGTCTATTTTCCCAATTCTTTAGCCTTTCCTCAATGTAGAGGACCTGAGGCCAGTTAGGTCATTGGCCTCTGTAGGTATGGTGGGGCGGGGCCTTTTCTCGCTAGATAGTCAGCTCTATCGTTAAGTGGGGATCCACTGATTGGACTGTATTGTCTCCATGTGACTGCATGTCTCACATGAGCTCTAAGACTGTGTTGCCCAGACCTGTTTACTCTTATGATTTTGGCGTACAATGTACGATTTTGAGATGTCTTTTAAGATTGTACACCGAGACCCGCCAAAACTACAATTTTCAGAGAGTCGGTGTAAAAAGAAAAATGTTCTGATTAAAATGTGTTTGTTGAAGTTTTAGCCTTTTCCAATAAAAATCTACAAGTGAATGAAACGAGAAAAACGATTGGTTGTATTTTTTTTTAAAGTTGGGACCATGCTTCATTATATTATGTGCGCACTGAGAGGGGAGGTGGGGGTTGTTAATGAAGGAGATTTTCGGCATACGGGACACCTGGGTGGGGGGGTTGGTCGGAGTGTCAAAGGTTATAAAAATATCACTGCAAAGTATCGTATTGATGGTGATTGTCATACTGTTGCTTTGTGTGTCACACTGAACTAGTTCGCTGCGTCACCGATAATATTTATACTATTCACTGCCGTTCCCTTTGACTGCTACCAAGCGTGTGACGTAGTTTTGTTACCTTGAACTGCGGCGATTGTGAAAACGGAGAAAACTAGAGACGATATGGTTTTTAAAATAAAATACATTATCCCACTGTTCTGCACTGGAACATTGGATGTGGATATATTTTATAAGAGCTAGTCAGCGGCATTTAAAAAATATTGGTAGAACTCACAAAGCAGCTCTTTACCCTCAGCGATCGTAATACGACAGTTTGGTATCACTACTAATACTACCCCCCACCCCTTTTTTTAAACAGAAAAAAATCAGACGATGGCTCAATTTTTTCCCCAGTAATGAGGGGGGGGGGTTCCTGCCCGGTGGAAATAATTACGTCACCATCACTGAAAGACGAATCACTGGACTACAGTGTGTTATCACTATGTCATGCTCAATTTTACAACTACAGGGATCTCTTTATGAAAACACAAAGCATTAGTATCTTATATTATGAGTAGGCCTATATGCTTACTGCGAATTATTGTAATATTTTTTATAACCTTATTAATAATAATAATTAGAATTCGCGGATTTCACAGTTTTTCAGATGACAGTTGGCTCTATAAGAGACTGTCAGGATAATTATTGTATGCATAAATGTAGGTGCATTCTATTGTAACACCCCCCCTCCCCCCCCATCATGTTTGTCATATGCATCCTCAGCACGTACATAATACGTAATAGATGACCCTTTGTTTTACGTTGACAAGGTGCGGCCAGGGGGGGGGATAAATATTTTATAAAACTTTGTTTATTTTGCATATCAGGAATGTTATACATGGATGGCCCATTTCCCAAACAGCTTTGCTGTTAGAGTTTGGCTACATTGACGGGTGTGCACATTGCCTGATTTTAATGTTACCATTAATAGGGGTGTGCCGGATCCGTTTTTTCCAACCGGATCCGGATCCGGATTTTCTTATGCGAAATCCGCCGGATCCGGATTCCGGTTTCTCCCGGATTCCGGATTTTGGTACTATTGGTAGATACTTCGGTAAGTCAAGGTGGACTACTACTTTTTGTGTATGGGAATTCGCAATCGGCGCCAAAAAATCCGAGTTTTTAATTTTCCGATGTGTGTGTCTATTTATTATTAAATTAGTACTTTCGATATATATTTGAGTTCCGTTCCATTTGGATAAGTGTCTTACGAGAGACGCCATGTTTCTACGCGTTCGCAGCAGGTTATGCAGCTCGCTCAACCTAATTTCGCCATGGGGTTGGCCACGCCCCCCTTTTTAATGGCGGAAGTTGACGATACTTAGGAAATATTAATTTATTATCACTATTTACATCAAAATAATTGATAACTTGTGTTTCAGAATGCATTTAAAGACATTTAAACTGGAATGTTTTAATTTGAGCTTTAACAACCCGGTAGAATCCATATTATAAATGATCAGAATTTACCGTGTGCAACACGTTGTCATTGGCAACCATTCACAGCCACTTGCATAACTGTATCGTAGTACTACCTCAGAGTTTCATTCATAAGAGTTTGCCGTGTGCAAAAACTATTAAACCATTGGTCAGGGAAAGCTTTAATTAATTATTCATGTGCCAAAGTTGAAAGTTTAAACTAAGTCTAAACAGTATTTTAGTGATAAGGCAGGGAATGCGTTGCCTTATATAAACTATATAGTCATTGCGCATGACGGGATTGGTGGAATGAGATCACAGAATGTGGAGATGCAGTCCATGTTAAAAAATGACAAACCAAGTCGTACTTTAAAAATTCATAACTTTAAAACTACAACAGCTAAAAATATGATTTTGGTGTTATAATTCTTTAAAAAATTACATCTTTTCAACTATGCCATTGGTTTATTTTTACAAAAAGTTTAAATTTTCTTATCAAAGTCCCTACACTATTGGCCACTATTAGCGGTGCTGACTCTAGCCTCTGGTATGTACGGAATATTAAACATTAAACAAGCTCAACGCTCGAAACAATCGATTAATGTATCGTGATCGTGTGAAATTCGGGAAAGAGAATTACTTTTATTTCAGATTATGATCCGGTGAGTCACAAAATCTGGCAAATTCCGAAATCCGGTATATTCCGGATTCCGGAATCCGGTTGTTCCGGATACATGTAAATCCGGCGGAACCGGATTTCACCGGATAGTGCAAAATCCGGCGGAACCGGATTCCGGACCGGGGTCCGGCACACCCCTAACCATTAATGGATTTAGCTATCCTTTTTTTTTTCGGTCCCCCAGTTTAGTTTACTTAGTGAGTGTTTTACGATATGGCCTCGACAAAAAGAAATGCACGCGAAACCGATGATGAAGAAGAAACTTCTATTTCTGCCGATAAACATCAGCTTCAGCAAAAGATAAAGTTTATATTCTTGCTTGAATATAAGACACAATTTACTGTGTTGAGGTCTTCATAGAAGTGTCCATCATACGCGCACTGCACATTCTGCAAGTCGGACTTTTCAGTAGCAATCAAAGGCAAAAGGAGTGGTGTGGATTTAGGAGATAGTGTGTATGGCGCGGGTCTAAATATTTATATCTATACAATCAACACCGCCACCTACATTTTCGTAATGTCAGTTTGGGGGAGGGGGAGGATATTCCACGGCAGAAAGTACATGCAGTATTTAAAAATACTACACTATTCGTACCGAAACTCTGAAAGTCCTAAAATAGCACATTTATATTTCGAATGCTGTAAAATACAGTCGTGATGTTGTCAAGGTGCATTTTCACAAATGATCTCGCTAGCTATACCTTAGGTCAGTAATAGAGAAATTACAGTAATGTTTAGTCCACCGAATGGTATGGCCAAGTGTTACGTATAATTCGGTGGGCTACGTCAGTGGTTCTAAAATTTTCGTTTCCCTGCGCCTATGCCACACTGTTTTCACCAGGCTACCTGTGTCGATTTCTAACATGTACAATTCCAAATAGCGAATACACAAATAAAATAAGGGTTGGATAAAAATAAATACAACGTGTATGTAGGTCGTTGAGTGCCATCTGGAACGATTTTAGTCGTGACCGATGGCTGATTTATCCTAGGTTTGGTGATTTTGTGTGGTATGAATTTCTTCAATGCATCAGTGATAGTGATTGTAGTCTTAAACTTCACCCACAGCTCTTCTGTTGTTGCTGTACCTTGAATCCCCTGCATGTTAGAGCCTTAGCTCTTTGGTTGCAATCCTTAGGCCATCCCAGTCTGCCTTGGCATAAATAGGGATTTCTCGAATGATTTGTTTCATTTTTAGTGTGTTGACCTGAAATTCACAATAAGGAATGCAGTGGTCCGAAATCCCGGGATGACCTCAACTTTTGGGACACGATGTGGACAATTGGTGAGGAATAGGTCAAGAGTGGGTCAAGAGTGTTTTCCCCCCTCGTGGGTTCTTTAACCAGCTGTTCCAGACCATGGTTGTTAATTATCTCCATGAATTCTGAGTGTAGCAGGGTATGGGGACTTGGGCTTCAAGGCAGGAATCTGCCAATTCCAACCAGGAAAGTTAAAAGTGTTGCTCTGTGAAGCGATACCTCGAACCTCCTCAGGCTTGGTTCATCTGCTGTGTTTGGTCGGTAATATGTACAAACGTAAAGTGTGCGTCTACCCTTTAGTTTCAATTTCACCCACAGGATCTCGCAGTCGTCAACATCTAGTTCTGGAACAGCGTGGCAGTCCAGGTTGTGATAGACAGCAACAGGCACTACTCCTGTCTTTTCTGTCTCGACGGAATAATTTGTACAATTGCTTAGTGGGTTACTGTTTGCACCACGACCGACAGTTGCCCCATTGGTTTAAGAGTGAAAATAAAATAAGGATTTTAAAAAACATTTCTCGCGCACCCCCCCATGAAGAAGCCGCAGCCACTCCCTTGCCCGAGGGCAACTCACACCCAGGGCGATGTGGCGTTATTCTGGGAACCACTGGGCTGGCTGAAACACCAGTGGTGAAAACCTGTGTCACATTTTGTTTACTGTAACATCATAATATACAACGGATTTTGTTAAGTTTAGGGGGGGGTGCTACTGGTGTTTTAAAGCTCACTGTACCGTACACACAAAAAAGGCGGGGGTGGGGGTCCCAATTTGTTACCGCGTAATTATTTCTTATTTAAATACATTTTATGCTTATCTGAAGTCAAGTTTGAACAACGTTAACTTGCACCAGTGATTTTATTTTTACCTGAGACAGACTGAGATAATGTGATCAGCACATTAACCCAAATATTTATTGATATCTATTAGCAGATACACGTCTGCAAAACAAAGTGACTGCAGTTTGCAGTTAACGTCAGTCATCTACTGTTTACCTACAGTTCCATATTTTGCCGCACGCTTAACTCGCCGGTGTCAGACTTAACCATCATATGATTTCTCTAGGATTAAGTGTATTTTTTCCCTATTTCCTGGTAAAGGGTGCTTAGAGAGTAGATCACATCCATAAAGGAGGGTCTTTTTAGCCTAATCCTCTTTACCTACCGATCTAAAAGTTGGAAGCCGAGCTCTGTCGTTGAGATGGCCTGGTCCCTCCTGATGCTGAGTTCTAATTGTTCTATTTCACCGTATACGAAGCTCTCACATTATAATGTTCTTAAGATGTTTGCATTGGCACCCCAGACAGTGCTAGCCAGTTTCTTTACCAGGCTGAGTTTAGAACTTGTGTGAGCGAGGTTGTGTAGCTGGTGTTTCTGGTCCACCTTAATTCCCAGATACTTATAGGTGTTTTGTCCTATTTGAGTGTCTTCCTTCTAATATGAAGATCTATGTCTTCTTTTAGAGCATTCCTCCCATTTGTGAACAAAGAATATTTCATTTACTCTCCATTTCCTAGCATAATCCTCTATGGCAGTGCAATCTCTAGATAGATATTTACCAGCGCTCCAGATTACTAGATCATCTGTGAACATTGCATCTTTACCAAACGTAACTGTAGGCCATACGCATATGCAAGGAACTGTGTGCAGCTTTAGGTTGACCACTGGGGTAGTCCGTCCTCCCCCAAGTGCATACGTGTCCGATACCTTGTCCCCGACACTGGTGGATATTGTGTTTTGATAGAAAGGAATGTATCCTTGCGGAAGCACTAACAGGGTTGAGTAACACTGGGTTAGGATTATATTATTAGGCTATTAGTTTTATGAATTTTTCAACCTTGACACACAACCTGAGTACTATCTCAAAGTAACTGACCAGGACGGAGTATAAAAACCTAGCTCTGACCTAGTCATTATTTGTTTAGCCTGAATTTTGATTTTATGTTACATATTCTTCTCTGAAATCTTGTATGAATTGTATTTTTTAATCTAGTCTGGCTACTTCTGATTTAAGTCATTCATTAATTTTAGTCAATGTGCTTGCTCAATACTGAAATTTAGGTTGTGCAGTACAAGCAGACTCAGAGGCTCGAAGAAAAGAAAAAGAAGGCATTGGACCTTCATCTGAGTTTTATTGTGGACCAGACTGAGAAATATTCCTCTTGGTTGACTGCGGGTTTACAAAATGCAGATGGTAGTAGAACTGCTTCTGAGTTCTCTACTGACAGTGGTGATGGTAAGTACCTTTGTTTGAATTTTAGGGGGGGGTGGGGTGGGGTTGGGGTTGTTAAGCGGCTGAAAGGGTTGTGAATTTTCAGATTTACTTTTCAGATAAATTTTAGGCTACTTAACTGTTCATTCATTTTTTTCCATATTAAAAGCATCATTTTATTTGAACTCCTTAACAGAATTCCAGCCAATAGGCACTGCCAGTGATGATGAAGAGACCATAGAAAAAGAAGAAACAGAGTCTGGGATTGATGAGGTAAGGCTATTATAAATTTTACCACCACCTATTGTTCCACCTGCAAGTTAATTTATTTTAATTTGAAATTATATTTTGATCACTATTAACATATGCAATTCTAGGATGCTACAAAAAAAGAAGTTGAAGAATTACAAAAGGAAAGTGAACTTCCACTGGACGAGCTGTTAAAAATGTTACCAAAAGAGATGTTAGATAAGCCATCTAGTGACTTACCATTTGATGATGGATCAAGTAGCAGTGATAGTGATTCACTTCCTTCTAATGTAAGTTTAATTTTTTGTTAATTCATAATTATTCTTAACTAACTGTATATCAGAATGAGCATTAGACCAGTTTTGGTTGGTGTAAGTCGGAAATTCCATTTTTTTTTTTTTACCCTTTCAGTGGCGTTAAAGGCAAACCCTGCTGTAAACAACATGCCATTTTCAACATTGCCTAGTGAAGGTAACTCAGCTCTTCTGAGTTACAAAGAACAAATTAATACACAGGACGTGTCAAGCTCTTTTTTTATTGGGGTTTGGTGGCTGCGCACATTATGTGTGCTACTTAAGCATTTTAAAAAAAAAATGCTTTGTAGAAAATCTACACTTAATGGTGTTTGCCTTCCAGAGTTACTTCAAATTGTCAACATTGATGAATTTGTTGCAAGAAACGGGTGGGAATAGTTCAATATGATAACTCAAGATTGGTCAAAAGATTAAGATGTTAATAGATCTATATGGTCTGACAATTGTAGTTGTAACTGGACCTCGTGTAGACTTGTTTTGTTAAAATTTTATAGTTTCTCTGCAATTATCAGAAATACAGTAATTTCTTAATGGTCTCTTATGCTACTGAGGCGTTGCTAATCACTGTTACAGGATAAAGATGCAGATTTCAATGTTGATGGAGAGGAAGAAGATGTTGAAGACACTATTGAGGAGCAAGAGTCACATGATAAAGACTACTCTGTGGAATTGGATGACCTTAAAGCAGAAGGTGAGTTAACAGTCTTAAGATAACTTTTACATGTCTAAATAAAGAAAAAATGTACATACTAAATAGGTGTAACTTATTTATTATGAAAAAAAGTTGTCACAAAATAATGTTTAAAATTTGCAGGAGAAATGACTGTTGAAGAGTTGATGAAAAAGTATGCAGGAGCCTATGAAGAGGACTTCACGGTTCCAGGCGAGAGCTCTGATGAGGGTGATGAGAGTGAAAATGAAGAGGATATGTCAGGTACATCTTATTCATTCTGTAATATAGAACTATTGAAATAGTTCTTTTAGGCTATACAATTTTGAACTGTGTCCATATTTTTATTTTTAAAAATACTTTTTTCAGAGTCAGAAAAAGAATCTGAGTCATCTGAAGAAGAAGAAGAGGAGGTACTAGATCAAGAAAAAAGTGAACAAGTCAAAGAGGAACCAACATCTAATCAGGATGATTTTGGTCTTGAATTTTTAGTGAAAACTGAACCTATGCCACAGGTCTGAAATGTTTTTAAAATTTCTTTCCTTTTATACTGCCTTCCATTTTTTGTGATACATTTTATTAATTGAAAAATCCTTAATCTCACAAATGATTAGTGATTTTGCATATAGATATATTACTTGTATTCTTCAAGGCTGATGAATCTAATGCAGACGGTCCAGGTAAAGAATTCAATGATATTGCTGCTGCTGCTCAAAGTTTACAACCTAAAGGCTACACTCTTGAGACAACAGAGGTAACGTCTTTTACCCCCTCTTTTTAAAAATTATTTTTTTAAAGTATGTTTTACCATTAAACAGATAATTAACTTTGAAGGCTTTTAAAAGGGTCATCTTATTGTTAATAACAATTTGTAGGTGAAGACAACTGTGCCTTTCCTACTTAAACATACCCTGAGAGAGTACCAACATGTTGGCTTAGACTGGATGGCTACTATGCATGATAAAAGACTTAATGGAATTCTTGCTGATGAAATGGGTCTTGGAAAAACTATACAAACCATTGCAATGTTAGCTCACTTAGCCTGTGATAAAGGTGAGTAATATATTGTTATATTTATAATAATCAGGATATAGTAAATAGTGTCATTGATATTTCAGCACCAAAGTAGTTATTTAAATATATACAAATTTATACATATATATATATTTACATAAGTTTTTACATGGATTGATGGATCTTGACCTAACTTGGCACATATCCACTATTATCAAGAAGAGGGGTTATGAACTTTTTATAACATTCCGTTTGAGGCTGGGGGCCCAAAGTGTCTTTTATAATCTATATAAATAAAATTAACAACAAATACTCCCACATGAATCGATGGATCTTGCCCAAACTTAGAACACATACACTTTATTATCCATATTCAGAAATACCGAAGGGTACTGAACTCATAATATCCATACCTCTGGAGCCCTGTTTCATGTTTCCTAATAAGAGCTATGTATATATTAATAGGCTTAATACTCCTACACGAATCGATGGATCTTGACCAAACTTGGTAAACATACACTTGATTATCCATATTCAAATACCGAAGGGTACTGATCTCATATCCATTTTTCTTCATTTTTCCTTATATTGGCTATATAAATATCAATAAGCTTAGACACAGTGGGTTCTATGTGAATAGGTATTATCAAGGCCTAGCTTTGTAGCAATACCCTTCTTAGTCTGTTTTGAAATATTGGTGGATTTAATGCTAATATGAAATCTAGAATCTTCCAGAAAATTTGAAATATCTATGGTATTTTTAAATACATTTGAATGGGGCAAATTTTAACTGTTAACAAGGGGTTAGAGGAAGAAAGTGAAGACTAGTTCTTTAGAACCCTTAATGTTTTTATTTGCTATTAATGGTTGATCAGATTTTAACAGTTGTTCTTTATTGAATTTGTAATCACTTTTTTATGGAATACTTGGTGCGGCCCACTGTGCCCCCTCTTTCAGCTTATATGTATTATAGGTATAGCGGTGCATTTAGTTGTATAATTTTTAGAGTTAAAAAAATAATTACTTAGAAAGTTATTGTTTACACATTTCGAGGAGGTTATTAAATTTAATCTAAAATATTCCAGAAATTTCTATATAGTTCTACGGGGATATATAAAGGGATATAAAAGCTTATAGTAACGTTAATGAGATCCAGCAGTTAGTTGAACCCAACGGTAACATGATCCGATCTGGTAACAGGATAAAAACGGGATCCTTTCAGGAAATGGGATCTTATCAGTGAAGAGGATCCCAATGGGATCGAGATCCTACTCTAATTGGAATCCTATGGGAAAACTCAAATCTATCGAGATCGGTACTGATATCTGGATCAGGATCCCACCGGGATTGAGATATCGATGGGATTGGGTTCATGCTGGAATTGGGCATCCCCCTGGGAGCTGGTATACTAACGTCAGCGGGTTACAGATGGGATTGGGAGCCCACCAGGATCGGAATTATGTGCTATCTGGCACATGCCGTTTATATCTGCTAGTATATATATATATATATTCATATATATGGTTCTGTTGTTTTAGGTGTTTGGGGTCCACATCTTATTGTTGTTCCAACTAGTGTCATGCTCAACTGGGAAATGGAGTTCAAAAAGTGGTGCCCTGCATTTAAAATACTCACATACTATGGCAGTATTAAGGAGAGGAAGCTTAAAAGACAGGTGAATTTAACATCTTTAGGATATGGAATATTTGTTAGTTTCAAACTCAATTTCATATAATTTACGTGAAATTTTTTCCCATTTCAGGGTTGGACAAAGACAAATGCATTCCATGTGTGTATAACTTCCTATAAATTAGTGGTGCAAGATCATCAAGCATTCCGAAGAAAAAAGTGGAAGTACTTTATTTTGGATGAGGTAGAGTCATTTCTCCCCCCGTATTATTTTTTTTCTGTGTTGAACCTTTTTTATAATTGTTCTTACACACAGGTTTCCCCGCAGCCTCCTGAAATTCCAGGATCTCCTGAAATTTGATGAAAATTAATAAAATCCTGGAAAACTCGTTAATTTTAAACATTTTAAAAATTCTCCTTAATTGTCCAGAAATTTTTCTTGCCACGGAGGGAAGGATAAAAAGAATATCTTGATCACGATGACAAAATGACCAAAAACATCTTGAACAGGCAAAACGGCCAAAAGCATCCGTGACGACAGAGTTGTAAACTCTTGAGACCTCCGAGTCTTTGCGAGGCTTCCTATTGTTTACATCCTGTTTTTCCAATAGCTGGATAGAGTGGGCGCCAGTTACAAGTATTTATTCAATTTTTTTTATAGTTCTAGGGGTTTAAAAAAAAATAATTTCGAAATGGATTTTGTCGATTGTTTTTAATAGTTTAACTGCCTGTAGGTTGTCAAAACTAAAAGTGATTTTTTTTAAGAGTCATTTTTTGAAGTCGAAGTTTTCAACATCAAAAAACATTAACTCACTTATAGTAGTAGTGTTAAAGTTAAGGAATAAAATGTATGCTAGCGGCCGTTTAAGGTATCTTAGCCATAGGTCTGCCCCAAGTAAGAAGAATTTGATTTATAAATATTAACAAACTGTAGTAGGCATTGGCCTTTCTTTATCTAGGCCTATTATATAACATTAACGTTGACACATGTTTTTTATATAGAGTTTTAGTGCAAGGCCTTCTAAATAGGCAAATATTTAAAAAAAATTAAGTTAAGTTATATTTGTGAAGAATAGTTTTTAATGATTTCGGTAGTTAAAAATTATCTAATGCACCCCTGTGCTCTAAGTATACTTTGCGGTACTATATGTACAGATTTGGGGGGGGGGGGACGACGCTTAAGAGATTATTTTTAAAAAAATTTGGAACCTTCAAATCTCTTGCACACACAACCAGTTATACATATAACAAACTATATTTTTTCCAAGTTTGTCATGAAAATGTAAATACAATGTTCATTTTCAAAAAATCATAAATAATAATTAAGCATTTCTAAATATACAGAAGTCAAGTAAAAGGTTGTTTAAAGCACAACAATGTGAAATCATCAGGCTAAGGTGAAAACAACAAAATAATTTACAGAAATTATTCAAGCAAGGCTTGAACACAAAAACTAAGATTCATAGATTTTTAAAAATTCATACAAAATTAACAAAGCAAGATATCTTATCAAATGTTACACAGTATTGTAGAACATGTTAGCTTTTAATAACAACACACTGTTTAGGAAACAAAATTTTGCTCAAGAAATATTATTAAAAAATGGGTATTTTTGCACCGAAAATTTTTAATATTCAGCACCTTTAACCAGTAACTTCTCGTATCGCCTGCTAGTGTTTTATGCCGTATCGCCCGCCATCGCCGGCTATATATACATGCCAAATAAACGATGTATTGGACCAGAAAACGTTGGTATAAAATAATAAATCAGATACTTTCACCTGGCTGACAGCAGGAATTATGTCCTGAAAGGCCAAGATGGGTACGATCCCTTGTATAAAATCAGACCAGTCATCACAGCTGTAAAAGATGCCTGTAATACATTATACAGACCTGGAGCTGCTATAGCTTTTGACGAAGCTTTGATACCTTTTAGAGGCACACTGTCTTTCAAAAAATATATAAAAGGAAAGCCCCACCCATGGGGTGTCAAGTATGGTGCTGCTGTGACTCGGCGACATCATTCCTTTTAGACTTTGATTTCTACACTGGGAAATCCGACACCATTATGCCCAATGGACTAGGCTAATGTCATACAAAAATTAGGCAACAGATACCTAAATAAAAATCATCATTTTTATTTTTTTCGTCGGTGCAGTTGGCATGATTTGTTATCAAGTGGCACTTATTCATGTGCGACAACTCGACAAAACAGGAGACACTGGCCCAAGGACCTCAAGGGTAAAATCAACAAGAACCAATGTGAAATGAGGCAGATAGGGAGTCTGGTTGCATGTTGGTGGAGAGACAAACGTGCCATCTCCATGATTTCAACCAACGCGTCGCCTACACTAGGCATTGCATCACGTCGTACAAAAGACGGCCCTATTGATAAACAGATCCCCCAGTCTGTACTTACCTACAATGCGAATATGGGTGGGGTGGACAGACATGATCAGCTAAGATCATATTATCCTATTGGCAGAAAAAGCCACAAGTGGTGGAGATGTTGTTTGTGGTTTTTGGTTGAGACGGCAGCGCTGAATGAGTATATTTTATACAAAAATATGCCACATCCCCCGACATCAAAGCCAGTGTCGCATTTGAATTTCCATTTGGACATTGCTCGCAGCCTCATGAAGGGTTCTTCAAGGAAAAGAAGACAGGCGGAGGTCCCTGCTGTTGGTGGATTGGCTGTTCCTGGAACTTCTTTGGAGCATCGCAGAGTTCGACTCCCAGGGCGCAAAAAAACAATGTTTTCAGTGTCGGCATAAAAACGTTCGCACTGAATCGAATAAAAGACCTAAAACTGTTTTTGGGTGTGTGTTGTGTAACACACACCTTTGTGATGAGCTCTGTTTTGCTCAGTTCCGTGCTAAGTTAAACTAAGGTATTTATTTATCAATAAATGTACAGAAATTGTCGGGACAAATTGAATTTTTTTTTGTATGTACATTTTTAGTACACTCATACATATTTGGTGTCATCTGATAGATTATTAATTTCTCTACATAATGCAATTTTTTTCACATCAATTGGATTTTAAATTAGCAAGATGCGTTTATTTTAAAGTTATTCCCCTTATGTTGGATAATATAAATATTTTGTGGTCAAGCCAATGGGATGTTATTGGTTAAAGCATTCGTATTATATATCCAAAGACATCCAATTTGTTGTTGTAACGGGACATAAATGCGCTTTTATAGTGCCGGTTCTTACTCTAAGCAGGTATATAATATACTTTCAAACCCAAAAAAGAACATTTTCCACATAAATTTGTATAAATTGGTTAAGAAAGCTGAAATTCAGTACTTATAGTAAAAATAGGGTGACAAAGTAGATAAACCTAAAAGATTAGTTATTTGACATTTGCTGCCTTTATTTGCATGTCTGTGTGGGTCTAGAGACATTTCCCTACACTGGTTTAAGGTTTAATGACAAATTTCTGTGATCTGTACTTGTACACCAACATCCAGTGAAAAGAATATTTTATCTTCATCAAACGGTCTAAAATTAAATGATAAGACTGAGGCAATTATTTGTGGTTCAAACGCCAATCTTCGGAAAGTTACAATTGCATCAATAAAAGTCGGTGAATCAGAGATCTGTTGTCCTCGACTGTCAGAGACCTTGGCTTTTATATTGACAGTAAACTTAGTATGATTCCCCATATCAGTTCTGTTGTCAAGGCATGCTTCTGTCATCTGCGTGCCCTGGGTCAGCTGTGTCCTCAACTCAATAGGAGAACAGCCAATACTGTAGCAGTGACTCTAATCCAGTCAAGATAGATTACCGAAATAGTTGTTCGTGGGGTTTACCTCAGAACCAAATTCAGAGACTCCAAAAGATACAAAATATTGCAGCATGCATCGTATCGCGGATGAAAAAATCTGACCACATCACCCCAGTTCTAAGAGATGTCCACTGGGTTCCTGTGAGTGAGCGCATTAACTACAACATTCTGTCCCTGGCGTACAGCTGCAGAGATGGCTCAGCACCAGAATATCTCAAGGATCTGATTTATAGACGTGTATCCATGAAGGGCCTGCGGTCTTCATCACAGTACTGCTGAGTGTTCCTAGTGTGGATAAACACAAAAGTCGTACAGAGTGCGCTCTTTTGAAGCGATAGCGCCAAAATTATGGAACAGTTTGCCTCAATCTTTGAGGGGAATTGTAAATGATAAAAAATCATTTAAGAAACAATTAAAAACTGTTTTGTTTAGATTTCGGAGGACCAGAGCGCAGTGAGCATGCTAAAATGGCATGGATACCGGCGCGATATAAATATCAAAATCAATCAGTCAATCAATTTAATTTGTATTAATTAAATTGTATTTAATTTGTATTAATTAAATTGTATTTATATTATTTTAATGGTAATAGTTTTCAACTTAAAAAATATAATAAGAAAATAGACATAACTAATGATATTACAAGCGGTACTACTAACCCAGTGGTTCTCAACCATTCTAATGCCGCGACCCTTTAATACAATTCCTCATGTTTTGGCGACCCCCAACCACAAAATTATTTTCGTTGATACTTTATAACTGTAGAATATATGTGTTTTCAGGTGATCTTAGGCGACCCCTGTGAAATCGTCGTGCGACCCCCCAAAAGGGTCACGACCCGTAGGTTGAGAACCGCTCTACTAACCTGTACCGTTACGCGGCCTAATGTTGTTCCTGTTTTGGCAGTGGTCTTCTCTTTCTGTTGTAATGGTATCTGTCTCAAGGTCTTAAGATGATGTTTTCATTTTCATCCACTGAAATATGAAATGATAAATTACATACAACCTCAAAAGTTTACAAGATTTTAACTGCCTCATAGTTGTCAAATAAATATGCATACTCTGTTATTAAAATAATTTATAACAGTAGTTAGTAAAGCTTAGTAAGGTTAATTTTATGCATCATACCATATAGCTTTATTTATAAAATGGATTAGCTATTGAATTTCCAGTTAAAAAATGAACTCCATTAAAATTAAAGCATCCTGTTCTCCCCCGCGACAATAATGCTTCAACCCGCTCGAATCGACTGTATTATAAGAGTTAAATGATTTACTGCGATTTCTAAACGAATTGCATTGCTACAAAATAAACATCATTAAATATTTAAAAAAAGTGTTGGACTGCAATAAAGCTTTAAAATATATTAATAAGACACGAACAAATTGTGTCAATAGAACAATATGAGTTAGCTTTAATAATAATTGTACAATATACAGAATTAAACATTTCATTGAACTAATTATAGTTTCCTTTTGTTTTCTCGGCTATCGTAAAATAAATACAGATGATTTTAAAATAAAGCTAGATCGTCATTTCTTATTAGGTGTAAGAAACATGCATTAACAATACGCCCACACTAAATTAACAAATATATGAAATAAAAAGCTTTCTATATATAATTTAAACATTCCCAAACGAAACAAGAATGTTTTAACTTGTAATGAGTACCGTACCCATTTCAGTTTAAATCCATGAAAAGGCACTAAATTTAAGAAGATTGTAGATAAAATTAGTCATCGTATACTGTTTTGACCGATCAGAGTTCGCCGTAGCGGGTTTGGCTTGCACCTTTTTTTAGCAGACGGCTTTGACTTGTCTCCAAGCCTTTGTGCAATGATATCATAAATGGGGTGTTCAGTTTTTTTTAGTAAATTGGATGCCCTTTCTGGTTATATATTTTTTATAGTGGTAAAGTGATTTTATTACACAAAAAATGCAATTTTTATTTTTAGCTTTTATTTATGGTTTACATCTTCTAAAAAATACATCGTATTTAAGAACTACATTTCTAATTTCTAGATCAGTACAATGATACGTTTTTGCAACGAGCTGGGGCGACCCAAACAACAAAAATTTCTCCCCGCAGCGTAAATTTCGCCAGCTCATTTAGAATACCTGCTTAGAGTAAGAACCAGCACTATAAAAGTGCATTTATGTCCTGTTACAACAAAAAATTGGATGTGTGTACCACATTACTCTTTTTTAATTTTTAAAATGTCCTGGAATTTCCTATTTTTTCCTGGAAAAGTCCTGGAAATATTTTTTTTAGATTTGGTGCAGGAACCCTGTACACACTCGATGAGGAAAAATATGTATTTAATTGGTATCTGTTTTCTTTTTTGTGTAGGCCCAGAATATAAAAAATTTCAAATCTCAGCGGTGGCAGATGTTACTGAATTTCTCAAGTCAACGGCGGCTGCTTTTAACAGGGACACCTTTACAAAACTCATTAATGGAATTGTGGTCTCTAATGCATTTTCTTATGCCTAATGTATTCCAATCCCACTCTGAATTCAAAGAGTGGTTTTCAAATCCTCTTACTGGCATGATTGAAGGAAGCCAAGAATACAATGAGAGTCTTGTCAGACGCTTGCACAAGGTAAAATTATTACAGACAGCATTTAAGATTTATGATTTCTTTTGAACTTGTTCTTAAACATTTCATTGCCTTATGTATAAAGTAATTTTTGCTTTCATTTCTTCAAGCAGAATATAATTATTGAAAGTTCATTAAAAACAGGTTTTGAGGCCCTTTCTTCTAAGGCGCTTAAAGAATGAAGTCGAGAAGCAAATGCCTCAGAAGTTTGAGCATGTTGTCATGTGTCGATTATCCAAGAGACAGAGGTTTCTCTATGATGACTTTATGTCCCAGACAAAGTAAGCTATGTAATATAAATGCCATATGGTGATTTATTAGGAACCGTTTCAGAGGAGTTATTGTCTGCTTTTAAAAAGCTTGTTTGGTTTGTCTGCCTATTATTAAACTTAATTGTATCGTTTCAAAATTTAAGTTTTATATTTATTTTACTAGAACTAAAGAAACTCTAGCCACTGGTCACTTCATGAGTGTAATCAACATCTTGATGCAGTTGAGGAAGGTTTGTAATCATCCAAACTTGTTTGATCCACGGCCAATTGTGTCACCTTTTAAAATGGAAGGGATTGTGTACACCACTGCATCATTAGCGACCAGGGCATTGGAGTATGATCCTTTCAGGGTAATATCTTGCATTAGATAACTTTTGTATCTATCTATTTTTTAAAAATCGTTTTTGTTCAGTTATCTCTGTTGTGTCACTGGTACTTCTCTGTTTGTAAAAGGTGTTCAGCCTATTTAGGTGTTAGGCTTATTCATTTTTAATAAGTCATTAATAATTCCGGCTTTGATTTAGATATAATTTTTGGGGTTGTATTAAGGTTATAAGGGTTCTTCATTGTGTGTAAGGGATTTTTTAAAATTATTTTTTTTCTTTTAAAGACTTTCAAGCCTGCTCAAAAGGTTGACATTAAAATAGACTTTAAATTTTGTTGCCCCAGGATATTGATTTCTATTCACTGTACCCAAATCTGATTGAAATGGAAACTGATCTTCCGGCTTTTGTGGCTCAAAGAGTGAGGCATCTGAAAGCTACAGGAAAACTAATACAAGAAGTTGATAATTTACCTGATACTCTTCCACGTCTTGTACCTGGCCATTTGAAGAATATTAAAGGCTTTGCTTCTGTAGTGCCAGTAAATATATTCTTCTTTTGTTTAAATAGAGAGGATAATTAGATAATTTTAAAATGGGCATTATATTTAGAAAGGTGAGATAAATTTAGCTGTTAAATATTGTGAATCAGTTTTCTTTTTATATAACGGGGTGCTGCATAGCATTTGAAGTTGAATATGTACCAGTCTGTACTCAATTCGACTTTACATTTTATACTATATCGATTCTAACATGTTTTCAGACTGGTTATACATCTGAAGTGTTACCGGTAAATGCACCAGTGCAAAGACCAGAGTCCCCTTTATCAGTAAAGTCCAATAGTTCCACAGCACATTCAACTCCTGGTAAGTTGTTAATACACTTTGAATTAGGTATTAATTTGTTGCATGTGCTTGAAAGAGTCACCAATCTAACAAGATGTTATTTGGTGCTTATGTCTCTATAATAATATGTGATCAGGATATATCATTTGGCCATGTGTTTTATATGCTTGTGTCTTTTCTTATCATGATACATCCCTAAATTTATAATTAATTTATAAAAACTTCTGGCGTCTTGTTTGATTTGCCGTTGTTGTAAAGCAAGCAAATAATTGTTGCATTTAAATAAAATAATTTTTATCCTCAGCATCTGTAAATAGCATAAAGCTGCTGCTTCCACCTTCATCTTCATCAACTCAACAAACGATCTTGATCCCTAATCCCAATGGTTCAGGTCCACCTCTTATTTTGCCATTGTCTTCCATTTCATCATCTTCATCATCTGCAGCAATAGCTCAAGCGAAACTTATATCCTCCCAGCTGCAAAGTAAGTTGTTACAGTCCTTTATATTTTGCATGACAGTAATAAATACTTAATGGAAGTATTCTTTGCTCTGTTTACTTTGTTGCTAAGTAGATAGTGGAACCAGATATGGTTAGGTTAAAATAGAAAAGACAAGACAGTTAAACTGATGTTTCGGCTAGATTGATGCCTTCTTCAGGGAACAATTTCAGTTAAGTAATCGGATCAATTTAATTTAAAAATAAAACTTGTGTTCCGAGATCACGATTACTCAATGTTCAGAGCAAAAATGTGTGTACCACATTACTCTGTGGTTGCGCACTATCACGTCAAAAGAATTTTAAATATTACTAAAAAGAATTTTAAATATTATTAATGTAAAATTTAAAAAAGCAAAAAATGAGACTAGAAATGGAGGGAAATAAAGGATTACTGTTAAGTATTCAATTGATTCCATATGGTGCAAAAAATCAAAATTAACTTGTTTTTATACTTCATTCTCGCTGGTGTAAAATTAGAGCTTTGATGGATATATCTGATATGCCCTTGTTATCTTTGTCGAAATGGGATGAGATAATAGTTTCACTGTTGTATTGTTACCATGAGACTAGCTTTGTTTACTTTAGATAGCTTAATAATTATGGTTTATTGACAGCTTATGCATAACTTGAAATAACTGTTGCAGTTTTGCCCAAGCAGGATGCTGCAGATTTGGTTGGAATTCGGGGACCTCCTGGATTAATGTTATGCTTTTTAAGATAAACATCAAACTCTTGCGAAAATGTAGTTGTTAGAGTGATGAATTTTATACAAATGTTATCAAGTTTATATAAGAACGTATGCTGAGCTTGGCTGTGATGAAAATTACTTTGTAACTTTACATTGAGGCTTAGAGTCACCTTGTTATAGGATGTAATTTTGGTGCTGAAGTCCTCGTACAGTAATCCTCAGAAATAAACAAATATGGTAAACCGTACTGGGTATATCATGTTTATACCTGATACATTTTTTATAACTACCTGAGTAATGAGTGAGGCTTGATAATTCTTTAAATGATTATTTTTAAAAAATTCTTCCTTTAGGTGGCATACTTCAACTTGTACAGACATCAAGTGGTCATCAAATATTGACAAATACCAGCACTACCTCAGTTATCTCATCTACTGTGACAGCATTAACAACTACTTCTTCTACCACCCCAGTAAATACCAGTTCATCCTTGATGAAATTGTCTGCTCCTCCTACTCAGCAAAAGCCTGTCATGCGAGTGTCACCATTTGTTGTTACATCAGGTGAGATTAATTTTGAAAAGTAAGGGGTCCAAGCAATTTGTAGATACTCCTGGTCTTAAGTTATATGGATTTTTTAATGATGCAGTTGGCTTTATTAACAATTTCACGATTAATGCTTAAAAGCATTGTAATCTGTTATTGGTGTGTTCCTATATAAGAAATGAGCATGCATGTTCTAAGAACTATTGCAAAAAGCAAAATAAAGTGCATTCACTTTTCATATTGCGATGTGATGAAAGCCTATAAATTATGTTTTTTTCATCCAAGCTGACTGTTATGAACAATTTCTAATAGCCTGCAAAATGTTTTCCTTCTTCTTATTCTATATATTAAGGGCCCATGATCGATGTGTTGATCATTCTGGCTCCTATCTATGTAGAGGGGATTTGCAATGTTTTTGTGCATTTAATGACCAAAGTAATCATCTAATGCCAAGCAGAGGTTTTTAAAAAAATTTGTTATGTTCAAAAAGAAGTTATAAAGATGACAAACCATTTTCCTACTTTGATTTTATGGCACAACTCTTTACTTTTCATTGTACAGTATTAACTAATATGAGGAAGGCACTTAGACAAAACATTCTTCTTTTATTATCCTATTCTATTTCAAGCTTCCACACACCTTGTTCTAATATTTCCTTCACACAGCTTGAATGAAGTTCTTCATTTATCATCATCTAATCACCACCATGGACAACTGTTAAACTCCTTACACTGGCATCTCTAGGTCTTGGCATCAGATGCTTTAGGGGATAAGAAGTATCCATCTTATGATAATCAATTTACCAGCTTCAGGTTATTTTGAAATGTTAAAATTATTTAAGTAAAACGTATTTCATATATTGCTATATATTACATAATGATTAACAACTATTTTAGGTTCAACTCCTACGCCTTCTTCAAACCCCATGACAATTGCGTCCAAATTGCCAGAAGCCATAACAGTGAAACCTATTACACAAAAACCAATGAAAAAGTCAGAACTCTTTCTTGTAAGTATTTTTAAGGTCTCTATAGGATCATTTTTTTAATATATTCTTTTGATTACACAATGTGTGATTGAATTATTATTTTTAAAAAATCTTTTCCAAAAGGAGTCTTTATATCGCAAGAAAGAAGAACGTAGACAACATATCTTGTCTTTGATGGCAAGATTAAACCAGACACGTTGTGACATATGTCCGGTTTTTGGCCCTGATACCCGACATTGTGTGAATTGTATGCATACCTTAGATGTCAACAACTGTACTACTCTTCCACAAGCCAGCAACACATCAAATGAGGTATCCGAAGCATGGCGTGGCCATGGCTATGTGAACTGCTTGTTTGCGCAGGATCGTAAGTTAAACCATAGCCATCCAGATTTGTACTGGCGGCAATCATTCCATCTCCGAGAAATAGTTCATACTCCAGAGGAATGGCTTGATGAATTAAAAGGCATCCTGTCAAGGTGAATAATCTTCCCTAAGTTGCTAACATTTTGAGCCTTAGAGTCATCAGTTTTAGTCTAATGTAATTCTGGTGCTTAAGTGCTCAGAAAATAAATTGTCAGAAATTTTTTACGTTGCAGTGTTTACACTGTCAGTTATTTTTTCTTGATACATTTTAAAACTTAAATGCTTTATTGGTTCTTGCTTCCTTCTAAGCTTGTGGAAGTCTTAGGTTTTTGTTAGATATAAGTTTTAATAGTAATGCAATGCTTGAAAAGAAAACCTTGTGTTTTTTAGGTTTGTCTTTGTCACGCCAACTGTAATTTCCCCGGCTGTTATGTTACGCGTGTCCAATCCAGACCCTTCAAAATTATCCCAAATGCAATGGATGGAGAAAAGACTAAGGCCAGAGATAGTCAAAAAGTCTTCAAACCTTCATCCAATCCAGTCAAGAACAATGGTCACATTCCCAGAACTCAGGCTTATTCAATATGATTGTGGTAAGCAGTATTTTTATTGAGGTCTTTTTTTAAACTTTACAATTTGAAAGTATCTATTTTATGCTATAAGCATCTTATGTATGATTTCTGATATTATTTCTCACTATTAAAAAAACATTTGATTTAGATTTGAAATATTTTACACTTCAGGAAAGCTGCAAACGTTAGATCTTTTGCTTCGTCAGTTGAAGTCAGGCCAGCATCGTGTGCTAATATTTACCCAGATGACGAAAATGCTTGATGTTTTAGAATCTTTTCTGAATTTTCATGGGCACCGCTATTTAAGGTTGGATGGCACAACAAAAGTGGAACAGAGACAGGTGACTTTTTAACTTCAAATCTTCATCTACCCCATCACTATAATTCAGAATATTTTAATAATTTTTTTTAAAACTCTCCCAATGGGGCAGTCACAAATTCATAATTAAAAAATATATAAATACAAGTATTATTTTATAGGCTTAAAAAAGCTCTTCATAGAATTTTGTTCCTTTGCCATTCAATAGGGGCTTGAAGTGTAAAACTATTCATACTAGAAGATTCATTTTCATATTCTGGTGGCTCTGGTTGATTAACTGTAAAATTACTTTTGAAAAACACAAAATTTCATTTATGAGCACAAGGTAGAGAGAAGGCCTAAACAAAATGTGTTGTATCTTTCAATGTCTTTTTTCAGGTTTATTTTGCCTTTAGTGCGGTTCTACTATATTTTATCATCATAACATGTACCTTATTGGCGTATATCACACACTTTTTCTCCCTGAAAATAGGGGGCAAATGATGTGTGCGTGTTATACGCCAATATAATGTTAAGGACCCATAGTACATACCGCATAGCGGCGCGAATGGTGCATGTTATACGCCTGTTCGTGTTATACGCGGATAAATACAGTATTTAAAATCACATTCAAATGTATTCTCCACATTTCAAGATATCTTTTTGGCCAATTACCAAAGTCTGTCACCAGTTTAATGTGACTGCACAGTGACCTTGGCCAAACAATAAATTTCATTGATGATAGGGTTGTAGCTGACATGATCTTTGCAACTTAGAAAACCTCAGATACATTTGATTGCTTAATATAAAATTTTTTGGCCGATTACCAAAGTCTGTCACCAGTTTAATGTGACTGCACAGTGACCTTGGCCAAACAATAAATTTCATTGATGATAGGGTTGTAGCTGACATGATCTTTGCAACTTAGAAAACCTCAGATACATTTGATTGCTTAATATAAAATTCACTGCCTGTAGTATTTCATTTAATCATCACAGTTTGTAATGTATTTCTCACATTTCAAGATATTTTTTTGGCCGATTACCAAAGTCTTTCACCAGTTTCATGTGACTGCACAGTGACCTTGGCCAAACAATAAATTTCATTGTTGATAGGGTTGTAGTTGACATGATCTTTGCAACTTAGAAAACCTCTGATACAATTATTTGATTGCTTAATGTAAAATTCACTGCCTTTAGTATTTCATTTAATCATCACAATTTGTAATGGTTTTTTTCACATTTCAAGATATTTTTTTTTGCCGATTACCAAAGTCTTTCACCAGTTTAATGTGACTGCACAGTGACCTTGGCCAAACAATAAATTTCATTGATGATAGGGTTGTAGCTGACATGATCTTTGCAACTTAGAAAACCTCAGATACATTTGATTGCTTAATATAAAATTCACTGCCTTTAGTATTTCATTTAATCATCACAATTTGTAATGTATTTTTCACATTTCAAGATATTTTTTTGGCCAATTACCAAAGTCTGTCACCAGTTTAATGTGACTGCACAGTGACCTTGGCCAAACAATAAATTTCATTGATGATAGGGTTTTAGCTGACATGATCTTTGCAACTTAGAAAACCTCTGATATGTTTGATTGTTTAATATAAAATTCACTGCCCGTAGTACTTAATTTCAACATTACAATTCGTAATGTTTTTTTTCACATTTCAAGATATCTTTTTGGCCAATTACCAAAGTCTGTCACCAGTTTAATGTGACTGCACAGTGACCTTGGCCAAACAATAAATATCATGGATGATAGGGTTGTAGCTGCCATGATCTTTGCAACTTAGAAAACCTCAGATACATTTGATTGCTTAATGTAAAATTCACTGCCTTTAGTATTTCATTTAATCATCACAACTTGTAATGTATTTTTCACATTTTAAGATATTTTTTTGGCCGATTACCAAAGTCTGTCACCAGTTTAATGTGACTGCACAGTGACCTTGGCCAAACAATAAATATCATAGATGATAGGGTTGTAGCTGACATGATCTTTGCAACTTAGAAAACCTCTGATATGTTTGATTGTTTAATATAAAATTCACTGCCCATAGTGCTTAATTTCAACATTACAATTATTAATGTTTTTTTTCACATTTCAAGATATCTTTTTAGCCAATTACCAAAGTCTTTCACCAGTTTAATGTGACTGCACAGTGACCTTGGCCAAACAATAAATATGGATGATAGGGTTGTAGCTGCCATGATCTTTGCAACTTAGAAAACCTCAGATACATTTGATTGCTTAATTTAAAATTCACTGCCTTTAGTATTTCATATAATCATCACAACTTGTAATGTATTTTTCACATTTCAAGATATTTTTTTGGCTGATTACCAAAGTCTGTCACCAGTTTAATGTGACTGCACAGTGACCTTGGCCAAACAATAAATTTCATTGATGATAGGGTTGTAGCTGACATGATCTTTGCAACTTAGAAAACCTCAGATACATTTGATTGCTTAATATAAAATTCACTGCCTTTAGTATTTCATTTAATCATCACAGTTTGTAATGTATTTCTCACATTTTAAGATATCTTTTTAGCCAATTACCAAAGTCTTTCACCAGTTTAATGTGACTGCACAGTGACCTTGGCCAAACAATAAATATGGATGATAGGGTTGTAGCTGCCATGATCTTTGCAACTTAGAAAACCTCCTTGGCCAAACAATAAATTTCATTGATGATAGGGTTGTAGCTGACATGATCTTTGCAACTTAGAAAACCTCAGATACATTTGATTGCTTAATATAAAATTCACTGCCTTTAGTATTTCATTTAATCATCACAGTTTGTAATGTATTTCTCACATTTTAAGATATCTTTTTAGCCAATTACCAAAGTCTTTCACCAGTTTAATGTGACTGCACAGTGACCTTGGCCAAACAATAAATATGGATGATAGGGTTGTAGCTGCCATGATCTTTGCAACTTAGAAAACCTAAGATACATTTGATTGCTTAATTTAAAATTCACTGCCTTTAGTATTTCATATAATCATCACAACTTGTAATGTATTTTTCACATTTCAAGATATTTTTTTGGCCGATTACCAAAGTCTGTCACCAGTTTAATGTGACTGCACAGTGACCTTGGCCAAACAATAAATTTCATTGATGATAGGGTTGTAGCTGACATGATCTTTGCAACTTAGAAAACCTCAGATACATTTGATTGCTTAATATAAAATTCACTGCCTGTAGTATTTCATTTAATCATCACAGTTTGTAATGTATTTCTCACATTTCAAGATATTTTTTTGGCCGATTACCAAAGTCTTTCACCAGTTTCATGTGACTGCACAGTGACCTTGGCCAAACAATAAATTTCATTGTTGATAGGGTTGTAGTTGACATGATCTTTGCAACTTAGAAAACCTCTGATACAATTATTTGATTGCTTAATGTAAAATTCACTGCCTTTAGTATTTCATTTAATCATCACAATTTGTAATGGTTTTTTTCACATTTCAAGATATTTTTTTTTGCCGATTACCAAAGTCTTTCACCAGTTTAATGTGACTGCACAGTGACCTTGGCCAAACAATAAATTTCATTGATGATAGGGTTGTAGCTGACATGATCTTTGCAACTTAGAAAACCTCAGATACATTTGATTGCTTAATATAAAATTCACTGCCTTTAGTACTTCATTTCCTCATTACAATTAGTAATGTTTTTTTCACATATCAAGATATCTTTTTGGCCGATTACCAAAGTCTGTCACCAGTTTAATGTGTCTGCACAGTGACCTTGGCCAAACAATAAATTTCATTGATGATAGGGTTGTAGCTGACATGATCTTTGCAACTTAGAAAACCTCAGATACATTTGATTGCTTAATATAAAATTCACTGCCTTTAGTACTTCATTTCCTCATTACAATTAGTAATGTTTTTTTCACATATCAAGATATCTTTTTGGCCGATTACCAAAGTCTGTCACCAGTTTAATGTGTCTGCACAGTGACCTTGGCCAAACAATAAATTTCATTGATGATAGGGTTGTAGCTGACATGATCTTTGCAACTTAGAAAACCTCAGATACATTTGATTGCTTAATATAAAATTCACTGCCTTTAGTATTTCATTTAATCATCACAAGTTGTATTAATGTCTTTTTTACATTTCAAAATATTTTTTTTGGCCGATTACCAAAGTCTGTCACCAGTTTAATGTGACTGCACAGTGACCTTGGCCAAACAATAAATATCATAGATGATAGGGTTGTAGCTGACATGATCTTTGCAACTTAGAAAACCTCAGATACATTTGATTGCTTAATATAAAATTCACTGCCTTTAGTATTTCATTTAATCATCACAGTTATTAATGTATTTCTCACATTTTAAGATATTTTTTTGGCCGATTACCAAAGTCTTTCACCAGTTTCATGTGACTGCACAGTGACCTTGGCCTAACAATAAATTTCATTGATGATAGGGTTGTAGTTGACATGATCTTTGCAACTTAGAAAACCTCTGATACAATTATTTGATAGTTTAATATAAAATTCACTGCCTTTAGTACTTCATTTCCTCATTACAATTAGTAATGTTTTTTTCACATATCAAGATATCTTTTTGGCCGATTACCAAAGTCTGTCACCAGTTTAATGTGACTGCACAGTGACCTTGGCCAAACAATAAATTTCATTGATGATAGGGTTGTAGCTGACATGATCTTTGCAACTTAGAAAACCTCAGATACATTTGATTGCTTAATATAAAATTCACTGCCTTTAGTATTTCATTTAATCATCACTGTTTGTAATGTATTTCTCACATTTCAAGATATTTTTTTGGCCGATTACCAAAGTCTTTCACCAGTTTCATGTGACTGCACAGTGACCTTGGCCAAACAATAAATTTCATTGTTGATAATGTTGTAGTTGACACGATCTTTGCAACTTAGAAAACCTCTGATACAATTATTTGATTGCTTAATGTAAAATTCACTGCCTTTAGTATTTCATTTAATCATCACAATTTGTAATGTTTTTTTTCACATTTCAAGATATTTTTTTGGCCGATTACCAAAGTCTTTCACCAGTTTCATGTGACTGCACAGTGACCTTGGCCAAACAATAAATTTCATTGATGATAGGGTTGTAGTTGACATGATCTTTGCAACTTAGAAAACCTCAGATACATTTGATTGCTTAATATAAAATTCACTGCCTTTAGTACTTCATTTCCTCATTACAATTAGTAATGTTTTTTTCACATATCAAGATATCTTTTTGGCCGATTACCAAAGTCTGTCACCAGTTTAATGTGTCTGCACAGTGACCTTGGCCAAACAATAAATTTCATTGATGATAGGGTTGTAGCTGACATGATCTTTGCAACTTAGAAAACCTCAGATACATTTGATTGCTTAATATAAAATTCACTGCCTTTAGTATTTCATTTAATCATCACAATTTGTAATGTTTTTTTTCACATTTCAAGATTTTTTTTGGCCGATTACCAAAGTCTGTCACCAGTTTAATGTGACTGCACAGTGACCTTGGCCAAACAATAAATTTCATTGTTGATAGGGTTGTAGTTGACACGATCTTTGCAACTTAGAAAACCTCTGATACATTTGTTACCTAAAATTGCCATATTTTTATCTCCAAATTTTTTCAATATGCAATTGAATTTATTATAAAAAATGTTTTTCAGTATTTAATGGACAGATTCAATGCAGATCCTCGTATATTCTGCTTCATTCTATCAACAAGATCTGGTGGTATTGGTGTCAATCTTACTGGTGCAGACACAGTTATCTTTTATGACAGTGATTGGAATCCTACAATGGATGCGCAAGCCCAAGACAGGTGTCATAGAATCGGTCAGACAAGAGATGTTCATATTTACAGGTAGATGAAGCTGGTTTGAAATTTAAGAAGTGTATGACTAAACTTATTTTTTTAATTGAGTACTATAAATTATAACCCTCAAGATCAACTATGTTTGTGAGCTGATCTCCTAACATAGCAATTGAGAAAGGGAACAGTAAAATGGATTGCTTAAAAAACTCTGCTTGTTTTTATCAGTCAGAATCCTGGAGCAAACTACAAAGCTAGTTTTTTTTTCAGTATGACTAAAAAAAAATTTTAACCATATGATTCTATTCAATCCTCTTTAATGAAAATCTAGTTATTTTCCTTTATTTTAAATTTCAAATGCAATATTAACTTACCTTTTCCACAGACTAGTGAGTGAAATGACAGTAGAGGAAAATATCCTTAAAAAAGCTAACCAAAAACGATTATTAGGGGATTTAGCTATTGAAGGAGGCAATTTTACAACTGCATTTTTTAAAGAGGTAAATAAAATAGCTGTGGTTCCTTGATTTTTGAACTTTAACACCCTTTGAACAACTGTGTTAGGATTGCATTATCTCCTGACATAGCTAATTAAAAAAGGGAAGATAATATGATTGTTTAAAAAACTCTGCCTGCTATATTAGCAGTCCAGAATCCTGGAACAATAAACAATAAGTTTGATCAACCTTATTTCATTCTCATCTTTCCTTTATCACAAGTGAATTTTAGTCCCCAAAAGAAAGTTTTTATTGTTTTCATTCATTAAATTTTTAAAACTGTATTTAGTTGGCATTAACAAAGTAATATACTAATACTTTTTATTTTTTATTCATAGCAAACCATTACTGACTTATTTGCTGACCCTTCTGGATTAGAGTCTCTTGTTGAGGACAAGGAGAAAGAGAAGGAAGCCAAAGAAAAAGACAGGGCAGCAAAAGAGGCAGCTGCAAAGTTAGAGCGAGAATTAGAGAAAGATAAGAAGGAGAGAGAGGAAAGCAAGAAGGAAGCTGCAATTTTGTCGCAGTTTGAACAGGTGGGTTATAAATAACTGCAATTAATAAATTATTTTATTGCAGTAGCTTATTTTGCCAGAATTAGATCGGGGGTCCCTGAAAATCTCATTTTATTTTATATCTGTTTAGGAATTGATAAGTGATTTTTTTAAAAAATGTTTCCTTATAGAAGATGATATCTTAAATTAAATTTCAATACTATTTTTAAAGGCCCTGTGTAAAGCTGAAGATGAGACAGACGCAATGGCAGCCACACAATTGCAAGCTGAACAGAAAGCAGAGCTAGCAGAGTTTGATGAGAACATTCCATGGGATGAAAGAGAAGCAGAGATAAGGAAAGAGGAGGATGATGTTTCGCGAGTGGAAATGGAACTTGCAATGATAGACAAGGAGGTAGGAAATAACTTATTTAACATTAATTATTTTACTTAAATATACATATTTTTAAAAATTCTTATCCCTTCAGAACAACTGTGTTAGGGGCCATTTTGCTCCTAATATAGGCTAAGAAGAAAGGGAAATTAAAATAGATTGTTTAAAAAACTCTGACTTTCCAAATGGTATGGCAGAATCCTGGAACAATCTACATAAAATCTCAAGATAATTTTATAAATGCTATTCAGGATTTTATAATTTGTAACCTTTCAGCTAACTGAAATAATCCAATATTCTCTATTTTAAGTAGCCATCTAATAATCTTAATCGATTTCAGAGGAATTTTTTTTTTAAATTTCTTTTTCTAGTTAACACCTATAGAAAGATATGCTGTGACTGTTATGGAAGCTCAGATGGAGCCAGAAACTGCTGAGGAGCTGAAGATAGCCGAGGTAAAAGCTTAATTTTTATTAAAACTATTATTATAAATTGTAAAATTATAGTTATTGAAGTAACTTACTGTAAAACTTTAAAATCTTGTACAAATATATGTTTATTGTTCCATTATTGAATTGTCATCATATCATGTTGTTTCATATGGTTATAAATCGATCGAAGCAATTTTTAAATGTTTTTAAAATTTATTTGCTAGGAGGATATTGAAAATTCTAAAAAGGACTGGGAGTTGGCAAGGTTAAAAGCTTTAAAAGAAGAGGAAGAGAGAAGAGCAGAACTGGAGGAGGATGAGATGCTCTACATTTATTCCAAAGATGAATCACAGGTGAAGAAAGGGAGGAAACCTACCAAGATAAAAACTAAGCCAAAATCTAAGACAAGTAGTAAAGCATCTGTATCAGGTTCAGATTTAGATGATAGTTTTAATGGTAAGGTGATAGGGGGTAGGAGAGCTAGTGATAGGGTTGGTTCACCTCAAAAGTGTCCCAGTCAAATAATAAAAGGGCAACAGAGCCCTGAAAAGAAAGCTGGTGTGGGACGCCCTCCAAAAGCATATGGAGAAGGAAAGGAAAAGTTAAAGGTTTCTGCAAATATATTACTCAAAGGTAATTCTAATGGTGCTAAAAGAGGAAGAAAGAAGGGTTTCCATGTTCAAAATAAGGTTCAGAAAGCACCAGCTAAAGTAAGATTGGACAGCAATGGTCAACCGATACGTAGAGGAAGACCTAGAAAAATAGTTCCTGTTGATTCTAGTGAGAAAGTTGTTCAAAAAAGTTTATCACCTAAGACACTCGTAAATTTGCAAAATGGCCATAATCCAATTGTTACAACAAGCTCAAAAATGACTACCCAGGCTAGAAATGCTTTACTTAAACAACAGGCCCAGATAGCAGCTCATATTACCCTATCACCGAGCAGCAGTAATCAGCTTCCCCACATCATTTCCCAAGCCCCCAAGCCTGCTGTAGCCGTCAATGTCCTTAGCCCACCTACTAGACTTCCAGCCAAATCAGCTACCCCTAAAAGTCCCTCAGATCCTAATGTTCCACCACCATGGTCCAACCCTAATTTAGTTATACGGACAAGGAAAGCTGCAGTTCATTCACCAGTTGTGATTAGTCAGTCGCAGACATCCACCTTACAACAGCAGCAATCTGCAGCCACCTTACACCAGCAGCAATCTGTTCTCCAGCAGTCATTAAATCGACCTCCTGTTTACACTTCAAGCACCACATCTTCAGGGACTATTGTCAATGTCACTTCTATGATAACCACTGCTAATCCCACTTCTGCTAGTTTTACAACAAATCTAGCATCAGCAGTTAATGCTGGAAAAATTCATTTAACCCCTGATAGAAATATATTTCAGTTGTTCACAGCAAACACATCAAGGGGTGCTGTGACTTTTACCCCCACTATTCGTCAAGTGGGCCCTTTAGTTTCAGGGACCCCTGTGTTAAACCAGTATCGTGGTGCAACAGTTTTCAATTCTGTTTCTCTAGTCAATACAGGTGCTAGATTTATAACTGGGGTAGCTGGACAGCCTTCTGTAGTTGTATCAGCTGCTCCAAAGCCAGGCATATCTAATGTAGGAGGGGGTAATGTTTCAAATATTACTTTAGTCCCTACAGTTATCAATGCAAGTTCTGGTCAAACTATAATCCCTGCAACTGGTGCTACATTGCTGAACACAGCTGGTGGTGCTAGAGCAGTATTAAATACCACCAGATTGGGTACACCAATTACACTCCAAAGTTTAGGCTCTTTGCCATATGCTGTTAATATAATTAAAACCAACGCAGGACTGACATTACCTGTGAGATCCCAACAGATATTGCATACATCCCTAGCACATGTGGCAGGGCAGCCAGGCTATGTTTTGATTACACCAAGAGCTAGAGCACCTACTCCTGGCACTTCTCACAGTGTTCCAATATCACTGGTGCAAACCATTCCTGGTCAATCATTGCAGACTGCCAGAGTGCATCTATTAGCCCAGGTTTCACCAGCAGGGGGCACTGCTATACAGCAGGCTCAAGTTCAAAAACCTCTGCAACCTCAGCCCCAAACACAGAAACAAATTCAGCAAGCTCCACAGAACAGTGTCAATGGTGTTGCAGGCGTAATTCCAACAAATACAGATGGCACATGACCAAAATGATTCATATAAACATTCAGAACAATTGTGTATATAAAGCTTCCCTATTCTCAGGAGAAAATGTATATACTTATGTAAGGTGCTAGGTGCTCCTTAATCCCTTATGATTCCCAAAACTTAGACATGAAAATTCAAAATCCATTAATACTTCAGGCCGGTTGTTTATGGAAATTTAATTTGGATCAGCAGATGAAAACTTAAAATGTATTTTAAAAGATCAGAATTATTTTTTAAAATAATTTGTTTTATATTTGTAACAAGATTCCTGGATGTTTAAAAACAAAATAGTTATTGTTGTGCAGTTACACACTAAACAAACATTGCCATTTAACTTATTCATCTCTAAATTTCAATTGTTTTTTAACTTAACCCATGTCGTGTGATAGTAGCTCTACTGGTGTCTTTTTTAAAATGACATTTATTTTAAACAGAAACTTTGTCCATGAATCTTGATAATCAAAATATCCTTATTTGCTTTTTTTTTTTAAAGTAAATTTCTACTTCATAATGTGGGGAAATTTTCAGATTCAAATAATTTTGCGCTGTAATTATTTTTAAATGAAAAAATCTTTCCAAAGTGATTTTATTACCATAATTCCATGGAATATTCTAAACATTGTCACAATTCTTCTAATTATTTCTTTTATAAGGTGATGTAATGTAATTAAATTGATGTATAGTAGTATATTTGCCTGTTTGATAATTGAAATTTGTTATATGAACTGGAATAAAAATGAATTCTATTTTGAAATGTATCATGATTGTTTGCATTTTAATATCATGTTGTGCTGTGTGTCAGATCTTTGCCTTTACTGAGCATAGACAGATAGGTAATGGTGTCAGCTTTTGACCAACTGATCTTCCTTGTAATTAAAAAAAAAAAAGGATCAAAACAACCATTAACAATTTACAACAAATTAATTAAAGCTGCATATCTGTACAAACATGAAAATGGTTGGTGGAGATTTGCTCTCTAAGGTGATGTGCATCATTCATTCTGCCCTTTCCCCTCCAACCACAGTTTTTAATTTTATAAAGGAAGTTCCAAAGTCACCAAGTTGTATTTCAGTCAGTCAAGAGAAAATATGGCACCATTACCTAATGAATGGCACACATCACCAGATATGAGATGCATTCTATAATCACTTTGTAATTAATATACACACCTCTTCAAAGTACTCTTGCATTTTTTACTTTAAATGTTTTTATTGAAACTTAATTTTTTATTTAGTAATGGCTTTATTCTTTGAAAAGTAATTGAGGGAGAAGTTTATTAGGCTTAAGTGTTAAAGTTTCTATTTAGAAAATATACACACTTATTTATACAAGAAGAAAATGTGAAATACCCGGTACTGTTTTCAGGAAAGCAGTTAAATTAATTGTATTTCTCATGATTTGCACTTTATCTTGTGCAAAACAAATTAATTTTAACGTAAACAGTTGTATTTTTGAGAGGAAAATTTGTTGTACTGGTACCAGAATTAAAAATAGCAAAATATTAATTTAAAAAATCATGTCCTTTAATCCTTGGACCGTTGGGGCACCCCAGATGACATGAAAATTATCCTTCTCCATTCCTCTCTGTACTTCGCACAGCATCGCCTAGTTTTAGTCCCGTCCACTCTTTGATGTTGTTTTCCCATCTTTTTCTCTGTCTTCCTCTTCTTCTCCATCCTCTCGTTGTGCCCTGCATGATTTCTTTGGCAAGCCCTTGTTTTCTTGTCACGTGGCCATACCATTCCAGTTTGTGCTTTTTTTACAGTAATCGGGGAGTTATTGTACTGCCAAATTGCTTGACGAATCCTTTCTTTCACTTTTTCATTGGAGATATGGTCTCTATAGCAGATATCAAGAATGCTCTTGAAACGTCTCCTCTCCATCGCCTTTATTTTTCTTTCAAGTTCTGCTGTTAGTGTCCAGGACTCACAGGCACACAAGAAAATGGAGAGACTAATGAGTGCATCAGCCTAATTTGGTGCTGGGGGCTATATTTTTGTAATTCCATATTTTAAGCCTCTTCAGTGCTGTTGTGGTCTGAGCAATCCTGGACATCAATTCAGGCTTGGAGCCTTCTTCCGAGACTATTGCTCCTAGGTACTTGTCTTTCCTCCCCAACCTTAAACCCAGTGGCGATGCCGTTGGTGCTATTCGTCATTAGTTTTTTTCTTTTCTGCACTGATTTGCATGCCAAAGGACGATGAAGTCTTGTCGAGAAGCTTTCCTAGGTTGTCTAGCTTTTCTTCGCTTCCAGCCAGTCTATGTCATCCGCAAAGCGTAGGTTGGTGATTGTTCTGACTCCAATGCTGACTGTTCTTACATGCGTTTCCAGTGCATCTGACATAATTCTCCCTAAGAAGATGTTGAACAGGGTGTGGGAGATCAAGCAGCCTTGTTGTACTCCAACCCTAGTCTTGAACCATTCTCCGATGTTATTGTTGAAGAAGACTGCACTTGTGGCTTTATAGAGGCTGCATATCATTCTGGTTAGGTTTGTGTTGATGTAGTGCCTCATGGTGGCCCATAAAGCAGCATGCCAAACCCCAAAAAATCTTCAGGCGCCACGAATGCTAAAAAATGTAATTCTGCTATGTTACTTTTGTTTCTATATGGGAACATTGGAGGTGGTGGTGTTAAAAAAGCCACGAGATTTAATTTGACTTACATTTACATTGTCCCCAAAATTATTTTGCCACAAAAAATTGTCTAAAATTGCCCTTGAGCTGTCAAGATTATCCTTATCTGACCCTTGAGAATGAAAATAGGGATACAGACAAAGCAAAATATTAAATTGCAATTCAAAACTGAACATAATATTCATTTTGCAAAAATTTGTCATATTTATTAATTTTCTTGCAAAGTGGTGTTGCAGGGGACTAAAAAATCCCTTTTCTTCCTAAAATTGTACTTGTGGGCTCAAAATGGGTAAGAAAAAAAATGTTTCAAGTAATCCAAAAATTAAACTTTCCTGATTTTGTTTTTGTTTTTCATCTAAATCACCTTCCCATAGTAGTCAAACTCACAATTAAATACTTCTTATAAATTAGTTACTGAGAGGTTGACATTGTATTTTAGTTGGAATATTTTTCTATTACTTCAGATGTTTGTCTCTGGCTTTGATGGGGCTGAAATGCCAGTAAGTAGTTATGTTAAAATTGCATCAGAAACTCAACTATAAACATCCATTTGATAACATTTTTAAAAATGAACTTAAGAAGAGGTGATGGAGCATTTTTTTAAATTAATTATTTACATATGCATGATAATGGACTTTTGGAAATTCCCAGCTTTGTCTGAAAGAGAGAAAGCTGAAACTAAGTTGTAGCTGAAATTGTTATAAATGCCTTTTTTTAAAAACATGAATAGGAAGAATCTTTACAATATTTCATTTCAATTAAAATAGTTGCTTATATTGTCTGTCATCCATTGATTACACCTGTAGATGTGGTGTCCACCAACACCTCCTCAAGATGATAATGATATCTACATGGATGAAACCCTTTCCTTCCTTTATGAGCCACGGGTCATGCCTGAGCAGACTTTACCTCCGGTATATGTTCCCAAAGCTCACAAAAAACCCAAGACAGAAGCAATAACAAGTAATTCTTTTTTAAATTTTATTATTACAACACATTGGTAGAATTTTATTATCAATTTTTAAATCTCAGATAGCTACTTAATATATTCTGCAATCTTTAAATATCTTAATCAAATGTAAAAAAATATGTTGTGGTTCACAGCTCGTAAGCAGAAGCAACGTAAAGAGGAACAACCTCGTGTTCCAAGATCTTTGTTTGATAAACCCAAAGAAGTGGTTATGAAACAGAGGCGAGATGCTAAAATGCAGAGATTAAGACAGAATTTGCAGGTTAGATCAACTTAAAAGACAAATTTTTAAAAGTATATTTATGAGAATTCAGCCATGTTTGAACAATTTGGCTTGATTTTCCTCCAAGATATTAAAAAAAATTATTATAAGTAATCGCTATTTGAACTGAATTACAATATTGCAAAGTGCTTTTCCGAAAGTATGGATTGTGTACGAATTGTAATTCAGTTTTAAAATATTTTTTAGACAAAAGATAGTGATCTCTTCTTTTGAATAACTAGAAATGTATTCCTCTCATCCTTTTGAAACAGGTGCCTACCAAAATAATACCTGGCAGAGCACCGATTGGCCAACAGCAACAACAGCAGACGCAACCACCAGCTCCTATAGTTGCCAAACCTGAGCCAGATCCAAACTACCCTGAATGGCTTGTACATGAAGAATGGGCTCTTCTTGAGGTATGTTTTTGTTTTTAATAATACGTTACAAACATGCTGCTTACAAATCAAAATGCGAATTGTTTTGTTCTATAAGGACCTTAACTCATTCCCTCCAGCAGTGCTACTTCTGTACTTAATTTATTTTCCTGAGAAAAGGGAAGCAACCCATTTTTGAAATTTAACATTTTAAAAATATTTTTTTAAGCTGCTAAATAATAATAAATGTAATTGAATTTAGGACGAATGCATAAAAAAATGAATAAGGTTTAATAAAAAAAATATATCATAAGCGGCGAAAAAATAATGAAAAATGGCAAAAAAATCGATTTTTGGCACCTTGAATGAACACATGCTAGATATAGACGAGCCGTACTAAAGCACACGTAATTATAAAGTCTCGAGGGACGCAAGATTTCATTGCTATTTTTAACTAAAAATTAGAGAGGTGTGTCGCTATGCGCTGGAACGCATTTGGACGCTTCAGGAGAAACCCCCAAAGGACGCATTTAGTCGTAACCGTCGGGAATGAGTTAAGTATTTTCAAAGATTGTGATTATATTGATACTGTGAAAAATTCAAATATGGAACAATTTTTAAATAGTTTAAAAATTATCTGCTCCATTTTCTTGTTAAATAGTCTTAGAATTTTAGTTTTCATCAGATTGATTGATGTTTTTTTATTCTTAGGCTGTGCAACATATCCAGAAACTAAATCCTGACTTGTTAATAGACAATCCAGCACAGATTGTGAATTGGGATTTTGTTTCAGACTATGTTAGTGTTGTGGGACGTATATTCCGTGCAGCAAAACACTGCCGGTATCAATATGAATATGTTGTGCTACCCAGAGAGGATGGCAAGATTCTGTACAACTTAAAACAAAAGAAAACACCTAAAAGCATTTATAAGGTACTTGATTTGGTTAGAAGAGCTATACAATTTCTTGACCTGAAAATGATGTTCAAAACAACTTCAGTCTTTATGACATCACATGATTATAAAGTGATAGAGAGTGTTTCTTTTCTTCCATTTTTATGAAGTATCTAATGGTGAAATTATAAAGACTTCTCTTATTACTTTTTAAGTGTTCTATGATACAAAAAGATTTTTTTTAATGAAATATAATTTGACCATGTACAGACTAAAAATACCAGACCACTACGAACTGAACAACTCTACACACAGGAGGGCTTGAAAAATTTCTCTCAGTTGTTTGACATCCGCTTTGCTGCAATGATGGAAATTGGGGCTAAGCGACCTGCTGCTATGAGGCAGACTATTGTTAATCCCGCTGCGAAACCAACTAAGCATGCAGCCATCCTTGCAGAGAATGGTATCAACTATGATGCTCCCATGCTTCCCAGTCAATTAGCAGCCAAACGGGCGGAGAGAATAGCATTAGATAAAAAGAAGCAGCAGCAAGCAGCTGCACAACAGCAGGCCCAAGCTGCAACAGCTGTAAGTAATTTAGATACAAATAGGTTGGGATCACATACATTAATAATATGTTTTCACATTGGTAGAAATAAAGAAAAAGAAATCAATTTTAGAATGCTTAATTTGTGGGATGGAAAAAAATTGTTTTAAAATTCTCATTATCATTCACCCAGAATGCTGCAGTTACAGACCCAGCAGCTGTTGTACGACCTGTCCAAACAGCATTAGTGGCAACAGGTGTCGCTCCAACCATACAAGCCCAGCAGCTGTCATCTATTGTTTCTGTTACACCTACTACAATTATAGTAAGTCACTTAAACTTTGGTTTTGGAATTACATTAGGATAGTGAACTTAAACCCCATATGAGTCAAAAATTTTCCCATAAAAATCTATGTAAATTCAATGAATTTGTTCCAGGCTAAGAATTTTTTTGTTTTTGTTTTTTTATGTAAAGAAAAATATAGAATGAAATGAAAAATATCCTTCTTTATAGACATACAACACTTTAATGAATAAAAAGTGGAATGACATTCGTCATGTTTTAAAATAATTTCTTTTCTTTACTTCCACACCAACACAATTTCTCTATGTTTACCGGAAACGCGCCAAAGCACTTTTGAGCTGGTGGGATTGTGTACAAGCATGCCATATATTTGTCACCCAAAGTAGTTTGTTAACCAAGACAAAAATTCTTCAGTACCCGATTTCTTTGTTAACTGATTAGCTACCAGATTGAAAAACACGCTGTGGCTCAATTAAATCTAGGTCAAATTCACTGGGATACAAATATTGGCGCTACTAGCGGCTCGTGGCCATAACGAAAGAAATGCCCAGCTGCTCCCACCGGCTCATGGAAGTTAACCAGTTAAATGGGCATTCCTGAGATCCACTGAGTGTTTTTCCTAATAAAAACTGGCTTGAAAAAAAGTCAAAAAGAAAAAAAAAATTCTTTAGCTTTCAAAATGTTTCCCTTCCTCTCTCTCTCTCTCTCTCTCTCTCTCTCTCTCTCCCCCCCCCCCCCAGACTGGTCAAGTGCCTAAGGTAGCTGTAGGACCAGGTTTAACAGCTGTATCTATTGCAAGAACTCTTGGACCTACGACTGGAAATATTATTGTAAATGCTGGCTTACAGTCTGGTCCATTTGCTGCCATCAATAAAAGAATGTCCCAGGCTACACTACCTTCTACTATTGTAAGATTTTTGTTAAGCTTTTTTTAATGTGGAGAAATTATTTTTTTTAGATAACTTTATATTTTTTCAAATCATAACATGATTTTGATGAAGATATTTATTTTTTGGTATAATATTGGTTATTGATTTCTTTAAAATTAGAATTATTTTTAGAAAATCTTAACAGTGGTTATGAACTGTGTCATTATTACAAAATGGTGAACTCATTTTTTGTGCATCCTTGAACTTGATGGATTTGTACCAATGTTACATTTTAAAAATTAATATTTTGTTTTAATTCCTTAACCACCCAGGCTGTAACTGGTAATTTGACCCCAGCAATTCGAGGACAACGTCCGGCAGGGGCAGGAACACCCACAATCACCATGCAAGAGTTAGGAGTTACAGCTGGCACATCCACAGCTATTACAGTCTCGGCTCAGGCAGCAGCAGCAGCTGCACGATCTTTGCAGACTACAGTTGCATCAAGTCTAACTGCTGGTCAGAAACTGGCAGCCTTAACCGCAACAGGGGGTTAGTTCATTAAGGATTCTCTTTCCTTAGGGCAATGCTACTTCCGTACTTCCTGAGAAAGGGAAGTTACTCCGTTATGCTATGGATTTACATATATAAAATATTTATTTAAGCTGCTAAATATTATTTAATATTATTTAATTAAGAACAAATGCACCAAAAAATTAATGAGGTTTAATAAAAAAAATATAACATTAACATTAGCAGTGAAAAAATAAAGAAAAAAAATTTTTAATTTTCGGCACCTCGGACGAACACATGCTACATTTAGACGCACCGTACATAAGCAAACATAGTTTTAAAGTGAAATACGATAAAAACTTCCAGTTTTTAATGTGAAATCACGCCATCGCTGCTAGTCTCAGGGGTTGCAACATTTCATTGCTATTTTTAAATAGAAATGAGGGAGGTGTGTCGCCATGCGCCGGGACGCATTTGGATGCATCCCTCAAAACCCACAAAGGACGCATTTAGTTGCAACCGCTGGGAATGAATTACCAACAAGGGATGCGCAAACCAAGTTGTATTTTAACTAGAGCAGAAAATTAAATGATCAAGTGGAGTTAATTTCTTAAAGTGTTATGTAGGAAATTGTTGTATAGTAAAAATAAACATGATAACACTAACTGAAATCTGGGATGACTATAATTTGCTAATTGAAGTGATTAGAAAAGCGATGAATTTAATTCATAATTTAATTCAAAATCGATTCATTTGCTTGACCTGATGATGATGATGATCAATACAACTTCAGTCTTTATGACAACATGATTACACAATGATCTGAATCTTTGGCTGATGTATTATTCTATACATTTTAAATAGTAAAATCTACTTACATTATTAAACTTATATTTATAGATTAAAACTGTTCTATAAAAATTCAGATTTTTTTAATGAAAGATTATTTCAGTTGTTTTGACAATCGCTTTGTTGACTAAATATTTGAAATTCTATACAATACTGGAGGATATTTCATTACCTTGATCTCTTTAAATTGACAGCCAACCTCCAGCCCCAGCTCCTTCAAGCTGCTCGTAATCTTACCCCCCAGCAGATCAACATACTGAGGCAACAGCAAACTCAGTCCATCATCCGTACACAAGCTGCAACTGGTACTCAGCCACTGCGAGGTCAAAAACTGATGACCACAGATCAGATAAGGGCCCAGCAGTCGAAGCCTCCTAAAGTGATTACCCAGCCATTACTACCATTTAGAGGACATGTAAGATTACTTGAAATTTTGTAACTTTTGAAATGTTTATGCCAGAATGTTCCACTTACGTTGGAATTTTTAAAATCACCATTTTATTTATGAACACATCTTGTTGTTTTCCCCTCTCAATTATTCTATTATGAAAGCGAGAGATTTTGTTTTTCTTTTACCAGTCTATCCTGTCAAAACAGGGATTGTTACGAGCTGCAATTCCTAAGATGACAGATGAACAGCTGCAAGCCCTAAGGATGAGATCTATCCAGACACAAGGAGGAAAACAGGTGTGAGAGGAAGCAATAGGAGAATAAACCAAACATTTGCCAACATTTTTATTTCTGCAAAGAATATAAATTATTTTTCGAGTAACTTGTTTAACCCTATCCAACTCAACATATTGTATACCCTGTCCCTAGCAACTGGGTGTAGCACACCTGTACACTTATTATAATGGGGAAAAGTGTTTCTGGCTATTCCTAGCAACCGTGGGTTTCACCCATAGTCTTATTTCGCAGTAAATGGTTCTCTTCAGAGGTGTAGTTAAGGGGGGCAGAGAGGGGGGGGGGGCAGATGTACCTGGGCGCCAGACTAGTTAGGGGCGCCAAAATGTGTTTTCATATTATTTTATTGATGAATATAATGGGTTTGAGAGTTTAAAGAGAGAAAGGGAGGCTCTTTAAAATGGATCTGGTCCCCGGGCACCAAACACTCTAGCTACGTCTCTGGTTCCCTTTATGTTATTTTCTTTTTTACTATTATGGGGCCCTTCACGGATCATGTAGTTACTCCCACTGAAGCACTTCTTCTGTACATTAATGAAAAAATGATACAAACAATAGTTGACTGCACCAACAAGGAATGAGGAGAAAGTAAGAGGAGACAAATGGCAAAGGAATGATGCGATCTAAATGAAAGCTTTTATTAGCTGCCTACTACTACTACTGCTACTACTCCTCACTGGCAATTTTCATCTCAACAGCATTTCAGCGGACTTTTTATTCAGCTATGGAAATCCTATTTTTAGGGCACATTTTCAGTGACGAGATTCATTTTTGTTTTGACAACAATGATATTAGATCAAACCTTTCTAGCTCGTGACATCTTTGATCCATTAATAAGAGATGTATGTTAAGCATTCCTGCGTAATTTGGCGAGGTATTATGTTCCTGGAGAGAACATCACAGTAGGCTAGCAACTGATTGGTTTCAGAGTCGTTGCAGCTTTTTTCAACATATGCTAAGCAAGCCTGACAAATATGGAATACAAATCTTGTAGACCTGTGACTGTGAATCTACTTCGAATTAACCCCCTGAGAGGATGCCCATATCTCAGCAAAGAAAATGAAAGTGCCCTGCCAGCAACGAGAAATGTTGGAATATGATTGTGACTATGATTTCTTTCATAAGGGACTTGCATGGAAGTGGCCGCAATTTCAGAACAACTATTTCATTCCCCTACTACTTGCAGAACCAATGGCCAAGAACAGACTCACTCTAGTTGGAACAATGAAATGGAACAAGATGTTCCCACCTAAGGGGTTTGAGCAAAAGAAGGCTCTGCCCCTTAACAAATAAGTTTTTGTTTAGACAGAAAAATGTATTGCTCCTGAGCACAATACACAATCGTCCAGTTATAGTATACCTTATACTTATAGTAAGTGAAACTGAATGCAAGAAATCAGAGATTGTGCTCTATAACAACAAAAGCAAAGGGAGGCATATTCGCCAAGGACCAAATGATGGTGTTCTCTGTGAATACAAAATACTGAAAGTGAAAGATGGCCTTAGTTTATGTTTTTTTTAACATTATTGACTTGGCATCAATTGCATTAAGAGTGGCATTAAAATATAAATATCTGACTAACTCACTGTCTCATGAAGACAACAGACAGTCAATATTGACTTTGCGCATTCCCTCACCCATCCGCAAGTAGAGGCGATCCGTCCCAACACATCAAGATATTGTGAGGTACAAAATATTTACAAACACTTCAAATTCAAAAGCTGCCCAAACCACTTCAACTCAGCAAGTTTATTGGACATATTTGCAAAACCATTCTGTTCTTTTATGTAAAAACTGTGCAAGCTGAGCCCCCCATTTTCCATGTGTACATGTGACTGTTCTGTTTTGAAATTGTTTTTCAGGTTGAATAAATGTTATTATTGTTGGTACCCAAATACATTAACCCTTTACGAGGCAGAGCGGCCGAAAACGTCTTTACCACTTAAAGGGCAAAACGCCCAAAAGCGTCCGTGACGACTTAGTGTTGTTTTCTCGTGACCTCCGAGTCTTTGCGAGACTTCCTATTGTTTACATCCGGTTTTTTCGATAGCTAAATAGAGTAGGCGCCAGTTACAAGTATTTAATCGATTTTTTTTTTTAGTTTTAGGGGTTTAAAAAAATTTTTTTTTCGAAATGGATTTTGCCGATTATTCAAGTGATAGCGGAGATTTCGCTGGATTCAAATTAAGTGCACGAATTGACTGTAAATTGGAACTAGATGTTTATATTATTAGTAATATTAGTGAAATCAGCGTAGTAAGCAGTATTGAATTTACAAACTTCGATTTTGTGGCAGTGTTTGTAAATAGGAAATAGATGACTCACAATCACAAACAATATGTTGTTTTTGCAAATATTTGTGTTCATATAAGTATTAATGGCAACATGTGAGTACAATTATAAATCTGCATTCCTTTTACTTTATTTTGCTTTTTATTTCACACAAATTAACACCTTAAGATTTGATTTTTTTTGTAACGTAACCCTAAATTTTACTAAAAAAACGGAAAAGTGCATGCAAGAGGAAGTACCTCTGCCCCGGGTTAAGAATAGATATTTGTATATTGTCAAAATCTATTTTATGGAGGACACAGACTCAAATAATCAAACAACAACCAAACGAAAATGTTCACTAGCCAGTTTAGATGGTTTTTTTTTTTCTTCTATTCAATTATGCACGGGTGTGTTACACCCAGTTGTAGAAAAACAGTTTAGGCCACCAAAAATAAGTCACTTTTGCATGCTTTTTACAATTGCATCCACCAAGGTGTTCATTGCAACTACCTTGTGGATTAAGTAGATTATGAGAAATATTATTAAAAGGAAACTCTAGATATCAGCAATCACAGTCTGTCTCCGGGTGTATTACACCCAGTTACACCCAGTTGAGGAGGATAGGGTTAAAAAATAAATATATATATATATTATACATACACATAGATGAGATCGATTGAAACATGTATGTACACAATCCATGCATTGCTATTTGATTTAACTGTACATCTTAAGTATGTACATCTAAAGTCTACCTCCTACTCTTTATTCCAGTTGCAGACTGCACAGATAATCCAAGGCCAGGTCACTACTGTTGGTCAAGCTGGTGCTTCCAATACGCAAACGCCTGTGGCCTTGGTTAAATCTGTGTCAGCAGCCCCCACTGTCACTGTCCCAGTGACAATTCCTGTGACTGCTATTAATGTGTCTGCCCAGCAGAGAACAGTTGTTGGTAAGCTAATTCATTTCATAATTTTTTAAAAATAAGATAATTAAAGTAAAATGGTAGAGCTTTTATTTCTAAAAAAAGAGCTGTAACATAGTTTTGTACCAACCACAAATAATAAACCCCCCCCCCCCCCCCGAATTGCTAAGCGAAGGGAGATCACTCTAAAATACATGCATCCCCATTTTTTTTTCAAAACCAAGCATCAACCTATATTAAACAAACAATTATTAGAAAATTGAAAACCTTTTCAAAAATCTAAAGTTTTATCATTTAAATACTTTGATTCATAAATATGTTTGCAGTAAATCATGTCAGTCAAATTTTTAAAAAATTTGGATGAATGTTAGCAGCATTGACCCCCCTTAGTTTGTGTATTACTTTGATTTTAGAGTCTCATGGAATTTGGAAAATCAGTAGCCCTTGTAGGTGAACCTGGCACAAGTTGTTGTTTCCCTACTTCTGCCACTGTCCATCTTGTTACCTCTTTCCATGATCAGAAAGCTATTGATCATTGAAAGATCTAAGAGGTACCAGAACACACACCTCCACCACTTGGTACTTGCTTGGCCCACAGGATAATTGGCAGGATGTTGGTCTGATAGATACACCCCTAACATACCAGAATTGTTTGCGACAACTGGCATTGGAATTTCTGTATCTATCATTCCATCTTTTGACCTGCGTTGAACTGTGGTCAACACTGGGTGGGAAATGGTGGATATAATGTTTACTTGACATTTGTCAGTCCATTGTGTGGCAACCATCAAACCTTTCTTCTTAATACTATCACTTCTCCTCTTCTGTTTAGTATTTACTAGAGGCCAGTCTTTCCTGTTGGGCCTAATGGTTGTACAATAAGAGGTCCTCCACAAGTTTTGGAAGGAAAGGAAATAGTTGAAAAAAAGTTCATGATACCTATCCAAGTGTGATTCCATCATTGACACAGCATTATATCCTAGTCCATGATCTGAAGGATTGTTACTTTTAACAGTATAAATTTGAAAGTTTAGAACATAACCAGTTTTGGCTTCTGCGCAGCACCAAATTTTTATGCCCCATGGCGTTGGCTTGTTGCTCAAGTACTGCTTGAAGAATAATCGTTCACGAAAACCAACCATTGCGCCATCTACGGTCAGCTGTCCTTGCGGTTTATACGCTGTTTGGCACACATTCCTAATAAAGACCTGCCAACAAAAAAATCTGGGGGAGGGGGGGGGGGTTGTTTAAGATCTACTTAATAATGCACAAGCCTTTTTTAGTAAATTAAAAAATATAAAGTTACCTCCATTTTCTTTGAAGAGTCAACAGAACATGAGAAATGGTTTATACGCTGTTTGGCACACATTCCTAATAAAGACCTGCCAACAAAAAAATCTGGGGGAGGGGGGGGGGGTTGTTTAAGATCTACTTAATAATGCACAAGCCTTTTTTAGTAAATTAAGAAATATTAAGTTGCCTCCATTTTCTTTGAAGAGTCAACAGAACATGAGAAAAACATTACTCGAAATGTTTATATAGCCTACAGATTTATGCAGAACAGAATATCCATTTTTTTTACATAAGTACACAGGCTGCTAAGAGTTCAGTTTTCCAGCATATCCCGAGTGGCCTTTATGCACTTGGCCAACAGCTCTTTGGACAAATGAAGGTTATGCATTACAATTGATTTTAGTTACAAGCAAATTGGAAAGAGTATCAACTTTCATGCTTGCCCTTGTTTCATTGTAATTTTTCTTCACAATCTTCTAGCAATCTGCAAGTCTGGAAACATTTCTTTGACTCTGCCATTAAAAAGATCGGAGTAGGCCAGAGAAATATTTCCTTCAATAAGAAAGGTGGTAAATAAAACTTCCGATCTGAAAATTGAATCGTCCGATTCCTTAGCAAAGAAATTAGACAAGGATGTCGTAGATTCACTGCTTTTTTTTAGCTGAAGTTGTATTTTTTGGGGGGTTAAAATATGTCTATTAATATCACTGTACCAACCACTTTCAATAGATTAATCCTGAAAAGCTTAACAAAAGAAAAGTCACAACACAACTGAATTATTTTTTTATATTGGGTGTACCTCATACTGCAGGGACCCCCCAAAGTTTGTCACTGGATCAATACAATTTAGTAGTGGGCAATTTATGGAGCCCAAACATAATATTTATAAATAATAATTTGTAAATATCCCCATTAGTAACAGCCTTCAATTGGGTGGGTGTCTTTTGGGCCCTTAACAGTCTGCTGTTCCTCAGCATATCTGTTGGTTTCCACCACAATAGGTTCCACCATGGCACCGGTCACAAAGTTTGAAGTAGTCTATTGGACTGTTGTCAATAGGAAGGTTATAGATGCCACCTTCTATCTCACTAAATATCTTCATCTTATCAGTTACACTTGTCATATTGTCTGATCAGACTCAGTGACAGTGTCTTGATCGCTATCATCAACGTCACTTTCATCATTATTATTTTCAGATTCAGTCTAAATTCAATGCATTTTGATCAATATCAATGGCTGATTCATCTATCAGAACTATTATCTGCTTGTTAATTAGAAGTGGGGGCAGCAATCAAAGAGTCAAGAAACTGAAACGCCATAGCAAAATTCTCGTAAAACACAATCACAAATTTGCTAAGCTTAGACCCACTTTAACACCACACAGCTTTCAAACCGTAAATAGTAGAAATATCATTTTTTTTAAAATGGAATCAGCTATATTCTTACTTCCTTAAAATCCCAAAGCTATTCGCAAGGAAACAATGCTTCTTGCGAGATTGTGCATTATATGCACATTGCTAGGCATGATGGCGTCTTCAGTTTTGTAGAGAGGTGGGTATGTCGCATTTGTTCGCAATAGTAGCGAATGGGTTAACTTTCCAAAACCTATTATATGTTATGAAAGTTGTTACATTTGTGTAGAATATGATCAATATTCTATTCTTCAGTCATTTATTTTAAGTTTTCATTAAATTTTAAATTTTAAGTCAGTCTTGGCTTTCAGATCCAATAACTAAAATTTGTTTCCATTTAGTTAATTTCCTAATTATTTTCTAATCTAGCTGCATTAAGAGGAGCTGCAGTCAGTCAGATTCAGCAGCAACGGATGCAACTACTTCAACAGCAACAACGTAAGGCTGGCACTCAGCAAAAAGTTACTGGTATGGAATTTTAAAACATCTTTATTATAACATCTAGTATACATGGAATGTTAGTTTGTAACCATATTTAATTGTAGTTACCATGTATTTTTCTATCAGCGGTGTATGTTATGGGATAACGATATTCTTTAATTATCTAAATAGAGAATATGTATAATAAATAATTGATATTTCAGACAGAATTAATTTGGTTTTTCTGAAACCTTCAAGTATTGTTTAAAAAGACCTAATCTTAGTTTAATTTAATTACTAAAAAGCCTCTCTGGTTAAATAACCAATGCTATTGTTGTACCGGGTATTGCTGTCTAAAAGACAGATAAAAACTGATTCACTCTGTTACTACAGGTTTAGCAACAGGAAAGGCTGGCCAGCAAATACCACTCCTGATTCCACAACACACTAAATTGAATACTGTGCTGACTAGCAATCAAATATTGCATCAGATAGGGATTGTGAACAAGGCTCAAGGGGGTATCCAGCAAATAATCACACATGGCACCCAGCCTACTATTCTTACGCAAGTGTCACAAGCTGGAGGTCAACCCATCCAGCAGGTTGTTGCCAAGGTGAGGTATTAAATTTCTGCACTCATTCAAATGGCTTAACAGAAGGCTAAGCATTGGTAACTGTTCAAATAGGTTAAATTTTTACTTCTAAATGGTATAGTGTATGGATAAATTGTGAATTAACAAAACAATTAAATTATGCCATTTAACCCATTCAATACGTTACAATTATCGTTGCAATGGAACGTAGTAAAATTAAGGGACTAAAATTCCATTAACCCTGATGATTTTTAACTTAAAATCCCCGCTTTCTGTTTATCGAAACTTTGTCATGTAGCATATCAAAATTTAACTAATTGAACAAGGAATATGTTTTTATTATAAAAGAGTGATAAAAAATTGTATAGAGTAAAACTTTAGGGGTAATATGACAGTGTTATGTAAAAGTGACAATAAAAGAAATATAAACAATTCTTCTCACCAACCCATAAATCAGGTAAGGATAATCCAATCAAGACAATTTTTTTCAGCAAATAAGCCTTACTATATATCCAAAGTATGAGGAAAGTTTTGTTGCAATAGCTCAAGTAATTGCTAAGTTTGAATTAGTTTGAATTTTTTCTCAACACAATAGCCTTGAATAAATAATAAATGTTCCAAAAGTTAATAATAAAAATAACTATTACAGTCTGGTACACAAATATTTACAAAATATATAAACAAATCGGGCCATCGTTTTGAATGAAAGGCCCTGGAGCATCCTTTAGGATTAAGGTGAGGTTTGGCCTCACAACCAGTGCAATAAAAGTGTGTGCATATCCCTTTAGTAGCAGTAGAGCAATAGGCATGCGATCTGTCACATTCTTCATAATCTATAACATGTTGCGATTCATTTGTCCTTTCAAGGCATCCTGTCTCTGGGCCCTTTCCTGGTACTGGTGTTCTTACCATTGGATCAAATGTCCCAGTCCCAGTTAGCTGACATATCAATGTTAGTTTATAGTCCTTCAGACTCATTTGGTTTAGATCTACTAATTTGCATAATGAAAATAAAATGTAGGAATTCACCTGGGTGACTTCCAACAACCAGAAGAAAATTTTCTTCCACTATTTTAGGGTTTTTCGATTCATACACAGAGTAGTAGGTGTCTTTCTGATCTAGCTTATCACAACCATTTATTTTTTTATTGTAACTATGAATCATTTCAGGTTTTTTCCATTTTCTTGGTTTCGGTAGTATGTACCCTTGCATCAGTTGACACTAGTACTATTACATTCTTTTTGGCCTTTTTATCTGCGAATGGATATAGGATTCAGCCGACATAGACCAATAATCCACAAGAGTTGGCCTTTTATACATGCCCATATAAATCAAAATGGCTATTAACTTATCTAGTTCATGTCTAGAAATGTCTTTCCATCTGCTAAATACAGCGCATCGAAGTGCAAGTGTGTTAATTTGTACTTTTGAATAAGCATTTACTGATTCAACAATCCTTTACGTTATCATCAAAAAATGCATTGAAGAATTCAATAGTAGGTTTTTCAATATTTTGTAACATTGGAATACTGTACCAGTAACTAGGAGTTCTAAGTGGGTGAAATCGAAAATTGTTTTAGTTTGTCCAGATGTGATGCCATATTTTCCTTTCACTTTTCCTTTCCCCTTGCCCAATTTTGGTCTCATTGTGGCTGGAGGAATATATTCCTCATCACTACTATTAAATAGCAATCTATCATCCAAATCCTCATTGTCACCATTGTTCATTCGAATCCAATGTTTGTTTACAATTTTTAGAACATGAAAAAAACTAGCAAATAATACCCAAAACGTGGTTCAATCCGAGAGAAAATTCACAGAGAGAAAATTGAAACTCTTTTGAATAAAAGTTTAGAAAGCTATAAATAAAATTTTTGGCTGTAAAAGTTAAAACACTAAAGGAATGAAACAAACCAGTGATGACACACTCTATTTGCATTGAGACTTACGAGGGGCGCACTTTCGCATTTGCTGGCCCAACAATTTGTAACACCCTTCCTGTCGCTCTCAGAAACAGACACTAAGATTCTTTCAAAACTGATTTGAAGACTTATTCTATTTCGCTAACACCTGCTGGAGTGATGTTGTCTATCTAGCTATTATCTTGTAGATGTATACTGGCATGTGTTTTTTATGGTTGCAAGGTATGAAAGACTTAGAATGGGTAGTTTTTGTAATGTTGCATTTTGTACTTCAATTTGGTATGTACAGCGCTTCGAGCTTTTGGGGATGAAGCGTGATTTTCAAATAAACTTCATTTCCGGTATTATTAATATTCCTCTGGTTCCAAGATCTTGTAATTTATTGTCCATGGCAAACATTGTAAAACAAGTATGTTACGAACCCGGTTCTATGGCTTCATTAGGGGTTTTAATAACTACACAAACTATAATTCTTATATTAACCCACGAACTGTGGTCGGCCAACATTCTCCTTCTGTACTGTGGCGGCCGATAAAAAAAACACAGTCCGATTAGCAACTTTCAATCCAATATTTAACCGGAATTATAGCCACTTCCTTTTATTTGGAGTTTTATATTGCTGTTTTTTTTTAAAGCTAAAATGTTTGAAGCTATGGCTTGGCCTTCAGTGCAAGAACTAATAGAAATATGTTTGAAAGCTTTTTAGCAGAGGTTTTAAGTGATACTGATGATGATTTTAACATTCCCCATTACGATATCAGTTGAGATGATTCTTCTCGTGAACTTTAATACTAGTCTTAGTGATATTGAAGTAGGCCTACTGAGGCTACTGTTAGACTTTGAACCAGGCCTGGAGGTTGGGCAAGGACTGACTGAATTTTAGTCACAGAAGCTACAGATTATAGTTCAGAACTAATAAATTTTATAGTTAAACAACCCAAATCAGTTCCACAGTTCCTTTTTAAATGTTTACTAGTCAATAACTATTTTGCCTGAGATTTTTTATTTTGTACTTGGTTTTAGCAGTGGTTCCAGTTTCTTATATAAATCACCTAAAATTAATAAAATTGCTTTCAGAGGTTAAATTGCAATCAAAACCTTAGCAAACTATAAATTTTCTGAAAGATAAATGAATTGGCCACAACATTTAGATTTGTGTTTAAAGTGTATCTATAAAAATTAATGATGATGAGCACTTGAAAGCAAGACATTTATCTATTTTTTTTTTCTTGAGAACTCCAAGGTCAAGGACACTGAGAAAATTTTTTTAAGTGGTGGGCAATATGGCCAACTTTATTCCAATCCATTTACCTTTCTAAAAATATATACTTATAGGGGTCTTGTATCAATATTTCTATGTCATTTAATGCAATTTCAAATGGCACTCAAAACGCTCTGAAAAGCTCCACACCACAGAATGATGCATGCCACAGTTCGTGGGTTAAATATCTTTATTAAAGAACTAATTCTTCAACTTAATTAAGAACTAATTCTTCAACTTTCATTAATGTACTAAAAGACCACACTATTCAATAATATGTCATGTCCCCTTTTACACAATAGGTCACAAGATACTAGATACTACTAAGAATAATAGTAATAGATAAAACAACACACATAATCTTTAAACAACACGCAGTCACACTATACATTTAAGTTCTTAACAAAGTAGTACTAGTACAACTATTTTTTAAACTAGGAAAAAATAAATGATATGGGATTAAATGGGTTGAATTGTTAAAAATTTCTAACTTTTCTTATCCTGTGTTATCTAGGTGTCTCTACAGTCGGGAAACCAAACCTTGACAGCTGGTACACCAATTACTGTAACACATGTCAGCTCCACTGCTAATCAAGGTGTGGGGTTAAGCCTGTCTGGCCAAGGTGCTGTAAAGACAGCAACCATTCCATCCTTAGATGCTGGAGCTGGCAGCATTCAATTGCACTCAATTCAACCAGGACAGAAGACAGTAGCAAATCTGCCTCAAAGTTTGGTCACAACCCAGACTGTGCAAGTTAGTTATTATTACTGATCTAGATTTGTTAATTTTTTCCAATTTTAAACCTTTGATTTCATAACTTAGATATTTCACTTTTCACTGGTGTAACATTCCTAAATACATTTAAAATTTTAAGTGATATACCAAATATGCTTAACTTTCTCTCCGGAATTAATTTCCACGTTCTGACAGATTTGTTATGACACTGCTATGTTATCTCTAAACCATTATAGCCTTTTTGTTTTTCATCAGAAAATGTTAAGTTTGTTATGGTATTAAAGGGGAACACATGCTCTTTACGTACCTAGGTTTAAATTTTAATACATAAATGTGATTATGATTTAGAAAAATTAAAATTTAAAATGAAAAAACTCACCAAATGTTCACAAAACGCACATTCGAAGTCACACAGAAAAATGTATAATCCAAATTGTAACAAAAATGTTTGTTTTTCTGAGCTTTATCCATGTGTACAACACAAATAATAAAGATCACATCTAAAAAAAAGAAAAAAATGTAACATCAGAGCACAGTTATCGTCCATTGTCAGAAAAACCTATTTCCACTGGAAACTATCTGTTGCTATTAACTCATTCCCCCCTGCAATGCTACTTCCGTATTTAATTTATTTGCCTGAGAAAGGGAAGTAACCCCGTTTTGAAATTGTTTACATTTTTTTAATATGTATTTCAGCTACTAAATATAATTTAATGTTAATGAATTAAGAACAAATGCAACAAAAAATGAATAAGGTTTAATATAAATATAACATTATCGGGGAAAAAATAACGAACAATGACCAAAAAATCGATTTTCGGCACCTCGGACGAACACATGCTACATATAGACGCGCCGTACTAAAGCACACATAGTTTTAAAGCGAAACAAGATAAAAACTTCCGGTTTTCAAATTAAAATCACGCTCAACCAGTCTCGAAGTCGGAAGTCTCGAGGGATGCGAGATTTCATTGCTATTTTTAAATAGATATAAGAGAGGTGTGTCGCTATGCGCCGGGACGCATTTGGACGCATCCGGCGAATCTCGAAAAGACACATTTAGTCGCAAACGAGTTAATATTAGTCGGGAATGAGTTAATATTAGTAGAAAATATTTGAACTGTATTCTTGTCATATCTGGGCTTTTCATCTATGGTAAGCTTGAAAACAATCCATATGGATGTGCTGAATTGACTCCCATCCAGCTCAAAAGTAACTTTACATTTTGCGCTGTACTCCTTTTTAAGCTTCATATTACACTTATTTCTTGTAGCATGTAGAGAATTGTTCTCTCTGAAGTATTGTGACATACCAGGGTGTATGCATCATTGACCAAAAGTCAAGAGCAAATGGACAAAAATGGGAGTTCATCCCCATCATTGTTGTTACTGCTAGACATGTGTAATTATTGACAGGTTTCCAGTCTCTAAAAATAGATCTCTTGCATGTTTGAGTGTTGATTTTAATTTTGTAGGAAGCATATTCATTTATTGAGAGTACAAGCTTGTGAATAATATGTGTCTCTATCAAAGTAAAAAAACCCATGTCATTTGACTTACAATGCAAGCTCCAAATTTACACCTGCATTTTTGAAAGGTAGAAATCTGAAATTGCACTGTTTTATTGCTAAGATCAGCAGCTTTCCTAATAGAATTTACATTATTTATAGTACTAATAGGAACAGTATTAGCTCTTCTACAAGTCACTTTAGATGGGGACGGGGCTGGTTGTTCATCAGCTGATGAATTATCAATTTCATTATTTAGTCACTAGTACTACCGGTACTAATAAAATAGGATTAAAATCTTACGATTCATCAGAATCAGCCTCTGCATCCAAAAGCATAAAATCACTGTCTGAATCATCATCTGAGTAATATTTTCAATTTTTATTAGATTGATGCCAGGTGGGTCAGGTCAAGAGTTCATGTTTGTAGATAAAAATAAAATAGATATCAAAGCAACCGCTTCAACAAACAATTCATTTTCTGTACGGTAACAAAACTGGTTGAATGCAAGAAAAACCGGATGTTTCATTCTAGGTTTGATTAAAAGTAATTTAAAAACAATAGATAAAAGAACTGAAACAAACAAGGTTTGTATGCATCGACTATCTGTCAGAAAACCTCATTTAAAATTGACGATTGAAGCGTTGATCTGGAGGCAAAGAGTTCAGCCAAACTTGGAAAGGGTCATAACTCTTTTATATATCAAATTTTAAATAGGCTTTTTCAAATTTTGATGATAGAAATAGGTTCTTTCTTTTTTTTTGTACCGGGTATGTTACTTGTATAATGCTTCTAAAAGTTTCAAGGTCCAGGAATTAATTATCTTTCATTACACTTTCAATTATTGTCATTTGTTTTTTTCCTCCCAGGTGCAACAAGTCACTAGTGCACAAGGGAATTCATTTTTACAAGTCACACCAGCTGCTGCTCAAACACAGACATCAACAGTTCAGCCACAGGCAACTGTTGCAGTACCAGCCAGCTTAGTAGCTTTAAGGACCTCTTCCACATTATCTTCAACACCTCGCTCTCAAACACCTACACAGATCAGCTTGGTCCCAACACAATCACCTGTGGCAGCTACTATTGCAGCTGTGCAGGTAAAGCAACATTCAGTAAAATTCAAATTGAACTCCAATGAAAAGCAAAGGAAGAAGAAAAGTTAATCAAAAGAATCTGGATTAAGAGCACAGAATCATATTTCTAGAGTAATTCCCAGTAGTGATTCAATTTTTTTTATTTATTTTCTTTTTTTTAAAAAAATCACTACCAGTAGTAAGCATGTGAACAAAAAGGAGAGAATTTTCTATCAATGTTTTAGGAATTCATGTGGTGTTCATTAGCCTATAAAACATTTGTTGAACACTAATCTCCTTTCTGTCCACAAGGGACACTTACTGTTCCAAGTATCTTATGCTGGATTGTTGGACAGGAGGACGTATACTGAATCAGTGTTATCGGTGATTTATTTTTACCACAGGTCCAACCTGCACCACCTGCTGCTGATGTGTCAACCACATCCACCAAAGTCATAGCTCAGAATGTGTCAACAGTCCCTGCTACCATGGCAACTCTTGTTACACAAACTAGTCAGTCTGATTCCACTCAAGGGACAGGACAGAAAGCATCTCCATATGCAATGAGGACTAGAAATACCAAACACTAGTTTTTTAAAGTTTTAACAATTAAATTTTCAGATTTAACAAAAATAATAATAAATTGTCAGAAGGGACCATATTAAAATTCAGTTCTTGCCCCAGTTAGCAAGAGATTTAAAAACTGTTTCATTCACACAACTAAGTTGTGTCCCATTTATATGCAATGTAATTTTGTGATGTTAGTGTGATGTTCAATTACTTTTGTATTCTTCAAAGAATTTCATGTAATTTTGTTATATAAATAATAAAAGTTAAACAAATCAGACCACTATTTGTTATCATTCAACAAGGATTTTAAGTACTGGTATTTCAAAGATAATTTTAATGTCATAACACTACAATCACCTGACCTAATAAAGTAAAGACAAATAAAAAAAAAAGCACAGAATGCAAGCAGCTAGTCATTCAGTGGTGATGGGCTCCAGGATGGAGTTCCTCTGATCCCTCATCATAACCCTTGGATGTAGCATTGTAGTAAGGGTTGTGAAACAGTGAATGGTCACCATCTCCCCATGGGAAGGGCTGAAAGATACCATAAATATTAACTAAGTTTTATTGCTAAGATCAGCAGCTTTCCTAATAGTCTACATTATTTATACAAGGCACTTTAGATGTGGGCAGGTTTAACTGAATCTAAAATTTGGTGCATATCAATAGACCTGTTTACTGGTACTCCAATTTTGTACAATGTACAATTTTGAGATGCCTTTTACAATTGAATGCCGAGACCCATCAGAACTATGATTTTAAGAGACTGGGTTGAAAATATATGCATTCTGGTAGTTTTTTCAGATTACAAAAATACCACTTCGGTTATTAGTTTTAATTTGTATATTGTATTCTATGGATCCGGAAATACAATTGGTTGTGGACTATAAATTATAGTTGCCGTTTGCATATGCCAAATTTGTGTTCATCAGGCTCCCTGTGTTAAAGTGCACTTTGAAATGGCGCATACATAAACAAAATAAAGGGTTAAGTAAAAATAAATATAACACATATCTAGGTCACTAAGCACCATGTGGACTACTGTTTGACCACGAATGAAAGATGTTACACTGGATTAGAAGTGGAAATAAAATACCTGGTAATGAAAATTTAGCATTTTGCAACATCACTGTGAGGAAGCCGCAGCTACCCATGTGCAACCCTGGGGCAGACCCGTAACCGTAAATGGGATTTTCATAGTTTAATTCACTATTAAGGTAATTTCTAAAGACCCTTTTGGTGCCTATGGCCGTGCTGTATGACGTAATTTAGTGACAATTATTTCTTACGGCTGAACCACTGCTACGGAGAGCAGAAACGGAGAAGAATGCATTAACTATTTCATGCAGCAAAATTATATTTCGACATATTATGGGATCTGAGGGGGGCATTTGAAATCTTGTTTAGATCACGTAAAACAGCTTTACGATTTTTAATACCACCTGTTCCTTTCACCCATTTTACAGCAAGTGATAGTTATGTGGACTGTAATACGGTACCATAATATGTTATGGGAAATAGGCAGGCTTACTGATTATTATTTATTTTTTAAAAATACCGTAACATTTCCTTATTAAATAAATTTCAAGTTACCTGGTAACGGTACTGGTAGTTTTTTTGTTTAAAAATGATGCCCTAAATTTTATCTTAATAATAAATTATATTTTATGCTGATCTGACTTCAAGATTGAACCACGTTAAATTTCACCACGAAGTTTATTTTTACTATTGACAGACTGTGATCTTCCCCTTCGCCTAAATATTAAATCGATATCTATAGCCAATAGACGTCTGAAAAACAAAGTGACCACTCAGACTCTGACCACAGAATGCAATATAAACATCGGTCAACTTCTTTTAGAATTTAACTTTTTTGATGCCAGCTCAACTCGATTCCACTTGACAAGTGATATGAGTAATTATTGTATATATTATATTATACATATGGTATGTTTATTTAATATATCAAGCTACCGTCTTGCATGATTTTGAGATGATATTGTACGATTTTTGGAGTTTGAGGGTAAACAGGTCTGTATTAACTACATACATTAGCAGTAGTAGACTAAACTACATGTCCCAAAAATATGAAGGTTAAGAAACACTGTTCTAACTTTATGATCTAATTTCCTTAAGCTATAACTTACCCTGTTTCTAATGTGCAAATGGGGATATGCAACAAAATCTGGTCGCTCTGGGTGTTGTGGCATCAAATGAAATGCATTCCAGTAAACCAACGCTACAGCAGGTAGTCCAAGAATGTAAAAGGCATTCCTCCAGGTTTTAGAAGATTCTATAAATTATAAATATATAAAGTGTGAAAAGATTGTGACATGTTAATAACTTGTAACTTTCACACAAAAAATATCAAACATTTTCCAAAGAAAGTAGGCTATTTTATCCTTATGAAGTAAATTAACCTAAAAGTATTAGGTCACTCTCATTGATGATGTCAAAGCTTTATTTTAATTTGAACATTTTAAAAATATCTTTAAGCAAATGCTTGACCAGTATTTTTTACTCTTAAGTACTGGTACCCAGTACCAAGTATAATAAAAAATATAATTACCAAACAAATCTGTTGCTTATTAAAATGGAAGTTCTGACAATGCATTTATTAATTATAAATGGCACACTGGATAACATAACAAATTTTGTAATAATGCTAATTTAATTAGTTGATTTCCACTGAACCTATCACAGTGTTCTAAATTTTTTTCTTGAAAAAATTTCTTTTGAATTTGAGCCCTTTTTAATAAAAGACAAAGGAAAATGTTCATAAAAGAAAAATGAAAATATTCATTTTAATACACTTCATATTAACTGTATCGATTCTTAGATTTAGTTCTTAGTGCAAATAATGCTCAGTGAAGAATGGAAAAGTTATCTTACACATAGTTCAGGACCACCTTTTAAATCTATGCACCCAAGTTCGGTGTTGGGATTCCTCAAAGTCAACATTACTGCGCTTAGGGTGAGACAACTCTTGGCAAAACACATGCCACTGATTACAATTTTACCAACAAATACACGGATTAACTGATTTATTTACTTAACTCTTTAGAGTCCGTAGGTCAAAGCCACGTTTTGACGCTGTCATTTTGTTGTGATAAATTTTTATCCTAGGTAACCACAGACAAATTTTCATAACTTTTCTAGTTTTTATACAACTATTATAAAATGTGATACCGGGTACCCCTTATCAAAATGTGCAGAACTGAATGGGCTGTGTTAATATTATAATAGCTGTACTGCAATGATAAACATTAAAGCATGACAGAGCAAAATTTTATGGTTTATAATATGTATTAACAAGTTTGAAAAAAAAACAACATTGCATCAAAAGTATGAAAACAAATGACCATATGTTCAAGTGGCATTTAGCTTGTTTAGCCTTAAAATAAATGCACTTGTGCATAACATTATTTTGATCAATATTGGATGAAAAATAAATTATTTGTGGCAATTTGCAATCTAATTGTGTGGCATCTTTCCGTCTGTGGGAGACGATAGATTATCTTTATTGCTTGCAGCTCTTGGTGTGGCTGGTGAGACCAATCCTCGAATGGCAGTCTCCGTTACATTTCCCACACACGAATGCGGTGGAGCAGTATTTACCGGCCTTCCTCCTCGCTCTTTTTGCAGCCGTTTCCACCCTGTTTTGCTCCTCGGCATGTAGTGATCCTGCCTTCACGATACCCCGCCATGAGGATCGATCCTCTGCCAGCTCCTCCCAGTTTGAGATGTCGATGTTGGCCGACTTCATGTCTCTTTTGCATATGTCTAAGTATCTCAGACGAGGCCGTCCAACTGACCTTTTCTCTGTCGCCAGCTCGCTGTATAGCACGTCCTTTGGTATGCGACCAGGTTGCATTTGCTTGACGTGTCCAAGCCAGCGGAGGCGTCTTTGGATTAACATGGCTGGGACGCTACACATGTTTGTTTGGGACAGGACATCCGTGTTGGGGACTTTGTCTAGCCATTTAATGTCAAGGATGTGGTGCAGGCATCTGAGGTGGAAGCCATTGAGCCTTCTTTCGTGTTTAGAGTATGTGGTCCACGACTCGCATCCATACAGAAGTGTGCTCAGTATGCCGGCCTGGTACACCTGCAGCTTAGTTCTTGTTGTGAGTGTGGCGTTTGACCAGACTCTTTTCTTCAGTCTGGCCATAACAGTTGCGGCCTTCCCTATCCTCCCACTTATCTCATCCTCCATTGAGAGGGTGCTCGATATGTTGGATCCCAGATACGTGAGTCTGTCAACAGTATCCACCAAGTCGTAGTTGTCGATGGCGATAGTGGGGAGGGAGTCTGCGCCCTGTGCCATAATGTTAGTTTTCATTAGGCTAATTGTCAGGCCAAACTCTTTGCAGGCAGCGGATAGGCTGGATACGAGGCTCTGCAGGCCGTCAGCTGTGTGAGATACCAAAGCGGCATCGTCCGCAAACAAGAACTCCCGCAGCAAGACCTTTCTTGTTTTAGTCTTAGCTCTAAGGCGGACAATGTTGAATAATTTGCCGTCATCTCTAGTGTGGATGCATATCCCCCCGCTGTTGTTCTGAAAGGCATACTGGAGTAGGATGGAGAAAAAGATTGCAAATAAAGTAGGAGCCAGCACGCAACCTTGCTTTACTCCCACTACTCACTGGAAAAGCTTCTGAGGTGGCAACGTTATAGCACACTGTGCCCTGCATGTTTTCATGGAACTGCTTGATGATGTTAAGCAGTCGTGTAGGGCAGCCTATCTTTTTTAGGATCTGAAACAGGCCGCTTCTGCTGACAAGATCAAAAGCCTTAGTGAGGTCAACAAACGCAATGTATAAAGGCATATGTTGCTCTCTGCACTTCTCCTGCAGCTGGTGCAGAGAGAAGATCATGTCTATGGTTGACCTACTGGCGCGAAAACCACATTGCGATTCTGGGAGTACACGCGATGCTAGGGTCTGTAGGCGTGTTAATGCAACTCGGGCGAAAGCCTTTCCAACTATGCTGAGGAGGGATATCCACGATAGTTGTTGCAGTCACTCTTGCCTCCTTTATTTTTGTAAAGATTTTTGCAATCTAATTATAACATTAATAACAGGAAAAAAATTGTGTATGTCTGGTAGTGTCACTGGCTAGCAGTTTTTATAAACAGATCTTCGAGTTGCTGTGTCCCGTTTTGATTCAACAAGTTTTTCTGCAAATTCACTGATGGAATGTAGCAGTTCTGTATTAATCTCATCAGTGATGATGTCCCATCTGGAATAACATCAGGGTTTACTCCAGGAATTCTAGATGGTGGTGGCACAAAATTAAAAGAATTAATTGTAGTGCTAGCTTCTACTTCATTCCAGTTTATTTCAACACTTTTGTTAGACTTTGACTCCACATGTCTAGATA